GCCTAACTGCAGTTGACAATCCGCCTGCCAAGGCAACTACTGGTAAAACTCCCCTTGAGGAGGATTATAGCTTTCAGCAGTGGACAGTTAAAGGCTGATATGTTGATTTTTTTTATACAACTTAGAATAGCAAGCAAGCTGACGGCCCACCTGATGGAAAGTGGTAACCGTCGCCTATAGACATAACCAGTACCGTGGACATAACAGAGTATACTGTTTTACCCATGATATCCCCCATGCGTTGCCATTCCTGAGGACTCAGGTGTTATTCCTCTGTACCCAGTAAATTCACGCCATATCCCACCCTTCAAACCGAAACACAGCTATGCAAACACAGCTGCTTCACGGTTGAAACACGAATGAGATAGAGGTACCCAAGCAATCGACTTTTGTACAAAGTCTCCCTCTGGACCAATATCTATTCCGTTTGGATCTCACAACTTATGTGTGTATCTCACCTTCTGTCATTTATCAATTCTCAGCTCTATATATATATAACTGTCATACAAATATGATTCTCACATTATTATTTTCACATACATCCTCTTATCTTTCCGTTAGTTTTCCCCCCGAAACCGTCATAATAAATGTCACGATTTGTAAACCAATATAAAGCTCCACGATACCATTTATTACATTATTTTTCTTTTGATTTCATCCGTGAAAACTCTTAGCTTAGACAGCTATCCCCCGAGACAACGTGGGTTAGATACGAGTATGTCATTTAATGTTTTGACTCAGTTAATGTCATAAAAAATAAATACCTTACAAACTTACCTCACTATATAACTACGTATATATTGAAGAGATTTGAGTAAAATTTGATACACGATTAAGTTATATCAAGGGACTATTTAAAATAGACAAGAATATAGAATTATTTGTCCCAATGAATTAATATATTGCTAACATATGATATATACCATTATTTTCAAACAAAAAGAACTAGACTTAAGTTTATACACAACTTATTAATATAATAATTATCACCACGTCGGTCCCGACATAGAATGGGCCACCCCTTCTTTTCCAGCGAGTGTCGAAAGAGGCGACAAAGGGAAGGCGAGGGATGGACTGCAGCGTCCCTTTTAAAACATCACTAAAAGCCTAACTGCAGTTGCCAATACGCCTACCAAGTGTGGCAACTACTGGCAAAACTTCCCTTCTGGGGAAGGCATGTGTTCAGCAGTGAACAGTTAAGGGCTGATATGATAATGATAATTATAATATATTATATTATAATTATAATAAATGTTATTATACTAACTTGTTTTATCGTCGAGTGTATCTTCGTTACATATTTCTAAAAAAACCTTAATAATATCTGCCAGAGGGTGTATTTTGTAACTTACAAGGTCAAACGTATAATGCCTCATTCATACCGACAGCTTAGATTTATTATCGTAAACTAAAGTCATGAATTAGATGAAAATATTGTATTGTGGTCAACTCCCAGATAAGGCTTATAATTTACGACTTATTTATACTATCTTAGGCCTAGCACGTAGTTTCATCTGTTTACTAGATTTAGGAGATACTTAGAACAGCATAAATGTGCCACAGGGGAATCTTAGTGGTGGTATAAAATGGTATTGATAAAACTGATTAAGTTTCTTTAAAAACATTATAACGACTTTTAACTGTACATGCAAAAAACGGTCGCTTAGATGATTAAAAACCCTTCTCAGATTTCCTGTAATTAAACTCTTAGTAAGATTTTTAGCTTCATAAATATTATTGTTTGTATTTATAATAAGTTTACTGTTGTAAATGTGTAATTTAGAGTATCTATCTATTTTTTTTAATGGGTGATAATGGAATGCTAACCCCGCCTGCGCTATCGGTATACGCTGGCGGTGCACCAGTGAAAGATGATAGGTGAGGATGAAGCAGGTCAGTTGGCCCATTGTGACGAATTCAACAAGAATTGTTCACAATGGTTTCCAGGGGGAACCACATGGAGGTCGACTTAATAGGGCATATTGCTAGCAATGGGGCTGTCAAACTCCATTGCTAACAATCCCTTTCCCCCCAGTATCTATCTATTACATCATTATCACAGCGTAATAAACAATCAGTATTCCAACGCCTCTAACACGTACCGATCGATTTTATGACAATTCGGGACCCATTGAGATGTCTAGGCAGTGACTTAAGTATCTCTATTCAACCACTGTGGAAAGAAAGAAATCTTTAGACTCTGCTTTAATAGTATATAACATTTATATAATGTATAATCATTATATATATATATATATATATATATATATATATATATATATATATATATATATATATATATAATGATTTACCAGGATTAAAGCGCCTTAACGGCTTAATTTTATGGATAATAATAGTATGGTAACCCCGCTTTTGCTACAGGTATACTGGCGGGGCACCAGTGAGGAATGATAGGTGAGGATGAAAAAGTTGGTCAGTTAGCCCACCGTGATGAATACACCTGGAATTCAGCATGTTGATTTCCTAAAGGGGTCACGTGGAAGTTGCTAGCAATTTACCCTATATTGCTAGCAATGGAACTGGTAGTCCGCATTACTAAAATTATTTTCCCCCCTCCCACCCTGTTTAAAATATTAATAAGAACAATAAATGTACATTGCTCTAAAAATAAATAAATTTCAATATACAACAATAGGTATGCCGTGAGAAAATCAAGTAAACCTTGAACTTTGCGGCTAAATATATTTTACAGCCATTTAGCGTTTACTATATCAGTCGGGTCCTTGTAAAACACCACTTACACAATCCAATCTACTTCAATTACTAAAGTTAATTGTTCTACATTTATTTGTGTCAATATACCTACTGCCTACTCGTTCTTAATTGAACAAACACAATTAAAGTCTATTTTGTTTACTACATATATATATTCGAAACGGTTAATTATTAAATAGTGTTCCAGAAAAGAAAATCGACTTCCAATTATGGCAACAAACAATTATTTTTAGATTAAAAAACTAAACTAGTAAACCGATTTTGATAAAAATTTCTGTAAACTATAAGTATATGATTTTAGATAAAAAAAGAATTTTTCAAATCGATTTACAGCTGACGATGTTATGAGGTAATGAAAATAAAAAAAAAAATATAACCTACTTTTTTTTTTAAATTGGTCGAAAATTTTTTGGGTATTCCTAATTAATGCTTGACAAACTTCAAGAAATTTCGTATAAGGAAAAAAGTCATAAAGCCAGAGATATTTATAAATATAATAATTCATTCGAGCAAAACTCTTTTCAATGATACGTCAGGAATCGAAGCAAATTTTCCTTTCATCCAAATATTTGATATTTCAAGATTTACTGACGACCGTAACTTTTGTTTCCTTTTACTTTTTCCCCAGTAAAGTTTCACGACATTCTAACTTAAACAGAAAAAGTTATGAAGTGATATATAGACAGATGAAAAGGAAGCCAGAGGATCACGAATGACGCATTACAAGGGTTCAAGTTTAGCCATTCCTCTGCGGAATCCTGAAAAGGTAACATTTATTAATAAATCAAATTTGTACTTTTTAATATTTTTTTTTACGTTAAAAATGTGACGATATTACACTTAAAATCAAAATAAAACTTATATATATAAATATAGGTACATGTAAATACTTCACATTTTTATTTTACAATAGTAACATAATTTCTACAAAATACAATTAAGTAATTAAATTAATAAATCTACTTCTTAAAATATACAACATTATAATATAATCTCGATTATCCGAATCAAATAAACTAATCGAAAATCCGGATAATCAAATTCAAAGTTATATCAAACAATAATTCAATTATTGTTTTATTATGTAAAGGGTTTTACATAAGTCATTTAAACAATACGATTTAAAACATACGAACTATAAAGATAATTGATTACATAATACCTATTTACCCAATTAATGCATAATATCATTTCTAAATCAGTAATTAGAGCCGTGAAGAATAAGTCCGGATAATCGAATATTCGATACAACATTATAGTAGAATCTCAATTATCCGAATCAAATAAAATAATCGAAAATCCGGATAATCAAATTCAAAGTTATATCAAACAATAAGTCAATTATTGTTTTATTATGTAAAGGGTTTTTACACAAGTAATTTAAACAATACGATTTAAAAAATACGAACTATAAAGATAATTGATTACATAATACCTATTTACCCAATTTATACATAATATCATTCTTAAATCAGTAATTAGAGCCGTGAAGAATAAGTCCGGATAATCGAATATTCGGATTATCGATATTCGGATAATCGAGATTCTAATGTATTTATTGGTGTCATTATTGAAAGCATCTTAGGAGTAAAGAGTTTATGAAACCGGCGTGAATATATGACGAGTTATGTGTTAATAAATTAGTAATAAGGATAAAGGTTTTTCTTTTTATTTCGTATTTGTTTCTGTCATTATTTATTTCATACTAAAGTACTCATTTCCCTCTGCCTACTCCGTAAAAGAGCTGGTATGAAAATAAATTATTCAAGTATATATTTATTTGACTACCCCATTATGGATAAAAGATGTGTGCATTTATACATTTAATACTAACGATCCGATCCGGTTTCGTACACATAGATAGAATTTTCGAAAATAATTTAAGGCAAAACCAGGTAATTTGAATTCGAAACTAAACTACTTAACCAAATTTGATAAAACTTCTATGTAATCGATCTATAAAGGATATAAATATATCCTTTCAGATAAAACAATAATTTTCGAAATCAGTTTAAAACTAACCGAGTTATGAGATAAGAAACAAAAAATAATGCAACCGAATTGGGAACCTCCTTCTTTTTTAAATTCTGTTAATCATAGATAGATATATAGATAGATAAACACTTTATTTGAGCCATTTATGACACACGTAAATTAACAAATTTACATGTGTCATAAATCCATGTCATATTTCAAATCTATGACATATTCATATTGACGTTAAATATATTCAAAGAATAAAAATATTATATATAATAATAATAGTACATACATGAATAATGAATACAATCAATCATAATTTAACCAATTAACAAATGAGTTTATACAATCAAATTAATTATATTTTTTTAAATATAAAACAAGAGATAAAATATGAAAATATGTTTTTGCCATGTGTGTCGTCGTGTGCCAGTGACCCAAATAGGTTACAGCCCAGTAATAGTTTTGCTTAAAAGCAAATAATTATTAGCGAACAATATAGCCTATGTTAATCTCTAATAATGTAGCTTTTAATAGGCGAAAGAATTGTTGAAATCTATTGAGTAGATTTTGAGTTTATCCATGACAAATAATAATAATATATTTTTGGGGGGAAGAGATTGTTAGTATTGGAGACTGAGAATCCTATTGCTAGCAATATACCCAACCAGGTCGACCTCCTCGCGGTTCTCCCTGGAAACTATCATGGTTAATTCCTGATGAATTCATCATGATGGGCTAACTGGCCTGTTTTCATTCTCATCTATTACCCTTCACTGGTGCTCCGCCAGCGTATCCCGTTAGCGCAGGCGGGGTTACCATACCAACAACTTAAATTTACACATAGGTATTTAGGATAAAATAAAATTAAAATAATTACAATTACAAACATACTATCAAATCTTTCCTCTTTATAACATTATTATAAATGTTTACGTATATATCAGAATATAATCTAAATAAAACATAATGAATTAAATGAACTTAATAATTGAATTAAACAAAATCTATAAAATGATAAAACATAATTATTACTATTTAAAAATGGCTAATACCAACCCAAAAAAAGTCGAAGCCAAAATATGAAAATATATATACATATATTACTATTTCTTATAATTTCAGAGAAAATTTGTAAGTAATCCGATTAAGTGATTAAGTTAACTTAAGCCTTATTAAAATCATTGATACTTAAATATAACTTTTCATCAACAATCCATTCATTTTCTTGAACAAACAGGATATTGTACAGATAATGTACATATTATTTATATGATCATTATTTGTCTGTAGCACAGCTTTTCCTAATTCAGGCATCAGACTCCACAATACATAAAATACATAACAATGTGTATTCTTTAGTAAATAGTTTGTTTATACAGTATTGTGAAGAACGAATAAATATTTTTAATTTGAATTTTTAATTTGAATCATAATGAACAGTAATTCTCCATTGTATGTATTATAATTTGGTATGTCTATATGGATACGTCTGTAATTATTTATCTATAATAATTTTAAATTTTTTACCGCATTATTACATTTCTTTTTTTGCCAAAGGTTGGCTGGGAGAGAATTCTTATATAGCATTAAATCCACCTTTTGTACCAAACATATTTTGTAATGTGGTCAAAAAAGAATAAATAAATAAATTACCCTTCTACTTAAAAACGCAGTAATTGCTAATTGTATGTAAATTTATTTATTTATTTTTTATAACTAATTTATTTATTTTGTAATATTCTTATTGATATTATAAATAATCATAATAAATTAATATAAATTATTTTATTAGCTCTTGCTTATTAACCCTAGTCATATTATCGAACAAAGAATTTATTTATTTATTTAAAAAAATATTTAAAATTGCCGTGTAGGTCCCGGCGTGGAATAGGCCACCCCTTCCTTTCCCGTAGGTGTCGTAAGAGGCGACTAAAGAAGGCCGAAGGATGGACAGCAGGATCATTCTTAACACATTCTTAAAAGTCTAAGCGGTTGTCAACCCGCCAGCCAAGCATGGCAACTACTGACAAAACCCTATAAGGGGAAGGCTTACGTTCAGCAGTGGACAGTTAAAGGCTGATATGATGATGATGATGATGATGATGAATATCGAGCAGCAAACTGTTTCTGTACAAAGGATTAGTCGTTTCGTTAAATAACAGACACCAATTTCATAATCAATTAGGTGTTTTTATTTAAAATACTTTCATTTGAGGATGACATTTTGAATCCGGTCGCGCGTATAAATACTAAAATCATTTTACAACAAAGCAGCGTTTCCAAATTGTGATATTTTTCGTAATATTGGTTAAAAATCACAAGAAAAAGATGAAGAACTCAACGTAGCGAAGAGTTAAAAGGCATTTTTTGTTATTTTCCGCATACTAGTTACATGATAAAATGTAGATAAGAGATAAGTTTGTAATTTGCTAAAAAATTAAGGAAATCGATAAATTGATAAATTTGGAGAAGAAATATTTGAAATTTGGATTGAAATCATAATTCGCATATGGCAACACTACAACAAAGAACGTGGAACAAAGTACAAGTATTTTAAATAATATCGTATGATTGATATAAGGAAGTTCCATCGAGAACACAAACAGTGAATTATGTAATATCAATTAATTCATTATTAACATTTGGTCACATTAGTTTCCGTCATTTTGAACACACTCTTATCTAAATTAAATATGATATTGTTGTCATTGTCAAAAGTCAACGCTCCTATTCCGGGTATATGTGCAACTTTTACAATACTAGATTCGGCTAGATTCTTTTCAATGACCACTCTGTATAAACCATCTATCCACCACGCGTATACTGTATCATCTAAATCAATCGTCAAACCCCTAAAGAATGCATTCTTGGACAACCAAATAGTTTCCCCTTTTTTATGCAAAAACAAACCGTAATTACTCAGGAAAACAATAACGTCGTATTTAGTTAAAACAAAATTCTTAATAGGTACATAATCTAAGACGCTATTAAATTGATCGCCTTTCTTCGATATGATTCTATTGTCATCCGACTTTACGAAGTAAACGAAACCTTTGTAAAAGAGACTAAGTATCGTATCGCCTCTAGAACTGTATGGGGCCAGTTTCTTCGTGTTGCCATATGTGAAAATACCATCGTAACCCCCTAAATAGACAATGGAGTTGTCTTGATCGATGTCAAACGTTCCGAAGTTCAGTACCTTTATATGTTCATCAGAGATAACTCCTTGTACATCAGGATTGTCTAAGTTAACGAAGCCAACCTTGTAATACTCTTTGTCGGCAATTTCCGGCTCGAAGCTGTAGAAAAGTACATTCTCACTCCGCAATATGCCCATTTTGTGAACAACAATATGCGTCCTGAATGTGGCGTTCATGTCGAAGAGGTATGAGACGTTGTAACATGTCGCGTTGACTTTGATACACGACGCGCAGTCAGGGCTGACGTCCTGGGTCACGACCGCCGCTACAAGGAGCACGGCCGTAAGGAAAATCGTTTCCGAATCTGTAACAAAGAGCGAGACATTGTTACATTTTAGCCCTTTTCTCATTAAAATCTCCAACGTCTAATAGACCAATTTTAAGTTTTGAAGTATTTGCAATCGACTTCAAAAACAAGGAGGTTGTATTCCTCATAACTCCGTCAGTTTTAAACTGATTTGTATTTTTTTTTTTATTTAAAATGATATACTTACAGATTGGTCTTTTAGAAATTCTATCAAAATCGGTTTAGTAGTTTATTTTTTAAATCAAAATAACTAATTCCACTAGAATTGAAGTAGATTTTTTGCTAAACACAATGTTATGTATTTTTGCGTTCAATTCTTAGCTTTAATTAAAAGTAGTAATAAAATAATTAAAATAGCGTTATAGGTACTAGTTTTTAGTTTTTATTATATTATTGGTATATGTAGTTATATATATTATTAGTATTTATTAGTATATATATACTATATATTTATCGCAGTCTATGAACCTCAATAATACGGACAAAGTCATAGAACAAAGCTATGATATATAATAAAAAAAAGCTATATAATAAAAAAAAAATATGTCAAATATATATTGCTTTCGCGTGCACAAATTGAACAACGCACCAAACGATACAGAAATCTGTTGATTTGTATGAAAATAAAATTATTCAAATGTACAAAACCACGTTGGTTCGTCTGCGATATCGAATAATTCAAGTACATAATATATATTTCGATATACGCACTGACTACCGCATGAAATCCGCAATCCAATACTGGATTTACAATAATAATTGCTTACATATTTCAATTATCACGTATCGCAAACCTTTTGTCACTATTCTACCATCATCATTTTTTTTGGATGATAATGGAATTGTAACCCTGCCTGCGCTATTGGTATACACTGGCGGGGCACCAGTGAGAGCATGAAAGCAGGCCAGTTAGCCCATCGTGACGACGACGTACAACAAGTATTAATCATTCCGGAATCAATGATTTTCGGGAGGAACTGAGTGGAAATCGACCTGACAAAGCTTACTAGCAATAGGGCCATTAGTCCCCATTACTAACAATCCCTTTCCCCCACCATCATATATATTTTCTTGATGGGTGAAAATGGTATGGTAACGGGATACGCTGGCGGAGCACCAGTGAAGGATAATAGATGAGAATGAAAACACATCGTGATGAATTCATAAGGAATTAACCATGATAGTTTCCAGGGGGAACCGCGAGGAGGTCGACCTGATTGGGTATATTGATAGCGATGAGATTCTCAGTCTCCATTACTAACAATCCCTTTCCCCCACCATCATCATATTAGCTATTAGCACATACAGTAATCCACCCTTTCCTTTCCCGTGGGTGATGTAAGAGGCGACTAAGGGAGAGCGAGATATGGGCAACAATGTCCATCTTAAAACATCTCCAAAGCCTTACTGCATTTGCTAATCCTCCTAGGGGAGGCTTATGTTCAGCAGTGGACAGTTAGAAACTGATGTGATGATGAAGATGATATAAGACGTTAGTCACTTATCATCAGGTGAGCCGCATGCTCGTTTGCCCCCTGTGTTGTAAAAAAAAAAAAAAACTATACCCTGCTTAATATAGATCTCCCGCTTAGGGAAGTTTTGCCAATAGTTGCCATACTTGGCAGGTGGGTTTGCAACAGCAGTTTGGCTTTGGTGATGTTTTAAAAGAAACGCTGCTGCCCATCCCTCGACAATTAAGTTCTCTTAGTCGCCTCTTAAGATACCCCCGGGAAAGGAAATGTTGCCCCATTTTATGGCGAGGACTACATGGCAAAAATAAAAGATGATTGCTATTATATAACTATATCAGTATTAATCTTTTTTTCTCATGGGGCCCGTGATGAAGAAAATAAACTACCCACATGTTATGTTATTCCATATAAAAGTCATGGTAAGTTTTACAATAAAAGTTACTTTTCGAAAGTTTTTTTTTTTCTTATTGACATGAATGGCACCCGAGAAAAACATGTATAATTTTTAATATGTTTGTTTGTTAATTTGGATTATATGGTAAAATTAAATCAAAATATAAAAAAAGCTTCCGTTAAGGTTTAGCAAAACTAAGCTATTTAAGTTAATTTAGTTAAGGTATACATATAACTATATTATTATCTATTAACTGTATTAGTACATAGGTATTATTAATTTTATGTTAAAGTTAGTTTAATTATTTATTAAAACTCATAGACTTAGTATAATATACATACATATTTAAACTACGAATAAATAAATAAATATTAAATATGTATACTAACTAGGTAGCTTACCTGGTTCGTAACTCAATGGAACTAGGCCATTGTATGTATCGATCGACACGCGAGCATTTTTCTATGTGAATATTTAATAATATATGATACATATGGCGTCATATTACACTAGTTTTTTTTTTATTTTCTTTATTATAAATAAAAATTTTAAAAAATTAACATATATCAATATATTCTATTTAAAAATATAAAAATTTCAAAATGTAATTACAATCAAACCTAAATGTTATTACCAATATTTTTCTTCTTGTCTTTCGAGTCTTATCTGCCCCAAGGGTGGAGAGACAAATAATTAATGTCACGTTCACATTCTGTGTTAATTATGTTTAAATACAATATTTAACTACAAAGTAGACAATTAGGAATTGGCAAACAAGCTGACGGCCCATTTGATGGAAAGTGGTAACCGTCGCCTATAGACATGAGCAGTATCATAGACATAACAGAGTATACTGTTTCGCCCATGATACCTACCATGCGTTGCCATTCCTGAGGACTCAGGTGTTATTCCTCTGTACCCGGTAAATTCACTGCCATATCTCACCTTTCAATCCGAAACACAGCCATGCAAACACAACTACTTCACGGTAGAAACACGAGTTAAAGTAAAGTACATATATAAAGTATGTACACTAAATTTACATTGTTATAAATTATATAAAATAAAGATGTACAACAGGCGAACTTAACTCTGTAAGAGTTCTGTACCAGCAAACCTTGAGTGGTAAGGAGCATTAATTATCAATTAATCTTTATTAAAATTATAAATGTAAAAGTGGGATTGTTCGTTTGTTACCTTATATCGTCTTAACGGTTTAACCAATTACTATGAAATGTGGTATACACATACTATTGTAAATTGGGGTAATAGAGTACTTGTTATCCCAGATGTGCACGACGCACCTTTTTAGTTTCTTTTTTAATTTTATTAAAAAGATATTTTGTTTGTAATTTGAAGTCTGTGTCAGTTCAGTTTTGTTTTATTCGCTTTTTTGCTCCTTTTGTTTGTTTTGTATATTTTTTATATAATTATATTATCTTTCCAAAACACCGTGTTTCCATACCAGCATACAGTTCTTTCGCCCACACCAGACAATGGGCCTACCCCGGACACGAGGATAAAGTCGCGGGTAAAAGCTAGTAAGAAATAAATTGCGAAAAATATTTAATTTCAAATGGTCTTTGTTTTATAATTTTATAAATAATAATATTAAATATTTATTTCATTCACTCCCGAGGTATAAATAAAAGTCTTGCGTTTCAGGAGTTACATTACAGTCCATGTTATTATTTGCTGTGCTCTCTATATGCAAAATAAGTGTAGAGCGTAATTAAAAATGCTTATGTAACTTTACTGTTGAGTGTTACATTATTATAATTATTTATATTTATTTTATTATAATGAACCGAACGCACCTTTTTTATAAAGAAATTCCATATTTTGTAGCGTCAATTTACATTCCAAAAACACGACCGCAAATCTTCACCGACGACAGAGACACCACAGATAAATAAAAGCGCGGGAATCTTTTTTTCTTTTTTTTTTCACAATACATACAGATATAAAAAGGCACGGAAGTTAGATGACAATGCGCGCGTGTTCGATTCCATCGTCTACCACAATGTATGGTGTGGGTGCCCCATTGCTGTTAAATATGAAATTACCACGTGTGTCCGAGAACAGAAAATACATAGAGCAGTCCATCGAATTCTTTTTGTTAAGAGTTTTAATTTGGAGGCAAACAAATAGACAGTCCACCTGACACCTGCAACATAATTTATTTACACACTTACATCCATGGCCATGGCATTTTACTATTTGTGCCTATTTACTATAATCTAAGATATTACCTTTGTTTAGCTAAAAGAAAATCAATCAAGGTGTCAATGAATGCAGGCGACTTAGAACCATTTCTTATGGATGTTTTTAAGGGAGGATATGTACATACATAATACGTACGCATACAATACATAATACGTACTTGAATATGTGTTTAGAACTGTATTTGATTAAGTTGTTATCAAATCAAATCAAATCAAATCATCACAAAATGTACCATAAGAATTATGTTTTATCCAAATAAATTTTAAGTATTTATTTGTTTGTTCAATACTTTATTGTGCACATTAATAATACATAAAAATATGACAGAGGAATTCAAATGTACAAAGGCGAGTTTAACTCTAAAAGAGTTCTTTTCCAGCAAACCCAAATGAATGCATGAATATGAAAAAGATCTGCAAGTTTTGAATAAAATATATGTATTTTTGGAATCGTTCATTTTTTATTAAATTAAATAGTTCAAACTATTCCATTATAGCCGTCTGGATTTCACGCGGAATAAGTTTTTTTTTTTTTAATAATATACAGTACATGTACATGTACATGTACAGTAGTGCAGCTTTCTATAGGTAAAATAATATTTATAGAAGCAGCTGTATTTGCATGGTTATATTTCGGTTTGAAGGGTGGGATATGGCAATGAATTTACAGGGTACAGAAGAATAACACCCGAGTCCTCAGAAATGGCAACACATGGGAGGTATCATGGGCGAAACAGTAAACTCTGTTATGTCCATAGTACTGCTCATGTCTATAAGCAACGGTTACCACTTTCCATCAGGTGGGCCGTCAGCTTGTTTGCCATTCTAAGTAGTATAAAAAAAAATAAAAAAAATCTAATAAATAATCCATACTACGAGCACATTTGTCTGTACGAGATCGTCGCTCTAGCTTTTCTTCACCATCGGTTTTCATTTCCTCAAACAAATAACTAACCTACTTTAGTAAGTAGCAATACTTCAGTTTGCATTAGTTTATTTTGCTTTATTTGTGTGAGCTAAAAAAAAATAAACAAGCTGACTTGTCCCTTGAAAGGATTTCTTCCAGTCAACCTTTTTTGTTATGGGTGAAAATGGTATGGTAACCCCGCCTGCGCTAACGGGATACGCTAGCGGAGCACCAGTGAAGGGTGATAGATGAGAATGAAAACAGGCCAGTTAGCCCATCATGATGAATTTATCAGAAATTAACCATGATAGTTTCCAGGGAGAACCGCGAGAAGGTCGACCTGGTTGGATATATTGCTAGCAATGGGATTCTCAGTCTCCATTACTAACAATCCTTTTCCCCCCAGTCAACCTTTAGAACCAGAAAAAAAACGCGGTAAGAGTGTTTCTTTTTTTTTTAATTTATTAGGCTTTGACCAAAAGCCATCTGCCAATGATCAGAGTATTTTTTTATTCTTCTTTTTTTTAACAAACACAGCTCCGTATATTTCCAGTCCATTTGCCACCCACCGATCCAGCCCGTGGACACGAATAAAGGTCCGCACCGAACTATGATAAAACACTATTTATGTGATTGTTTACTGATGCTAATAACACTGGGAACACAACTGCTACATGTGTTCTGATTGTTGGCAATCGTGTACCTAACATTATTTACCATAATAATGTAACACAAGTATTGAAATACTAAGCCGAGGCAATTCCGCGCCGTATTCAATTTTTTTTTTTTTTTATTCAATTGACCTTTTTCAATATATTTATATGCTTTTGTACATTCACTTTTAATTAAGATATTAGGTTATAACAAAAATGTACACAGACCAACTTATCCCTTAAAGAGATTTCTTCCAGTCAACCTACCAACAGTATACTCTATGTTATGTTCATGGTACTGCTCACACCTAAAGACAGGCAACAAGCTGACGACCCACCTAACACAGTATACTGTTTGGCGCATGATACCCATGCGTTTTCATTCCTGAAGACTGAGCTGTTATGCCTCTGTACCCCATAAATTCACTGCTACATATATCCCACCCTTCAAACCGAAACACAGCCATGCAAACACAACTGCTTCACGGTAGAAACACGAATGAGACAGAGGTGCCCAAGCAAACGACTTTTGCCTTTTCTCCCTCTGGTAAATAATTTTAGTAAAATTCATTTTCATTAAAATCTATTGAAATAGAAAGTAATATTGTTAGTAATTACGTAAGTACTAGGGGGAAGGGATCGTTAGTAATGCGGGCTACCAGCCCCATTGCTAGCAGTATACCCTGTCAGGTCGACCTCCACGCGGTTCCCCCTAGAAACCATCGTGCTGAGTTCCATGTGTATTCATCACGATGGGCTGACTGACCTGCCTTTTTTCATTATTCACCTATCACCCCTCACTGGTGCTCCGCCAGCGTATATCGATAGCGCGGGCGGGGTCACCATTCCATTAATCATCCATTAAAAAAAAATACGTAAATACTACCGCGGAAATATTTCGAGACAATCAATTGCATCATCTTACGAACATGATTGAACTCGTCCGCAGTTGTATGAAGTACATACATATGTATGTACATATTCTTCCTGTAGTAGTCACCTAATACTACGCGACGCCCACATACAAATATTTAACGTAATCACTTCCTAACTGGACCATGAGACTGGGCCAAGCACGAGGCGGAGTACTTCACTTGTTATTAATACGAAGTGGGATGAATTGGGAACAAAACAATGCATTTGTCAACTATTTTAACTAAGAAATCCCACTATGGGATAACTCCGCCATTGTGTTTTAAACCTGTCACCTCTCACTAATGCCCTGCCAGTGTATACCAATAGCACAGGCGGGGTTACCATGCCATTTTCACCCATTAAAAAACCCATATCTTATATTTCTTATCTATATCACTCGTTGAAAGCAACAGTAAAGATTTTTCATTCATTAATATCCGACCTTCTATTATACAAGATACCTGGGGGTCTACCATTAAATGAAATTCCGAATTTTCGGGCTCAATTTCGTGTTTTTGTTCGTACCAAAATCGACCCTGTAAATGGAGCTTAACATTTCGTTTATTATAATTCCTATCATAAAAGTTCAAAGGAACGATATTTTAGCATTTTTAATATTTTTAAACGATACATATCATGTAATTTTAGCATAAAATTTTTGTTTCGTTCGGATCCGAAATTTCGGAAAACATTTCATGGTAGGCCCTCTGATCTGAGAGATTAACTCTACTGATCTTGTTCATTAACCCTGTGTTAACTAACTTAAAACAACTTTTTATTCAACCAATTTTATTCTTTGTCTCTGGCAATATAAATTAAGTCGTCCTCATAATATTATAAAGACTTTTACGTAGCGAAATATTGCGACGGCTTTTTCAAAAGTTCCAAAAATAAAGTTATATTTTATTGTATACATTCTTTTTGTGATTAACAAAGTTTTTATAAAGTATCTAATAAAGTCTTAAAATAAGACTTAAATAGGTAGAATACAAGTAATTAATAAGTAAATTACCAGAGGGAGACTTTGTACAAAAGTCGATTGCTTGGGTACCTCTGTCCCATGGCTGTGTTTCGGTTTGAAGGGTGGGATATTGCGTGAATTTATAGGGTACAGAGGAATAACATCTGAGTCCTCAGAAATGGCAACGCATGGGGGGTATCATGGGTGAAACAGTATACTCTGTTGTGTTCGTGGTACTGCTCATGTCTATAGGCGACGGTTACCACTTTCCATCAGGTGGGCCGTCAGCTTATTTGCCATTCTAAGTTGTATAAAAAAAATGTAAACGTCTTAACCCTATACAGGTAGTATATTACTATTCATATTTTTTTAATGTTTTTTTATCTCATAACAGCGTTAATTATAAACAATTTTTTTTTTTTTTTTATATAAAAGGATATACTTACAGTACTTACAGATAGGACCCACAGAAATTTTATCAAATTCAGTTACATAGTACAGTTCTGAAATCAAAATACTGGTTTTGCTACAATTGAAGTCTTTCAAAAGAAAGCTTTTCACAATCTTTACGTCTACCTAGTTATGTAATTTGTTTATTGCAGAAGTCCATATCATTTGATTAGAATTATTATATTTTATTTTATGCCACTACCATTAATATGCTTGTGACTGAAGATTAATCACCACTATTACTACCAAATGGTCGACAACTTTCCATATTAGCCATCAATCTCCAACTGCCATTTTGTTCACACACGTTTTGTTTGTTGACACGTGTCTCACCTCTTAAAGAGGCATCTTCAAGTATATTATTAGATCGCTGATCGGAGCCTAGAATTAACCCTTCAACACCCAAATTATGAATACTACTGTAAACCTACTTAATCAGAAATAATACTTATAATAAATCTACTTGAATATTTCTATTTTCATCCGACTTAAAAAAAAATCAAGTTCTCAATACAGTTGTCTTTTTTATGATTGTTACCTCATAACTGCGCCAGTTATAAACTGATCTGGAAAATTATTTTTTTATCTGAAAACCGCCTGCCAAGCGTGGCAGCTACTGGCAAACACCCTCAAGGAGGAGGCTTATATTTAACAGTGGACAGTTAAAGACTTACATGATGATGATATTATATATAAAAATCATTTTTTACATAGTCCGAAAATTTTACCAATAAAAACATAAACAATTACCTAATTGTTAACAAAGAACTATATGAATTTTTAATTATGTATTTAATAAATGCTAATATCTAATAAAAAAAAAACCTTCCACGTATCTGCAATTTTCCATTATAAAAGCAAAACTATGAAACTGAAAAGAGACAAATTAACACGTTTTACTGCCGCAAATCCCGCATTTATAGCTCTTAAACAACTGCAATGTTGCCAAAGCCGTTATCTATCTCATTTCCCCTTTCGCGTAACCCTATTTAAGTAAAAGAGATACAAGATCCAACTGATAACATAATAATAACTTGCCTTACTTGAGAAATACGCTAAAACCAGAAGGACTCTGATAATATCTTTTCAACATTAGCAGATTAATGAAGCGAAAATGCAATGTAATTAGGCGGGGGTTTAATCTTTATATCAGAAAATAAAGGGTTTATGAATTTCAACCCTTATAGAGCTACTCAACGAACGGTGGAGGTATCCAAAAATGTTTTTTTTTTTTAATAGCGCGTTAGAAGCGCGCTTTTGTTGAGCTATTCAATTCGATTGTTCGATTTTTTTTCATCTGAAAAGAAATATTAATAGATTGATGCCATAGAATTTACCAGAAGGAGACTTTGTACAAAAGTCGATTGCTTGGGTACCTCTGTCCCATTCGTGTTTCAACCGTGAAGCAGTTGTGTTTGCATGGCTGTGTTTCACTTTAAAGGGTGGGATATGGCGTGAATTTACTGGGTACAGAGGAATAACACTTGAGTCCTCAGGAATGGCAACGCATGGGGGGTATCATGGGCGAAACAGTATTCTCTGTTATGTCCATGGTACTGCTCATGTCTATAGGCGACGGTTACCACTTTCCATCAGGTGGGTCGTCAGCTTGTTTGCCATTCTAAGTTGTATAAAAAAAAATAGAAATTTTATCAATACGGTTCAGTAATTTAGTTTTTAAATCAAAATAACCGGTGTTGCCACAATGAAAGTCAGTATTTTCTGAAAACTTAATTAAATATCAGTGTTTTGCTCTTTTGAGTTGTTTTGCTGTTTGTTTTGTTATTTTGCTCAAATATGGTTGAGAGCAAAAATGGCTGGCTCATCTGTTATACTCGTGAACGGGTGCTGCTTGTGGATACTGGTCTGTTTGGGTTACAAACACTGATTAGACTATTTGCTTTTGCAATAGCATATGCTGGTGGTCACTCTATTCTCCCAAATTTGAATTTAAAAATGAATCTGTATTATTGTAAACATGTATAAAATTTATTTGAAAAGAATACGAGCTGAGTTTCTTGTCAGTTCTTCTCATCTCGAAATCATTCTGAACTGACGGTAGATTTGACATATCATAAGAGTCTGGAATAGACTTACATGAATAAAGATATTTTGAATTTAGATTTTTTTGAGGGCAATAGGTTTGAATTGAGGGCAAACAATAAGCTGAGTTGTGACCATTTTGTGTTGTAAAAAATTTTAAGCTACCCGAACAGGCAGGGCCTACAAATGTTAATATAGACGACTCAAATTTTGTCCTTTATAAATTTTTCAATCGTGAACTACTCTTATTTATAAATATAATAAAATTTAACTAAACAATGTCAGTAGTGTATGGGAAATGTTTAAGAAAAATTGATATGATTGGGGGCTTAATAAGACTAATCTACCATCCGTAGAATAAAACATTTTAAAAATTCTGTCTGTCTATATATTTATACCAGCATTAATAGCAAAAACTTCTGCACCATATTTGATGCTATTTCCACAATTGCATGCCAGAAGGTCTATCTTGAAATCTGATATACATTTTATCATAAAGCGCCATCTAGAAGTAATCCATTTTATTGTTATCGAAATGCGTACGACGTAGCGGGCAAAAGCTATAATATTATATTATATTATAAGTGTGAAAGTTTGTAAAATGTTTTTCTATCAACCAATTAGACTTAAACTGCTAAACGGATTTGAATGAAACTTAGTACACGTACATAAGACTCGTATTAACACATAGGATACTTAATGTTTTCTGGTATACTTTACGATTGCCGTGTCCCGGCATAAAATAGGCCACCCCTTCCTTTCCCGTGAGTGTCGTAAGAGGCGAATAAGCGAGGGCGAGGGATGGACAGCAGCGTTCTTCTTAAAAAGTCTCTAAAGCCTAACTGCGGTTATCAATCCGCTTGCCAAGCGTGATAACAACTAGCAGAACCCCCCGAGGAAGAGGCTTATATTCAGCAGTGGACAATTAAAGGCTGACATGATGATGATGATGATGATGATACTTTATTTACTGATGCACACAGGCAAAATCAAAGGGAACAACTAGTATGTCCTACAGTACGTTAGATTCTTACCCCTTATGAATAAATCTTTGTAAATATATACAATAATAAATGTCTCTTTCCTCGGTGCAAAATTTCTTATTGGAAAGAAAGAGACAAAACAGTGTAATAGATAAAATGGGTTTGTAAAAGATTTTAGTTTTTATGAATATTTTAGGAAATTATTTTTACATTCGGCTAATTATTATGACTTCACTCTGTAGCTGCCATTCCGCTTACCGCTATGCTTTCAACGAGCATTTTTCCCGCTAATTTCGTGGGCATGGCAACACAAACAGACACTATGTCGCTCCCGCAGTGAGCCATTTAAACTCTCTTTTGACGTACGCGCCCTACTTTCAGTGTTTTGCATTTTTCAACGTTCCCCTCTCGAGGTGTTTATATTCGGTTGACAGATACTCTGTGTGATCTACCGCAACTTTTACACCGACGCGAAAAGAATAAAAGATTAATGGCCTGCACAGACGGGAGACTGTGTTCGGCGTAAATTTTACTTCGGTCATAACAAAACCCCTGAAATTGCATGCTACAACGCAATCGAACAATACTGGATTACACAAAAGAAAATTTTGTCAACAGGTATGTCCGTTAAACAGCGCCTGTTCAAATATTACAGAAAGTAATTGGAACTAAAGACTATGGGCTAACTGACCTGTTTTCATTCTCACCTATCATCTCTCACTGGTGCCCTGCCAGTGTATACCAATAGCGCAGGCGAACTGACCATTCCATTGTCATCCATTAAAAAAAATATCATCGTTATAGAATATACGCTAACAAATGATAAATGTGGACAATTGAAAAGTCAACACGCAGTATTAATTAACAAAATATTGTTCCTACGTTATTAATCCCACCGCGCATTACAAGGTGACATGCAATATAATCCATGACCCGTTCTCAACAAATAGATAGGTTATTCCTTGATGAATGAACCTAATTTCAAGACGAGACATAGTTACATCGGCTACATTGTAATCGTTTCTATGATTGTAACAGGCTTCAGTGGGGGGGGGAGATTGTTAGTAATGGGGACATTAATCGCCATTATTAGCAATGTACCCTGTCAAGTCGACCTCCACGCTGTTCCCCCTGGAAACCATCGTGATTAATTATTGTCGAATTCGTCGCTATGGCCTAACTGACCTCTCCTTTTTTTTTATTTAATACTTTATTGTACAGATTAATCTATACTTATAATAAATCTGTAGAAAGGTCAGTTCTGTATATGTAATATATTTCCAAAATAACTATCCGGGGGTGATTAGTGATCGATACTGATGCCAAAAATGCAATCAGTAAAATTTTTGTCTGTCTGTCTGTCTGTATGTTCGTTATAGAAACAAAAACTACTCGACGGATTTTAACGAAACTTGATACAATTATTGTTCATACTCCTGGGCAGGTTATTGTATACTTCTCATCACTCTACGATCAATAGGAGCAGAGCAGTGAAGGGAAATGTTAAAAATGTCCATCGGTGCGACGCCGGGACGGGCCGCTAGTTATACATAAAAATCACTTACTTCTTCCTTCTTCATCCTTACCTATCATCTCTCACTAGTACCCCACCAGTGTAGACAGATATCGAGGGCGGATTACCATTTATCATTGATTAAAAAAAACTGACTCGAGTTTTGTTACATTATAGCGCCTTGACGGCTTAACCAATCAATACGAAATTTGGTATACACGTACTACATGGGATGGAGAAATGTATAGGTTGCTTTTTATTCCGTTCAGAAAAATATTTCGGTCACGCGGATGAAGTCGTGGGTAAAAGTTAATAGTTACATAAACGTTTCCGTTTGATTTTATCCATAGACGTACTTAAAGGAGCGGGAGAGGGCTTTCCCGTGGGTGTCGTAAGAGGGAACTTAATATTTGAGGGATGGACAAGCAGCGTCTCTCTTAAAACATCACTAAAGTGTTTCTTAACCCGCCTGCCAAGTGTGGTAAGTACTGATCAAATTTTGCTTCATATAATTTTGCTTCATACAAGTTCCCTTAAGAATTAAAGGTTTCTTTTTTCTTCTTCTATGCCAAGATCACATAGCAATAAAAAATAATATTGTTTATCAAGTTTTTTTTTTTGTTTTTTTTTTTTGTCTTGTCAATAGTGCTGTTAACGTCAGAGAGTCACGTGAACAGTTTATGATCGGTCAATTGATTGATATATAAGTCCTTATTACCCATCACGTGGAGTGTCAGCTTGTTAATAATTTCAAAAGCATAAATATATGCCCATAGACAATATCTTACATTTATTCAAGTAGAAATAAAAGTCTTAGTTTATAACTAATAAGGTATTATAAATAAAACAATTCAAAGTTTAGCAAGAGTTTAATAAAAAAATGCAAAATAATAAAAATATCTCCAAATATTGAGCCTTACGCTAGGATATCTGTAGGTTGACTACATACAAAATACATAAATTACACTCATTCACACGGCCAGGTTACCTGATCTGGTATCAAACTTTTACTAATATAAATATATTTATAAATACCATTGTAAATTTTAATAATAAAACCCCCTGATATATCGGAACCAATACTTCAAATCTTAAATCAGTGGTTCCCAAACAATACTAGACTACTGAACCATTTGAAAAGAAAAAAATATTCAACGCCCATAAATCGATAATAATTAATATATTAAAAAAACATTCTTGCACTTTGTCTAGATGACGTAATTCAGTTGCTAATAATTCTCATTTGATGACGAAACATATTGAAACGACACAGTAGAACGACTTTTGATGCAATTGAAATTGGGATAAACTCGAAATCACATCGAAAAAACATCATATGGATGTACATTTGACAGTTTTAGTTACAATATAGATATAAATAGACGTTATTGAAACTGTCTGAATTCACATTTCTAAAAGTTTCATTTGATTTAAACGAAATTTACTGAATACTGATTTAACTACTTTATTTTAACTGTACATTTACATTAGTAAAAGGTTGTATTATGTGAAATTACATAACAAACGAATTACATTGGCACTAACTCCAATCTTTGTAGCGAATCTTAATAAAAGATAAATACATACACGAACAATTACAATTAATTACAATTTACAAAAGTGGATGTGAAAGAATAATCTGGAAGTTTTAATTTCGTTTCAATGAGTTTATTGTCATTTCACAACTTTGGTATGTATGGAAATGATTTTAATTAGAGAGCCAGCGGAGAATACATTGGCCAATTGTCATGTGAAGATCCCTATGATACCAGAAAACCAAGTGTTCTTTGGTTAAAAAATAAAAAAAAAAAACAATTACATATAAAAACAATAGTTGAAAGCATAGAGAATATCCAATTGAAATTAATTTCAATGGATAACACTAGCTTTAGTGATAAAAGTGGACTTTATTGTAATGACATTACAAAACAAATTTGCTTACGAAACGCGTAATAAAAATTGAAACTTCAAACAATCACGCTTCTATAGGGTCTTCACAAAAGCATTTTAGTACGTTTACAATGTATTTTATTTTACACATTTGATGGATTTAGTCGTATTGATTTTATAATACTGGTTGCTATAAAATTCAATCAAAAATAAAACTCGTGTGTTGACAAAGACACCGGTAAACAACTTGAGCATGAATTTACGCGACTATGAAGTAACAAATACACTCCTCGCAAAAATTAAGGGAACATAAAAATTTTTGAAATTTTTGGGTGATTTTCAACAGGCTGTATTTCAGTGAAAAATAATCGTACAGGAAATTTAAAAAAAAGGGGTTTGAAGCTTGAAATCTCTAGTTTTCAGATTTTTTGGTGAAAAAATTTTTTGAGCTCCGGTTTCCATGCAATTCTTAAACAAAGCTGAAAATATTATTTTTCTAAATTTTCTAGGTTTCGTTTTTCACTCTATGGGCATGGAAAAATTTTTTCGAGCTACTCCATTGTATAGGTCTCTTAGCGTGTTTATTCAGCTTCAAAAATCGCTTTGGATGGCTTAATTACGACCATTTGTCTCCGAGATATCGAACTTTGAATGCAAAAGCATCCTTTTCCATTCAACTGCTAATATCTCTGGAACTACTGGTCGCACAGCAAGCGGGCGCCGAGTTTCTTTATCTGCATAAAATTTTCTTGATTTTTTTCGATTTTTTTTTTTGATAATGAATTTTTAAAAAACAAAAAATTGAGTAAAAAGTGAAAAACAAATGAAATTATTGATTTTTGAATGGATTAGGGTGAGTTTAAGGGACAAAAACCTTGTTCCCTTATTTTTTCCAAAATTTCAATCAATTGGTCCGGGAAAAACCGTTGAACCGATCGCTCCAGGCATTTAGGGGGTTCTTTAAGGAACAATAGACTGTAAAATTTTCCTTAAACCTTAGCTTTCCCGCCCATATTAGCGAAGATACAGCCAAGTAACCAAAAAAGGAGAAAATGTCACTTATTTCCACTTTTTTCAATTCAATGTTAGAGGTGGAAAAAAATTTTTTTCTTCACTAACTCTTGACTGTGCTTAATTGGAAATTTTATGCAGATAAAGAAACTCGGCGCCCGCTTGCTGTGCGACCAGTAGTTCCAGAGATATTAGCAGTTGAATGGAAAAGGATGCTTTTGCATTCAAAGTTCGATATCTCGGAGACAAATGGTCGTAATTGAGCCATCCAAAGCGATTTTTGAAGCTGAATAAACACGCTAAGAGACCTATACAATGGAGTAGCTCGAAAAAATTTTTCCATGCCCATAGAGTGAAAAACGAAACCTAGAAAATTTAGAAAAAAAATATTTTCAGCTTTGTTTAAGAATTGCATGGAAACCGGAGGTCAAAAAATGTTTTCACCAAAAAATCTGAAAACTAGAGATTTCAAGCTTCAAAACCCTTTTTTTAAATTTCCTGTACGATTATTTTTCACTGAAATACAGCCTGTTGAAAATCACCCAAAAATTTCAAAAATTTTTATGTTCCCTTAATTTTTGCGAGGAGTGTACATACTTTGAGAACCTTTGCACTTCTCAAAATATTGGTTTGAGAATTTTAATAGCATTAATCCGGCTCTATAGTATCACTTTATATTAATGCATATAGTTTAAATAAAGAAAAGTGTTTTCACAAAATTCATTGTCTATGGTTGTCTAATCATTTGCGCGGGAACTGTATAATTTTTTTTTTAAATAATTTTTTTTTTTTTTTTTTTTTTTATGCCACTTAGAATGGCAAACAAGCTGATGGCCCACCTGATGGAAAGTGGTAACCGTTGCCTATAGACATGAGCAGTACTATGGACATAACAGAGTATACTGTTTCGCCCATGATACCCCCCATGCGTTGCCACTCCTGAGGACTCAGGTGTTACTCCTCTGTACCCAGTAAATTCACGCCATATCCCACCCTTCAAACCGAAACACAGTCATGCCAACACAACTGCTTCACGGTTGAAACACGAATGGGACAGAGGTACCCAAGCAATCGACTTTTGTACAAAGTCTCCCTCTGGTTTTTATTTAATTTTATTGGTCAAAAGAAAATATGGTACAAAAGGCGTACTTAATGCTAGTAGCATTCTCTACCAGTCAACCTTTGGGATGAACAGTGAATCACGAACGCGGTACTTCATTATTGGAATAAGGTAAACGTTTTATTACGATAAAATCCATCAATTCGCTATTGTGCTATACAATAAAACTATATTGTATTGTGATTCGACATCAAATTTTACCAAAGATGCGTATTACACTTCAGGCCCTGTAGACAAGTGGCAAGCTAATTTATCCATAGAATCGACATCGTTAGCGACTCCATGAGTTAGAATGAGACATACGACGTTGCTATCTCATTCTACCTTACGGACTCTATTCCATCGATAAATTCGCTTGCCACTTGTCTAGAGGGCGTGATCACTGATAGCTTTGAGCTGTATCTCGATATGAATACAATAAATGCAACGGTACTCTATTCGACATAATAGAAATTGGAATAAACCTATAAGATAAATGACAAAAGCCACACACCGCTAGCAACACAACATTATATACCGTTGTCTTTGTCGCACACTTCAATAAATTATACATAAGAAAAGGACAACGCTAGCAGTGTTGGCCGATTAAAATAAGATAAACATCGTAAACATAAATTAATACATTTGAAAATATTTTTATTTTTTAAAGAATAACTTTTTTTTTTTTTTGACTAGTGAATAAAATTACATCTATTCGTAATATTTAAGTAATAAGAAAGCATATGTATGAAACTCCCCAGTGTTTAATCTGCTCGCACGCGTACAGTCTGAGCGAGACGGCAATAATCGATGGAGATCATACAGACCTCACAAATTGTGAATTACCAATTACATTCCATTCTTCTTTCACGATAATCAAATTAGAACAATTTTCTGAGTCAACTGTCCCCTAATAATAATAATTCATAATTAAACGAGATTCCCTTTAATACTAAGCCAAACAGGCAAAAGAACAGGGTAGATTTCATTCAATAATTGCATGTATTTCAGTTAAATAAAATAAAACATAGACTAGCTATTCTAAATGAAAATAATACACAAATGCCTGACCATATACTGTCTTAAGACGCCACACATAGCTAACAATTCATTTTAACCCTTTTTGTGCCATCGATTTTTACTCATATCTACTTAAAAATGCCAAAGAAATCTTTGTCGTGTTGATGTCATTGACCTTTGTCTCTAAAAAAAAACTGTATCTCCTCCAAAAATTATCCAATTTTAATATATTTATATTTTTTTTTACAGCAAGCTGAACAGCGACTGATTTCACGAGCGCTGTGACGCTCGTGGCACTTTTAGTTGCAATGCGCACGAGTGCGATTGCGCTCGTCGACACTCAAAGGGTTAAATCACCATCTACTGTACTAAATAATACTCTACATACCATAAAAACTGTTTCTCCCCTTCTAAAACAACGCAATTCATTTTGATAGGAATTCATACAATCCTATTTGGTATCCGTGTAAAACCGGGGCAATTAGCTAGCTTTAAATGGCGTCTTAAAGCGTAAACAATCACATATCTAAAGCTATGTCCTCGCTGTTATGACAACACTATTCAGTACAAATAACTTGGATCACATCTTAGTATTTTTGTCTCAAATACAAAATGTTTTAGTGATTGAAGTAGACAATATTTTACAACTATTATTTATTATGTTAAAATCATCAAAGATTAATATTATTAATAAAAAAATCTCATTAATATAATCAAATCATAACTAAAGGATGTCTGTACATAGCAGATATTTAAGAAAAATTTGTTACAGTCGTGATATGGTAAATAAAAGGCAAAATCCATGTTATGGGCCCAGTACATAGATATTGTAACTAAAATATATAGATATTGCTATATGTTACCCACCTCTAATCAATACAAGTTATATTATTCCGCAACAATAAATTATTAAAAAATGAACAAAAAACAATTAAACTTATTTGTATATTTCTTATCCTTCAATAGAAAAATATTGTCTGAATCAATCACAATGGTAGTCACATTTTTACGACGTAATTATTGCATTTTCTGATCATATTCAGCGCGGACAAAGCCTGGGAATGTATATAAATACAGAGTATAATGTATAAATAAAGAATTTAAACGTCGACAAGGAATAAAAATCATAGTCTTTGGCGCTTTGAGCAAAACGTGATGTTTTTTATGGCATCAACTAGCGACACTAAACTTGCGCTTCTTTTAATAAAATTTAATATAACATTTACAAGTTGTTTTGGAGTCGTTGTGAAATATTTTAACAGTTTGTTAGTGAACATACAAGAAATACAAAATACAATGTGCAAAAGGCATGGGTAATATGAATACCGATCCAATATATATATATATATTGGATTTCTCTGGATATTAACGGCGGAAAAAAGGCGAGTATCTAAAAGGGTGATGACACCCATTTCGATATCGCCCATATTGGTTGAATATCTATTTTTGAATGTGTTAAAAGTCTGTTATCCAATATTACTTTTTGGATAACAAATTTTTGACATATTCGTCATTGAACCAGTATATAGATATTGTAACTATATATTGCTATATATTACTCAGCCCTAATATGTAAGTGTGTCATGACATTGACACAGTTTAAATTATATTACAAGCGATGATTACCACATTCTATCAGATAATCTGTCAGCCTTTTTTTATCACTAGTATCCAGGCACTCTATCTTAGATATAAAAAAGAATAGTATTGGCAAAGTAACATACAAAATAGAATAGAGACAAAATAAACATATATATATATATATATATATATACACACATATATATACATATACATATATATATATATATATACACACATATATATATATATATATATATATACATATATATATATATATATATATCGACTTCATTTAGAAATCTTCCTCAGAGGGCATATAGCGCTTTATGTCACAGCATAAAATTTCCCTTTACACACGTTTTAAAAAAAATTACAGTTAATAATTATAAACAATAATAATCAACGATTCCAAAACACTTGTGTATAATTACTAATGAAATAATATAGGTATTACAGCGTCAATTCCCTAATGAGTTACCCTATATTTGCTTATAGTATATAAATAAATCATACGTGTATAGTTACATTATAAATAGTAAGTATTATAAATAAATGCATTTATATGGCAAATGTTGGAAACACTGCAATTTTATTGGACGTCGAGTTGTGTTGATAAATGTATTAAAAAAAATAATATTAAATTACACTGTAATTTTACTTATATATTAGTATACTAGACACCCGCCCCGGCATCGCACGGGTGAAATGCTAATAAATGTGTTTATTTACGACATCACATTAGAAACCTCTAAAATTATCAATGTTTCTCTACAATATTATGCATGTATTAAACATATAAACCTTCCTCTTGAATCACTCTATCTATTAAAAAAAAAACGCGTCAAAATCCGTTGAATAGTTTTAAAGATTTAAGCATACATAGGGACAGACAGACAGCGACAGCGACTTTGTTTTATACTATTTAGTGATTTTATATTTGCTACATAAAAACCTAAGTCGTAGCGTCATTCGAATGTAAGAAGCTCAAATCAATGATTATTTAGTATTTTCTATTAATCCTCTTTTACAAATATCAATATAAAGAATATAAAATAACAATATATCCATTTAATAACATAGTAATAAAAAAAAGGACTAAAGGAACAGTTTTTTTTTTTTTTTTAATATTTGAAATGTGTATCAATACAATAATATTGTATTTATACACATTTCAAATTTTAATAATATTGTAAACGTTCATTGGTTTATGTTAACACCACAAATGATATAAATATAAAAATTCACTCAATATTCATTTTTTAATAAGTTTTATAAAGGATTTTTTTTTTATACAACTTAGAATGGCCAACAAGCTGACGGCCCACCTGATGGAAAGTGGTAACCGTCGCCTATAGACACGAGCAGTACCATGGACATAACAGAGTATACTGTTTCGCCCATGATACCCCCCCATGCGTTGCCATTCCTGAGGACTCAGGTGTTGTTCCTCTGTACCCAGTAAATTCACGCCATATCCCACCCTTCAAACCGAAACACAGCCATGCAAACACAGCTGCTTCACGGTTGAAACACGAATGGAACAGAGGTACCCAAGGAATATGAGTATGTCTACATAGTGGTACGAGATTTACAGCGAATCTAACAATTATACTATGCAAAATCATCACCTTCCTACCCTTATCCCAATTATTGTTTGTGGTCGGCGTAATATGTTTTTATCCATATTACAAAAAGATTTGGCTTATAGTTTTACGACCGGCTGCTTCTATGCAAAATAATAGTAAGAAATCTGTCATCATCTTCATCATGATATGATGATGATGATGAAGTATAGTAGGATATCTATATATACGTACATACCTCGAATATTAAACTTCAATGCAGACAAATATCAACACGAGTCGCGTCACAATAAAAATGCATATTTTTACAAAAAAAATGAGCATTACAATGAGCATGGTTGTCACAGGTATAGTTTGGTCATATCCTGAGATCGCAATAGCATTTATTCTCGTGTCAAACGACAGGAATCCAAGGTGGTTACTTAAAAACACACACAAAAAACCCACCGCTATTTTGATAATAGCGTTAAGGGTTCTATAGTTGATGAAACTGCTTCAATCAATCACGTATCCTTATTGGCGTATTAAAGATTAATTTCTAGGGGGAGCCTGCCCTCTTAATAATGTATGTATTCTCAGACATTTTTGCTAAGCTTCGCTCGTTTTCTGAAGTGAGTACCGAAAAATTTTCGAGTGGGCAAAATACTGTAGAATTGTTCAACTAAGTTTTAAAATTAAATTTAATACAGACTTCTGCTCACCGCAGATTAGTCACCAAAAATACACCAAAATTCGAACTCACGACCTTTTTAGGGTCTAATTGTCCTAAAAGAAAGATTGCTACGAAATTAATATTTAGAGAGAAACATAATGATAACATGTTTAACTTTTATACAACGCCATCTAGCGGCGCATTGGTAATTTAACGTCTATTTAGTTTTATTTTTATTATTTTTACGAATATAAATGTGATATTGAGTTTCTTTGTCACCCCTTGGCGCATACATTACTGCTTACACAACAGATATAAAATATTTCTTTGTCTGCAAGCAGCAATGGATACGTGATTAATTCAAGCCGTTTGACCATGTACGAAGTCCATTAGACTTATATCCAATGCCAATATTATAAAAATGTGTAAAAATATGTTGGGTGCGCTCCTTCTTGATACTTTGTATCCGCGTGGCGACAGGGACAAATTTTTTTTTATACACTTCGTATAAATTTATAAAACCTTATTATACAATTATGTGCGAGTAAAGATGTATTCACCTACACTAAAATACTAATATCGTTATAGCTAGAATATTTAAAAGTGAACTATTTCTCATAGCGTAGGTTACTCAGGGAAAAAGTTCTAGAAAATATTGCTGTTCCATTATTACAACCTGTTGGGTTCTATTATGAAATAACGGTTATGGTGTTCAAGGCCCCATCACGAATTTACCATTAGGCACAAAAACAAACACCAAAAATACTCACTTTAATTAATTTTTAAAATAATTGTATCAACTGATTCTTACAGGACACGACATGACTATAGGACAAATGTGGAGAATCTCTAAATAGTTTTGGATAATTTTATATTGTGTTCAGACGTGCCTCTGGCTTTTTGTATCCTATCCCCTTATAAAAATCTCACCATTCAGTTGTCAATGATTAAATGCAAAATATGCATTGCACATTGATTGGTGATTAAATATATTTCTTTGTGGGGCTGGACAGTAATTGAAAATTAATACTTGCTCCTTGAGAAATATACCACTGAAATATTGCCTTTTTACATCAGTTTAGTTGCCTATAAACGTTACCTTTGTGATGTTTATAATACTTTTTTATCTCGTCTTATGTGCCTGTTTTCTCTGGGTCTAGCACAGGCGATAGACTGATTGTGTTGTTTAACTGTAAAAAATAAAGTTCATTTTACTTTGCTTACAATTATTATTACGAATAAAATGGGCAGTAATGTACCATAATCCTTTTAAATGTAACATAATATTACAATACTGGTGTATACCGACCGGCCATGTAGGGGAGCCTCGATACTAAGCTACAATTGCACTTCGGAGCCCTAATGGTCCCACTCGGCCTCTTCCACCCCCTCCATACTGTCCTGTTCCAACTTGAGATCCATCTGCACTCTGGCGCTCATCGACTTCATTATCTGCAATATAATGAATGAATGAAATTTAACGAAAATTAATCTCAATACGAAAGTTTGAAAAAAAAAAGTTTTTTGTGTGTGTATATATATATATATATATATATAAACTTCGCTCGTGATTGTAATAAAATAACCTTCTATAGCAGTTTTGACTAGCGATTTTATATACTTGTTTTTTTTTTTTAAGTTTATAGCCAAGTGTATCAACTAACAAGCTAGGCAAAAACAAAAAAGTGACTTGACAATAGACTAGTAGAGCGACTAGTAGAAACTACTTAACCAATTTAAAAATTATAAAAAATTATAAAAAATAATAAAATTTCTATGAAACAAATCTGAAAATATATCCTTTCAGATAAAAAAGAATCTTTCAAATCAATTTAGAATAGAGTTAAAATATTTTAAAAAAATAATAGTAAATTAAAATATGGCTGGAATTTGGTATGATTTGTCTTAAACTTACACTATCCTGCTTCTCCTTGGGGTCCAGGGGTACGTGCGACTTGATCAAGTCTGGTTTGGGTTTCTGCTGAGGCTTCTCAGGCCGCGGCGTGGCGGGTGTCGTATGAGCGGATACTGTCGATATAAATATACCATAAACTTTAGCCTGTAGCGGGACATTCATTTCAGTATTACCATATTTTTATTAAATTCTCTTATTACATTTTTTTTTGTACAATAGTATATAATAAGTTCCCGTGGGTGACATAAAAGGCTACTAAGGGAACTTATTGGTCGAGGGATAGACAGCAGCGTCCATCTTAAAGCATCACCATAAGCCAAACTGCGGTTACCAATCCACTTACCAAGCGTGACAATTACTGGCAAAATTCTCTTTATGGGGAAGCTTGTTTTTTTTAACCCCACCTGCGCTAACGGGATACGCCGGCGGAGTACCAGTGAAGGGTGATAGATGAGAATGAAAACAGGCCAGTTAGCCCATCATGATGAATTCATCAGGAATTAACCATGATAGTTTCCAGAGAGAACCGCGAGGAGGTCGACCTGGATGGGTATATTGCTAGCAATGGGATTTTCGGTCTCCATTACTAACACTCCCTTTCCCCCCGAGAAGCTTATGTTCAGCAGTGAGACGCAGCTGCTCATCTCTCTACCATTATGTTCCTTTAGTCGCCTCTTACGACACCTACAGGAAAGGAAGGGGTAGCCTATTCTATGCCAGGACCACACGGCCATTGCCATGTATTTTTTTTAAATGGGTGATAATGAAATAGTAACCCCGCCTGCGCTGCCAGTATACGCTGGCGGGGCACCAGTGCTAGATGACTAATGAGGATGAAAGCAGGTCAGTTAGCCCATCTTGACGAATTCGACTAGAATTAGCCACGATGGTTTCCAGGGGGAACCACGTGGAGGTCGACCTGACAGGGTATATTGCTAGTAATGGGGTTATTTAACCCCATTACTAACAATCCCTTCCCCCCCCCCCGTGCCATATGTATTAGGAAATAAATACTCACGCGGCTCCATGCCAGGCGGTTGCAGACTGACAGTACGCGGCGGCGCAGTTCGTCCCGCGAGCCAGTCCTTAGCCGACTGCCACGGCTCCCACGTCACCGCCGTCGGCGGGAACAGGTCGTCTTGGAACAGCTCGCTCTGCGGACATGAATCGTTAGTCGTACACTTGCATCCATCACTCGAAGTGGATGGGGTTTGCCACTTCGGATTTTCCGACCGAGGTGAATGGAGCCTTATTTTACACTGCCGCTTTGCACTCTCCGTCCGAGATAGAGGGGGCCTTATTTTACTTTGCTGCTTCGCACCTACCGCCCAAGGTGGATGGTACCTAATTTAACAGTAACTGTGTCCGAGACTATATCCGTGTGACAGGAATAAAAAGTAGCCCGTATTCTTTTCAATTTGAAATTACAAGTATGCCAGATTTCATTATGATTATTTGAAATATTAAGGCTCTAAAAGATTTTTCATTTTGTCATTACCACCATGTCAATAGAGGGAGACTTTGTACAAAAGTCGATTGCTTGGGTACCTCTGTTCCATTCGTGTTTCTACCGTGAAGCAGTTGTATTTGCATGGCTGTGTTTCGGTTTGATGAGTGGGATATGGCGTGAATTTACAGGGTACAGAGGAATAACACCTGAGTCCTCAGGAATAACAACGTATGGGTGGTATCATGGACGAAACGGTATACTCTATTATGTCCATGGTACTGCTCATTTCTATAGGCGACGGTTACCATTTTCCATCAGGTGGGCCGTCAGCTTGTTTGCCATTCTAAGTTGTATAAAAAAAAATTTCTTTGGAATAAATAGTACATTAATTACTTAAATAACATGCATAAGTATGTTATATTTATGCTAAACCATTTATAATTTTTCATTTACTTAACAATTGGTTTTCACATAAAAATTAATAAATTATAAAATTTTAATTGTTCAAAGATGGTACTAAAACATACAGTTTTATAACGAAAAAAGGTAAATTTACAACGAGCATTACCTTTATCCTGGGCACTGTGAACGACAGCGGCTCGATATTTCCGTTTGTAAGTCGCAACGCTCGTGCAAATTCAACCTAAAACGAATAAAATGATTGTAAATTCTGGAAAATGGCCGCCACGAGTGTTGGCGTGGGAAGATTGAGAAGCAACGGCGGTGTTACCTTATCGACGGCGACCATGTTCTTCTGCAGGAAGGCGATGCCCTGGTGCAGCGAGGCGGCGCGGTGGTGCGACAGTGGCGCCACGTACGGCGCCTCGCACGCCACCTCGTAGCAGTAGATCGTCGAGTCGCCCTGCACAACCAACCACTTCACGTTATACTCCAACCACTCTCTCTACTGTATCGTCAATAAGATAGGGTAGACTCTCTATCACTCGAGACATATACATAGCCTTTACTGCACAAAATACATTCTTTAGCTACCTCTTAAATTACAAAATCTTTGATATTATTCTTTCTTTCTTAAAATATATAAATCTTACTAAAAGTGCCCATTGTAATATTTATTTTTAGTCCAATCCGGCTAGAAGGACTATAAAAATACAGGTTTATCATTTAACAAAAAAATATGGTTTATCATACATATTTTCTTTTAGGAATTTGGTAAAAGTCGGGTCTCTAATTTTCTTTTTAAATGATAAACCTTGTTGGCAATTTTCAAATATTAATATTTTTTATAACTTATGTCACTTTTTTAACGATGTCTAGATAGGTGCATGTAGTAAGTTCATAAAATTCCTGTTGAGCATGTATATAGACAAGTTAATATTTGATATAATATTAACTCGCAGTTCACCAAACAATCAAAGACAATAATTAATTAAAATGTGTGTACCCGTCCTGTGAGGAAGAGCGTGCCTGAATCGTGGTCGATGTAGGTCTGCAATATGGCGGGCGACACGTCCAGCCCCACCGTGCACAGCGGCGCCGACAGGTCGCTGGCACAGTACAGCAGGATCTGACGCTCCGATACTCTGCAACCAAATACACACATTCTAAGTCCAATGTAAGGCAGAGAACCGGTTTTTCTCGTTTCCCGTTTCTACGAGACAGAGCTAAATTTTACGTATTTTTATAAATTTGTTGTTTTAATGCATTTCTGCTAACTTACATGAATATGAAAAAATATAATTAAGTACCTAATTAAAAATTGTTTTAACACTGTAAAGTACACTGTAGATGTCCATGCACAGAATATGGTAGGAAATAAATTGCCATGGCATAATGCTGAATGCTGGCCACGTTGGCAAATAATTGCTACAAATTTATATTACTGTCTTTTCGGTTTTTTGTTTTGTATGTGCATTTGGAGGTCAAAAACGCATTTTTTTTCTTTATAAAAAGTTTCTGAAATTAAAACTGACTATTTAGCATTCTTTTTTGAAAATGTTCTTCATATTTATAACGTTTCTAAAACTCTAAGTGAGACACTTATTAGAAGTAAATAAAAAATTACAATATTAACTGATCCCAAGCAACTATCGAAACCGAAAATCCGGTACTTTGACAATTCTACATCCCCCAGTCGGACAGGAAGAATTTGAAAAAACAAATACAACTCCTAATCGTATGAAGGGGAAGTGATTGTTAGTGATGGAGACTAAGGGCCCTATTGCTAGCAATATACCCAACTAGGTCGACCTCCCCGTGTTCCCACCTGAAAACCATCGTGCTGAATTCCAAGTGTATTCATCACGGTGGGCTAACTGACCTGCATTTTTCATCTGCACCTATCATCCCTTACTGGTGCTCCGCCAGTGTATACCGTTAGCGCAAGCGGGGATAACATTGCATAATCTTTTTCTTTTTTTTTTAATGGATATGAAATATACCTAAATAATAATACTCCGCCTGCGCTATCGGTATACGATGGCGGGACACCAGTGCGGGGTGATAGGTGACTATGAAAGCAGGTACTTTAGCTAATCGTGACGAATTTCACTAGAATTAATCACAATAGTTTCCAGGGGGAACCGCATGGAGATCGACCTGATAGGGTATTGCTAGTTTTGGGGAAATTAAACCCCCTTACTAACAATCCTGCCCCCTCCCCCATTGCATTATCATCCATTAAGAAAGTCGTATTAGTGGAAGTGTAGCATACTTGTCGAAGCCGGTGACGACGAGCCGCGTATCGCCGAGCGCCCACACCACGCGAGCTCCTCTTCCCCCGGGCGGCCCGCGGCCACTGCGAAGCGCCTCTGGCGATGCTCGCGGCTCGAATATCTAGACAAATTAAAACCCTATTACGTACACGCTTAAGAGTCAATTCACATTAACATACACTCGAGAAGGATTGAATTTGTATAGCATGGCATAATTATCATCATATCAGCCTTTAACTGTCCACTGCTCAACATAAGCCTATTCCTTGAGAGGTTTTACCAGTAGTTGTCATACTTGGCAGGCGAATTGGCAACTGCAGTCAAGCTTGGAGATGTTTTAAGAGGGATGCTAGTGCCCATCCCTCGCTTTCCCTCAGTCGGCTCTTACGATACCCACGGGAAAGGAAGGGGTGGCCTATTCTATGCCGGGACGACTGATATGCATTAATATTGAATTATATTTAATGTTTGTTATATATTTTATATATATATATATATATATATATATATATATATATATATATATATATATATATATATAACAAACATTAAACTTTTATTGTATTACAAATGCTTAGTAAGTAACCCTGCGGAGTGAGGCCCTGGTGACCTGTAATACAGGTATTCTTATACCTATCTCAGACACCAGTCTCTCACAATTATATTTATAATTTGTTTAATATAAGCATTGTATTTCACTGTAATGAATTGTGAAGAGAAATAAATCTGTTTATTATTTATTTATATTTAATATATTCTGAAAAAGTACGCAGTGCAGGACAACCGCCCACTAGATGGAGTGACTACCTAAAATGCATTGCAGGGAGTCAATGGATGCAGGTGGCTCAGGACCGTTCTTTATGGCAGTCTTTGGGAGAATCTCATATCCAACATAATGGCTGAAATGATGATGATGATGATATATCATCACCTTCCTACCCTTATCCCAATTATTATTTGGGGTCGGCATAATATGGTTTTATCTATATTACAAAAAGGTTTGGTTTTTAGTTTTACGACTGGATATCTACCTGACGTTAACCCTCTTTGGTAATGCATTTGTTAATGGTTTCCGCCACCTACGGTATGGAGGAAAGGATCGAGGAAAAAAGGAAGAGAATGTTGGAAATGTGTAAAAGAAATTTGTAAATGAGAAGAATAAGGGACTTATGTGGGAAAGAAAAGGGGGGAACACTGCAGTTTCGGGAAGGACTGGAACACTGCAGCGGCTCGGGAGGCCGGGGTCGCATACCCGTATGCCCTTATTCTAGAATCGGACAGATTTCTAGAGAAGAACACCCCTGACTCTGATGGATGATGATATATGTTACAATGAAATATGCTGTTGGGGTTCTTATGAATAAATAAATAATAAGTACTTTATCACCCTACCCTGACAAGTCCATCCTTGCATACAGTAGCGAGGTACTCTCCACTTTGTGACCAGTCGATAGCGAAGATCTGATCTGTATGACCAGTGAGAGTGATTGCAACTTTCGGCTCCTCCTCGCTGAGGTCCCATATCTTCACGGTGAGATCGTGGGCGGCGGTGGTCAGAAGATCGGACGCGGTCGGGTGGAATCGGATCAGGTAGATCTTGTCGGGGTGGGCGGCGAACGTACGGGCTGGTTCGTTCGTTGATTCTTGGAGGCCTGCAATTGGAGAATACATTTTAAAGTGAAGAGAGAGAGAGAGAGATGTTCTATCTGTGTTATGCTTATCTATATCTGTTATTACTTGTGTGTTGTAAGAAATACAAATAAATTAAAAAAATATATCTATCTATGTATATTATATTTTTAGATAGTTATTTTTTGGCAGAGCAATGATGTTTTTTTTTAATTTGCACAGCAAAATGTGCACGTGCCTATCTGTAACCGTGTCTATGTGTAGATAGGTAGTGGAGTGGTGGTACCTCCGTCGGGCAGGATCCACTCGCGCACAAGCCCGTCGTCGCAGGCGACGAGCAGCCGGCGGTCGCAGTGCGGGTCCCAGGCCCAGTCCTGCAGCGGCGCGGCGTGCAGCAGCGCGGCCGGCGCCACGCCGCCCGGCGCCGCGGCGGCTGCGCGCGCCGCCGGCGTGGCGCCGCCCGGCAGCTCCACCACGCCGATGCGGCCGCCGCCGCCGCTCAGCGGCACCGCGCACCGGACACCGTTCGCTGCGCACACGCCGACAACACTCACACATCACACGTCACACGTCACACGTCACACACTGTACCATACCACGCATAAACGATGGCAGCGAGACCACTGTTATAGTCTGTCAATGGAATTAGTAAATGGAAACAAACAAATGGCGAAACATATATCATGGTCACCATAGTACACTCTGCAATACAGTACCTTTCATGTCTACATCAGCTAAGACGGACTAGACAACGGGTACTACTTTTCATTAGGTGAACTGTCAATCGGTTTTCACTACTCATTCGTTTTCATTTGTTGCATAAAAAAATTATAATTTTCATTAAAAATTTTCCAAAAGACTATCATGGGTTTCTTTAAAAAAAAGGTGTAAAGAGATTTCTTTAAAGTCAGCAACGCGTAATACCCCTGATATTGTAGACATTAATAGGCTATGGTAACTTCTTACCATCAGGTGGGTCATATGCTCGTTTGCCCTCTCAATTGTATAAAAAAAATATCCAATAGTAGTACAGATAAAAAATTGGTTGACTGTTGTACTGGATCGAGTTGTCTATAGGTATTCTTTCCAACTATTTACAATTTAATATTATTTTCCATGCATATTTTGGGCGGTTCTATGGGCAAACAATCTGAAATATAAACCAGTATTAATCACAATCATTGATGAATGAACATTGGTAATACTCACCATAAAACCCATTACACTCTCCAGAGATCTGCCTGCTAATGTTCTTGATGTTTTCAACACACGTCGACTTGTGGCCGGGCGTGCCCTTCAAGTGGCGGAATTTTGATACTTTACCTGTAACACAATTTTTCATTAATATTACTACATCTCTACTGGAATAGAGATTAAAGGTTTGTTTATTAAGACTTACTTTCGAATATCAATTTAGGGTGAAAGAAAACACACGTCTTTAGTCCACTAAACTGGATATATTTTGAACTAATTTAAATTTAATAACATTGTTAATTTTAAACCTTGAGCAATGAGACATTGGTAATAGAATTGCCTGAAAACAATAAGGCTAACTAGTACATTTGTTTCTATTGACGATACGACACCCACAGGATAGGGGTGACCTATTCTTAGTCGGGACCACATAGCTATTTTAGGTTTGAAGCCTCAGAATCTTCCCCCACTGTATGTTTATTATTGACTAGCGGCCCGTTTTTAACATTTTTGACATTTTTAACATTTCCCTTTACTGCTCTGCTCCTATTGATCGTAGCGTGATGAAAAGTATACTATAACCTGCCCAGGAATATGAAGAATAATTGTACCAGGTTTCGTTAAAATCCGTTGAGTAGTTTTTGTTTCTATAACAAACATACAGACAGACAGACAAAAATTTTACCGATTGCATTTTTGGCATCAGTATCAATCACTAATCACCCCCTGATAGTTATTTTGGAAATATATTTCATGTACAGAATTGACCTCTCTACAGATTTATTATAAGTATAGATTAAACTCACCAAACACAGTTGACGTCCTCTTGGTGGTAACATTAGGCACCGAAGCGCGTTTGTCCTCACGCTCTGGACTTTTGCGGGACTTTAGCGAGTCTCTGCGTCTGTACAAAAATACAGTTTTTTTTTTTATTGAATACTTTATTGTACACGCTAATAATATATAAAAATATGACAGAAGTAATCAGAGGGAGACATTGTACAAAAGTCGTTAGCTTGGGCACCTCTGTCCCATTCGTGTTTCTACTGTGAAGCAGTTGTATTTGCATGATTGTGTTTCCGTTTGAAGGGTGGGATATAGCAGTGAATTTACAGAGTACAGAGAAACAATACCTGAGTCCTCAGAAATGGCAACACATGCTCATGTCTATAGGTGACGGTTACCACTTTCCATTAGGTGAGTCCTCACTCAGGTGTTATACCTCTGTATCCTATAAATTAATTGCCATATCGCACTCTTCAAACCGAAACACAGCCATGCAAACACAACTGCTTCACGGTTGAAACACGAATAAGACAGAGGTGCCCAAGCAAACGACTTTCGTACAGTCTCCCTCTGATGTGTGTATAGGAAATAAAAATACTGGGTAGATTTTTTTTTAATGAAACAGTGAATCAGTAAAACCGTAAAGAAGATATAACAATAGTGGTTAGTAGGTAGCAGCAATAGTAGTAAATCAATCTAACCTGAGCGGCGCGGGCGACGGCGGCGTATCGGACTCGACGGCGACGCTCACAGAACGGGCTTCGTACGCGCGCCGTCGTTCTGCTATCGACTGGTTTCCGCTGCACAAATACGTTTTTTTTTATGCAACTTCAAATGTCAAAGTAGCTGACGGCCCACCTGATGGAAAGTGGTAACCGTCGGCTATAAACATGAGCAGCACCATGGACTTAACAGAGTATACTGTTTCGCCCATGATACCCCCCATCCTGAGGATTAAGATGTTATACCTCTGTAGTCTGTAAATTTACTGCCATATTCCATCCTTCAAACCGAAACACAGCCATGCAAACAACTTCTTTACGATTGAAACACGAATAAGACAGAGGTATCCAAACAAACGACTTTTGTACAAAGTAGGAGACTGTACAAAAGTCCTTACTTTTGCGTCTGATTACGTTATATAACAATTTTAACAACTTAAAGCCTATCTTCGGTCGCCGATCATCTGTCAACTATATTGTCAGACAATTTGCTACTCTGCACAAAGATCGTAAGATCCATAGTACGTCGGCATAACTCCAAGCTATGCTCGCGCTCAACATTTGCTGGATTAATCGCGCGTCGATCCTCCGTCGACGGAAGATCGGCAACGCTGCCTTACAAGTTTTCTTATATGACGCGCCACACACAGCGGATTGTTTTTTTAATACCACGAAGGTAGCAAATAAGTATAGTCTATATGATGGTAAATGGTCACTGTAGCCTATGGATAACTATAACACTAGGGCTGTCACTTGCGCGTTGACAACCCTGAAGAAATTAACATACCTTACTGACCACGTTAACTGCTACTTCAGCGATCAAAGGTACACTAAATAGAGCACTATCTGCTTTACATAATACTACAAGAATGGCGTCCAATATTTTTTTTTTATATTACTATGATGACAAACAAGCATACGTCTCGTCTGATGGGAAACGGGGTTACCGTAGTTACCGTTACTATGACCTATGGACACCTGTAACACTAGGGATGTCACGCGCGTGTTGCCTTACTCAACCCTTAATTTCTTAAGGGTTGCGCTTAATACCCCCTTTTTGAAGAAACTTATGCTGTAGTCTCTGGGGAAAGCCTCAGCATGAAGATCATTCCACAACCTGAGTGTTCGCTGGAGGATAATAATGGAACATGTCTGTGATTTGCTTAATTTGCTAATATTATTACTCACTCGGTAGTCTCGAATAGTTTTCGCCTCTCGGCTGTGCTCGGTGTCTTGGGTCTGTACCCAGAGTCCGATGAGTTCACTTCTTCTTCTAAGCTTGTATCCGATTTGCCATTTATATATTCCTCTGTAACAATTGATATTATAAATTAAATATATAAAATTGTAGTATATTACAAGTAATTTTACAACAATTTGATACACAATTTTTTTGCGACTATGTTATCCCTAATACTGAATCGATTTTCCAAATGATTTTTGCAATTTATCTATCTATTCTATAATTTATATATAATTTTACTCCTGCGTTCGTTCTTATTTTATATAGGTTCTATAAATTCTTGAACAAATCCTGTAACATTAGTATTGGTGCAATAAAGTGTTAAAGAAATAAATATTTCACCTCTATAACGATTGAAACTTTAATTTTTCTTCAAAGTGTAAGAATTGGTCTGGAAAATTTATTATATAGAAAAAAAAATACCACATTCCAAATATTTGCAATGTGGAGTATTTACGAAACATCTCGTTGAAATCCTACGAATAGAATATGTATTGCTATTGAGCAAGAAATATACCTACGAAATGAAGTCCCTTTTTATAGAAAAAGGGATTTCATTTCGTAGGTATATTCGTTGCTCTATAACAGACCTGGGCAAATGGCAAGCCAAATCCGGTAGAATTTTGTCTGGCCCCTGAAACATTGTATAAACTATTAATTTGACGTCAAATTAATAGTTTATGTAAACCACCACAGTATTGCCAGCATTTGTTTTTCATGTTTTTTGTGACTCCATCTATTAAGCATGGATGATAGTGGTAATATTTTTATTAACACCTTTGTATGATAATTGTACAATTTGATTATTATCTGATACGAGTATTAATGCTTAAAAATTTTCTTTTCAATTTTTTTATTCAAATGACTTGATAAATAAATATTTTGTTTCAAAAATGTTGGTTTTAAAATTCATTAATTGACATCCTTAGCAAAGGAAGAATGACGACGATCCCGGATTCTCTGTGAACTCGGGTCTGGATGTTAGGGGTTGTGCCTCCAACTGTTCCCTGCCTGGTTACTCATAACACATCCTGTGTATATCCTATCATGAGGATGAGGTTGGTATGATAAGTCGGAAGTTATTATTATTGTTCTGACCTTTAGTAGCGACCTCCACGTCGCTAGTCGGAGAGAGAGACTTGTCTTTCTCCTCTGAAGACTCCTTCGCGGTGGGCGTAGACGTCATCGGCGTACCCGCTGTTGTGATTGGCGATGTTGCTGCAAACATCACTGACATTATTGATTGTTGGTGATCAAAATTTCCCTTTGTGTGAATTGTAGACACCTGTGCGACATAGGTATGCAATTTTAAATGTTTTATTGTAACCGAACAAAAAAGTACGCAAAGTTAATAAAATTTTAAATTTATCAGTTTATTAAGCTGCGTTTTAGGGTCTCATACATTCAAATTCAAATCATATTTATTCAAATAGACTAGATAAAAGTGCTTGTAAACAACAAGCACTTTTAAATCTTCATTTATATAATATAAAAACGGCTGAACTGATTTTGACGAAATCTTGACAGTATATTCAGCTAAATATAGGTCAATACTCATATATAAAGGCTATAGAAAGTAAAAAAAAGTACCCCCAAAAGCGTTAAATTTATAATTTTTCCAACTCATCTATTAACAAATATAAAGTTTACTCTATTAGACACTAGATGGCGTAAAAAATAAAAATGTGATTAAGTGCTATATATTACAAAATTGACTTAAATTTTTTTAGCACGTGAACAAAGTCACGGGCACAGCTAATAAAATGTACAAGTAACTGCGAGAGTCTCACCAGAATCAGATTTAGTCATGCCGGGAACGGCCGGCACTGAGAACACTTTGTCAAAGGAGAAGTCTTCGCTGCCGGACGACGTGGAGAATGGTTTCGGGCCCAGGCGAGGCTGCACAATGTAATTAGGAACAATTTTGTTTTCGTCTTTTATATAGGCTGTTTGGCTGTGTGATCCTGACATAAAATGGCCACCACTTCCTTTTCCATGAGTGTAGTAAGAAGCAACTAAGGAAACATAATGGTTGAGGGATGGGCAGCATCCATATCTCTTAAAACAACATCAAAAGCATAACTGCGGTTATCAACCCGACTGCCAGGGGGGAAAGGAATTGTTAGTAATGGAGACAGAATCCCATTGCTAGCAATATACCCAACCAGGTCGACCTCCTCGCGGTTCTCCCTGGAAACTATCACGGTTAATTCCTGATGAATTCATCATGATGGGCTAACTGGCCTGTTTTCATTCTCATCTATCACCCTTCACTGGTGCTCCGCCAGCGTATCCCGTTAGCGCAGGCGGGGTTACCATACCAATTCCACCCATTAAAAAAAAAAACCCGACTGCCAAGCATGGCAGCTACTAAAAACCTCACACCCAATGAGCATTCTATGGGAGAGGAGTATGTTAAATAGTTGACAGTTAACGACTGAAATAATGTTGATGATTTATTTAATTAGATGCATTGAAAAATTTCAATTTTAAAACTTGGACCTCAGACCAGAAAAGCATGTAATATTAGAAACCAAACATCTCAAAGGCATAATATCTCTTCAAGCAGATCGATTTCAGTTTCTAATCTCCTAAAAACATAATAAAGACCTCTATCGAAACAAATATTGTTAAAAAAAATCAAAAATTGCAAACAAAGAATAAAAATATAAATGAATATTTTAACAAAAGCATTCTAAAGAATATGTACAAAAAATCATATATAATTATCTTCACACCAAATCATTCGGATTAAATTAAATTAATTAAACCTCCATCGAAACAGATATTATTAAAAAAAATAACAAACCAATGAAAAAAAAAGAATTACAAGCTAAATATTAAAAAAAAAGTATTCTAAATAATATCTACAACAATCATATCAAAATAAACTTTCACAAAATTAAACAATGCAAAATCAAAAAACAATAAATTCACACATGAAAGAAATCCCAATAATACCTTATAACCAGAAATTGGTACTGTAGTTGTTCTAGGTTTGGGCTTAGGAGCTTCTGAATGCTCTTCTCCCGAGCCTGGCTCTGAAATCGAAGATCTTGGCAACGGCTTTGGCACTTGTACAGGCATCCCATTGATAAGACTATTGCTCCTTGACAGAGAACTCTCCACAGAATCAGAGCTGTCGTTCTTTTCTATCGTCTTTTCAGCCCTATAAATGGTCTTCTCATTATTCTCCATGGTCTTTTCATTATCTTCGTCTATCTTTTCGATATTTTCAACAATTTCCGGTTCAGCATCTAGAACTTTCTTATCGATAAAGTTGTCATGGCCGTTATCGATAATCTTTTTGTGGAAACCATTTGTCTCTTTGGAGTAATCTGTGGTTTTGGGCTCCTTACTCTTTTGACGTTCCATGTCTTTGATTAAGTCTTTAACGTTGACGAAATCTATGCGGTCCTCGTCTTTGGGTTCTGATTGAGGTTTAGCTACCGGTTTAACTGGTTCCTCAACTTGAACTGGAGTGATAGGTTTCTTGGCATCGATTTTCTTTAGCGGCGGCATCGCCAAGATCGTTGTTACAACCTCCTCCAAATTTCCTCTGTGTACCTGAAAATTACATACATTTTGATACAATTGGTGAAATCCGAGCTTACCGTTTCCCAATAGCGATAGTGAATGTAAATAATATTTAAAAACAAACTGCGAACACGTAAATGAATAAATAATTATTTGTAAAACTAATTAAATCTACCCAAACATCTAAATTGACACTGATGCATATATATTAGCTACCAAACAATTTAATTTTACTACATCCAAACAGGGTTCATGACACCTTCATAGGAACATTGTAACAATTATATTAGGTATATGAATGTATTAAATAAATAAAATATATAAACAAATTCGGTTATTCGACCACGTAGTATGTTACAGTAGTACATATATAAGGGTTCAGTCGTTTATGTTTAGGGTTGATAAAAGCAAATTGTCAGGATTTCTCCTTTTAATGGAGAAAAAAAAAAGAATAATAACGTTCCCACTCAAAGAATCAACATTAGATTGGACTATATCAGTCTATATTGGACTATGTCGACATTAAATTCAAGAGTAAGCCTACTTGGCTGCTGTACTCGACAATGGAAAAGTTATTGGATCGTTATGGGCTTGAGACTATGGAGCTTGAAAGTTGTCTTGACTTTATATTGCTACCTCACAGTGTTTGCAGTATAATTTTAAACTTCATAATACAGTATTAACCATAAAGGTTCAGTAATCCGAAACCAGTGATAGTATGAATTAAAGTGAATACCTTGTATCTATCGTCGAACGTTTATAACTTAACTTACCAAACACTGGAATTATCTGTCAATTTTCAAAACCGATTTAACAGTTCCAATATTTCTGATTGATTAATTATAAACTATCTGTTATCGAACTGAAATATTAATATCATTGAAAATTTGGATTTACATAGCAAAATTGTATTTGAAAATTTTCGAAGCAAAATATGAAGTAGGTGTAAAGTTTTCAATGGTAGATTTACATACAACATATTCTATGATATAAACATTAATCATAGGATATGAACGTGCAGTTATCAATTCACTAGAAGAGTACTCTTTAAATAATCAATCAGAAATATTAATATATTGTTCAATTGTTTTTGAAAATTCACATATAATCGTAACGTAGGCACACTTCAGTAAGCTAAAGTTATGAATGCTTCGAACGTTATGAACAAGGAACATGAATCACGGAGAAAAAAATAGAACCTTCTTCCCAAAACATGCGGTCAAATAAACTGACTCGAGTTAAAAAATAATTTCAGCTGTAGTAAGTTTTATATATTAATTAATTCAATTCTATCATTGGGTTTAGGGTTAACGTACCTTTTAAGATAAAAACCTTTATATTAAAATTAAATTATAATTAAAAAAAAAACTTAATTAAACATATACCAAACCTAACCTAGTCAATGTTGGTAACATTGACGTGAATGCAATAATATAAAAAAAAAGTACTTACTCTAAACAAATTACCCCAGGCATTCAGATTCCAACTACATTCCAAACTACACAATCACCAACTACAAAAAAAAAAAACATAAAAACCGCATGATAAAACCAAAAATCACACAAAACTTGCAACAAAAACAAATAAAACACTAACTTACCTTTATGAAACTTAAAAAAAAAAACTATGTTATTTTAATGTAATAATTTATATACAACATGTAAATTTAATAACGCTACATCAAATTGAATGAATGGAGATGTCGGTAGGGGCCGCCCTAGACGGACGTATGTTGACCAAATAGGCGACGTGCTGAAGAAGGGCCAAATTATATATAAATGTATGAAAAGATTGAGGAATGTGGAAGAAGCGAAAGAGGTTTGTTTAAATCGAAGCATTTGGCGTTCCATTGTTTCTGCCTACCCTAATGGGAGACAGGCGTGACAGCTAGGTATGTATGTATGCTATATCAAATTGTAGTATACGCTATTATTGAATAGTTCTATAGGTTGGTATAACTTGTATTTATATACATATAGACAGATAGATAGATACTCTTAAACGCAACCGCAGTTAGGCTTTAGAGATGTTTTAAGAAGGACGCTGCTGCCCATCCCTCGAACATAAGTTCCCTTAATCGCCTCTTGCGACATCCACGGGAAAGGAAGGGGTGGCCTATTCTATGCTGGGACCTACACGGCTAGAGAAGCTAGAATGGTCTTATACTTAATTTAATAAGGCTCAATCGCGAATATATAGATACTCTTTATTGTTTCCTCCATAAAATTACAATAGTCAACATATTATAAATACAAACAATTACAAGAAAATATTACATTCAGAAAACAATGGTCGTAGAACTTCATCAAAAGCCAAACAGCGGTTGCCAACCCGCCTGCCAAACGTGGCAACTACTGTCAAAACTCCCTTAAGAAGCAAGCTATGTTCAGTAGTGGACAAAAATTAAAACAATCTTAAAGAAATCTTTCAAATTTGATTCAACTAAGGAAAATATTACTTTATGTTGAAGAGGAACAATAAATTAGTGATTAGCTATTTGCGTTATTATATTTACATGTTTTATATATATATATATATATATATATATATATATATATATATATATATATATATATATATATATATATATATATATATATATATATATATATATTTATTTATTTATTTATTTATTTTTTTTTTCATAAAATGTTTAATTTTTAATTTTTTTTAACTTGTAATTAAATCATCTAAGTGCACTAAAAAACTATAAAAAAAAAACCTTTAAAAACACAAGTATAAAATATGCAGCCTCCACCATGCGTTAGGTATCCGCAACAATTTTATTATCAAATAAAAATAATGTTTGTATATGTAATTATTTATCTTGCATGCATTCGCGCATTCCGGATACGATAGTAGGCATTGTAATGCCATACATGGCTTCATTAATTTAATATAAATTGCAATTTTAAATATATAATAACTATGTTTTAAGAAGGACTCATCCCTCGTCCTCCCTTTGTCGCCTCTTACGACACCCACCGGAAAGGGTTGGCCTATTCTATGCCGGGACCACGGAATCCTGACAGCTAAAGGCTGGTATAATGATATTAAATCAGTATGTTGCCGTATGGTCCCGGTATAGAATGGGTCACTCCTTCTTTTCGCGTGGGTATTATAAGAGGCGACTAAGGGAACTTAATATTCCAGGGATAGGCAGCAGCGCCCCTTTTAAAACATCACCAAAGCCTAACTGCGGTTGCCAACTCGCCTGCCAAGTGTGGCAAATACTAGTAAAACATTGGGAATATATAAAAATTTTGATATAAGATTTTGGGGAATGTTTCTAGTATCAAGAAAAATAATAAAACATGGAAAATAGTAACTGCCCACAATTGGAATCCTTGATTACGCCAACGGCATGGCATTTGGCAACTGTTACCTACGTGGTGGGCGTAATGTTGGCCATCCTCCCATTTCACCGAGCATATTTTAAACGAACATGGCAGTGGCCTCACCCACTGCCTTTACTGAGGTTCATTTGATTTGTTAATGGTGTTGTCCATCACCGGAAAGTTTGTTAGAGTAGGCCAAATTCGAACTTACTGCCATTGATGTCTATTAATCGGCATAAAGTTAACTTTGATAGAACTTAACAAAAAGGAAACTAAGTTCTGCTGAATTTATCACAGAAACACTTTCTGAATGATATAATTAGTGATCAAAACATTCAATTCAATTAAAATAGCAAATTATTATATGTCAAAATGCATAATTCATTCGGTGGAATTTGGAGTCGCCTCTCTCACTTATTCAAGTTGGATTGCGAAATCCTAAATTTAACGTATCCCACCCATGTCCAATAGTTACATGTAATATCCCAGATTTTTTGAATAAATTTCGATAACATGAAAGAAATTTGAAACATTTTTGAATAATTATGTTGATAACAAAAATGATGTGTTAAATTTTTGTTCTGTAGTAAACTTGTTTTGTTAAATAATGTTTTGTTAAATAAACTGTTTATAACCAAACTGTTAATCTATTATTATTTGAACTACTATTGTACTATTTGTGTAAAAATTATATTGGCAAATAAATATTAATTTCATTTCATTTTGTCTGATATAAATAAATTGTACATAGATCTTGGACTATAGTAAAAATGGTAGTAGTAGGGAGGGAGGGATCATTAGTAATGGGGAGGTTAGTCCCCATTGCTATCAATATACCTTATTAGATAGACTTCAACACAAACCCCCTGAAAACCATCGTGACTAATTTATCGTTGAATTCGTCATGATAGGCTAACTGACCTGCCTTTTCATCTTCACCAATCATCCCTCACTGGTGCCCCGCCAGTGTATACCGATAGCACAAGCGGGGTCACATTTCATTATCTTCCATTAAAAAAAATTACTACTAAGTAATCCTACTATTCTTATTAGTAAATAGTATTTATTAGTAATTCTAGGGAATGCTCGTCCTACCTGTGTATTATTGGCGTCTGGATGCATGGAGATGCTGGGCAGCGGGTAGTCCTGGTTCTGCAGCCACATGGGAGCGCTCAGGTACGTCACCGCGCCGCTGGTCTCCGGGTATAAGTCAGCGTGATAGTCCCGATAGCTCTGCGGTAAACATGGAAACCACAATTACACTACAACGCCGGCATTACGGGAGGGAGTGTTTTTTTTTTGGTGAATGATAATGAAACGGTGGCCCCGCCTGCGCTAACGGTATGCGCAGGGCACCAGTGAGGAATGATAGGTGAAAATGCAGGTCAGTTAGCCCATCGTGATGAATACACCTGGAATTCAGCACAATGGTTTTCAAGTGGTCTCCATGTGGTCTCCCCTGGAAACAATCGTGCTAAACTTCAAGTGTACTCATCATGATGTGCTAACAGACCTTAGTCCATTATGAGAGGGTAAGGATTGTTAGTAATAGGATAAAACAGCCCCATTACTAGCAATATACTCTGTCAGGTCGACCTACACGTGGTTCCCCCTGGAAACTATGGTGGCCAATTTTAGTTGAATTCGTCAGGATGGGCTAACTAACCTGCTTTCATTATCATCAGTCATCTATTACCGGTCAGTGTATACCGATAGCGTAGACGGATTCACCACACATTTATCACCCATTAAAAAAAAGACTGAAACCATTATGACGAGTATGCTTTCTATTCTCTTGTCTGATAAAATATTGTTATGTAAAGAACACCAGAGGGAGACTTTGTACAAAAGTCGATTGCTTGGGTACCTCTGTCCCATTCGTGTTTTAACCGTAAAGCAGTTGTGTTTGCATAGCTGTGTTTCGGTTTGAAGGGTGGGATATGGCGTGAATTTACTGGGTACAGAGGAATAACACCTGAGTCCTCAGGAATGACAACGCATGGGGGGTATCATGGGCGAAACTGTATACTCTGTTATGTCCATGGTACTGCTCATGTCTATAGGCGACGGTTACCACTTACCATCAGGTGGGCCGTCAGCTTGTTTGCCATTCTAAATTGTATAAAAGAACAATGCTGTATTCATATTATCTGTTCAATCCAGTTCCATTCAAGTCACATTCAATTTCAAAATGTTTCTAGACAACGCAAATGTGTTGCGACCCATGGCACCGTTCATGCCTATAGGCGACGGCTACTACTCTCCATTAAGTGGATCATCAGCTTGCTTGTACCTTACTACCATTTCAAGTACCTTAAAAAAAACCATTATAAAATATTGACCATACCTTTCTGGGTACTTGGTACATAATGGGCACCACAGTGGAGCCCGCGAGCTGCAGCACTCTGTTCACCTCGGCCTCCATCACGCGGAGAGCGCGCTTCGGCACGAGACATGCGCCTTTAGTCTGCTCGCCTATTTATTAAAAAAAAAAAGAACTATGTATTAAAAATTGCACACTTTCTTATTTTTATTACTTCATACTAACACAATAAATTTTGGGGGGAAGGGATTGTTAATAATGGGGTCAAATAGCTCCATTACTAGTAATATACCCTGTCAGATGACCTCCACGTGGTTCCCCTGGAAACCATCGTGGTTAATTCTAGTTGAATGCATCAGGATGGGCTAAATGACCTGCTTTCTTCCTCATCTATAAATATATATATATAAATTTTTGTAATCAAAATTACTTTCCTGAAAGTTTAATTTAAAATCTATTATTTTTTTATCAACCGACTTCAAAACGAACAAGGTCCTCAATTCGGTTGTATTATTTTGTTTGTTTGTTACCTCATAGCTCCGTCAGTTATACGCCGCTTTAGAAAATTCTTTTTTATTTGAAGGTATAATCTTACAGACCGTAATAGATATTCAATAGAAATCTGTTTAGTAGTTTAGTTTTTAAATCAAAATAAATAATTTTGCCACATCTAAAGTTATTTTAAAATTTCTTTCACCTACAAAAAGTATTTCTATTGTACAAGTAGGTAGGTATTATATGTATTTATAATATATGTATTTATGTAATATTTTATTATTTATCTTAATATTTTATTTAACTGTATATTTGTTTATGTACTCTAAATATTAATAGTTGTAGCACTTCAGCTGCCCGCTAACAACATGTTTTCTAACTGCATTGGGTTGACTGGAAGAGATCTCTGTTAGAGATAAGGCCACCCTTGCTCACAATATTTATAAATGCATTAACAATGTAATTAACAAATGCAATAAAGAATTTAATATAATATTATCAAAATGTAACATAGTCTATAATTATTTACGAAAATTCAATCTTACCCGTGGGAAGCCGGGCAGGATCTTAGTAATGTAATAAAAAATTACTTACCAGAGTGTCTCAACCCCTCGATGAGGTATGGCTCGCGATCCGTCAACTCCATGTAGAGAATAGTGGTATCTCCCTTCCCCGCCAAAAACAACATGTTGGTGTCAGGATCGAACAACGGCATCAGGATACCAGTGGAACAGTCCAGTTCCAAGGTCTTCTGGGTTTGCGAGAGGTTACGAACATCTCGAATCATAATCTGTCTCAGTCTGGCAGAGTCGAATCCTGTCAAACAATGTTTCATCGATGTCATATATGGAGTAATTGGGATGGGCAGCAGTGTCCCTCTTAAAACATCTCTAAAAGCCTAACTGCGGTTGCCAACACAAGCTACTGCCAAGCGTGGCGACTACTGGCAAAACTCCTCTCATGGGGAAGGCTTATGCCCAGCAGTGGACAGTTAATAGCTAAAATAATAATATTTGAAGTACTTCAATATTGTACTTTCAAACATGATACCCCATGTATCTTCACACCGAGAAATATTAAATGCTAAATGGGCTATTCTTTTAGATATATACATTCTGCGTCATATATATGTATATATGTGTCGCAAATGTGAGTCCAACTGATAAATTTTCTTTCCTTTTTATTTGGTATACGATCTAAGAAATATTTCTTGTAACAGGCATTTGCAGTTGTACCCATTTGCATTTTTGTTGTATTTTGTTGAGAGAGGGACTGACTGAAAACCAGCGCTGTGCAGCTGTACACATTGCACTGGGACACTCACAGCATCAGCATTTTTCTGGCAATAAATATTGTCTATTCTATTCTATATAAAATTTGTAATCCAATTTCAAGTACTTGTTGCAAAATATGTTTTAAAGTTATACATAATTACAAAATTGATTTTTTGAGAGCACAGGGGGCAAACGAGCATGCGGCTTACCTGATGGTAAGTGACTACCGCCGCCCATGATCACCCACAACACCAACGGCATTGTAGGTGTGCTGCCGGCCTTTTAAAAAGGAATATGCTCTTTTCTTGAAGGTTATGAAGTTTGCAAGCACTTTAATAGTTATTACTCACATGACATATTTATTTTAAAGTTTGGGACACAACTAGATTGTATCTGAATACATATTTACGAGGACACAGCCGCGGGACAGAACGAGTATATTACAAACTTACCTGTGGTTAAAATACGATCCTGATCCCCCAACCAGACGATCCTGCTGTCTTTGATATTCTGATGGCTGTTGGCGACATCGAGTACAGCGCTCGACGCACGAGGGTCAATGATGCGCACTTTCTTATCCTTGCAAGAGGTCGCGATCAGCCGCCCATCTTTTTTCCACGATGACGACTGAATCACCTCGCCGTGATCTTTGTTCACTGTACAATTTTAATGAAGAATGAATTGAAGACAAAACTTACTGTACAGAGTTTTTTTATACAACTTAGAATGGCAAACAAGCTGACGGCCCACCTGATGGTAAGTGGTAACCGTCGCCTATAGACATGAGCAGTACCATGGACATAACAGAGTATACTGTTTCGCCAATGATACCACCCATGCGTTGCCATTCCTGAGGTCTCGGGTGTTATTCCTCTGTACCAAGTAAATTCACGCCATATCTCACCCTTCAAACCGACACACAGCCATGCAAAAACAACTGCTTCACGGTAGAAACACGAATGGGAATTACGGGATTACGAAACACGAATTAAAGGGCTCAATAGAAAATATAACTAAAATAAATAACTAACTATTGCCATCCAAAAATCTTTGTAAGCTACTTTCAAAAGAGAGAAGTTCTTGTTGTTGCGTATATTTAAAGTTGCGCCGTGTAGTCCCAGTATAGAATGGACAACCCTTTCCTTTCCCGTGGGTGTTGTAAGAAGCAACTAAGGAAAATTTATGGTCGAGGGATAGCCTGCAGCATCCCTATTAAAACATCTCCAAAGCTTAACTGCGATTGCAAATTTGCCTGCCAAGCGTGGCAACTAGTGGTAATGCACCCCAATAACAAAGGTAGCCTATAGGGGAGGTATGTGTTCAACAGTGGACAGTTAACGGTTGATGATTGGGGGGAAAGGGATTGTTAGTAATGGAGACTGAGCATCCCATTGCTAGCAATATACCCGACCGACATGAATAGAACTTATAAAACACACTGATGTCTATGGTCCACTTATATCATGGTACACATGGTCCACTCGTAGGCTGCCATTTCTAAGATAACGCTTCTCTACAGGGGGGAAGGGATTGTTAGTAATGGAAAGATTAGTCCCCATTGCTATCAATATACTCTATCAGGTCAACCTCCAAGTGGTTCCTCCTGGAAATCATCATGACTAATTTATCTTTGAATTTATCACGATAGGCTAACTGACCTGCCTTTTCATCATCATCTATCATACCTTACTGGTAATCCGCCAGCGTATACCGTTAGCGCGAGCAGTGTTACCATTCCATTATCATCCATTAAAAAAAAACGCTCCTCTACACCCTGCTGTGTAAAATTACTTATTTTAAGTTATTCAAGAGTGTAGTATGAAAATTTACCAAAAGCTTCTTTCTGCTTGGTCAAATCCCATAAAGCAAATTCATGGCCGGATGCGACATGTATCAACCCATCGGCCACTGGGTGAAATCCAACATTCTCTACTCGCCGCTGCTTCTGTGAGAGCGTGCATTCAGCTGTGGAGAGCGACTCCTTGAGACCCTCCGGTGGGATATGCCACACTTTCACCTAGGACAATGAAACCAGATTAATATATCAAACTAGCTTTTACCCGCAACTTTATCTGCATGACAAAAATATTGGAAATGATTGGAATAAATACACATCTGTACACATTTACAAAATTTTATTAAACAAATTGAGTAGTTTAATGATATTTTATAAATTTGAAGAATAGCATGAAAAATAATAATCTATTTTAACAATAACTTATATACTATTTAAATTTCCGCATAATAAGAGTAGTCGAGAGTAAAAAATCCTTATATCGATAATTGAGTTATTTTAAGCAATATTTAGGATACAAACCCCATAATAAGCTTTCCACCTTACTGATTAAGGTTCATTCCAAGTCTTTAATTTAATCTGTCATTCATTCATCAAAATATTACTAAGTTTGAATGTTATTATTATTGAAATAGGGGCTTTATTTAGGCAAAAAAGCCTGTGACACTACTACCTGTCCATGATCTTTTGTGGTCACACTTTTTTTTAAGTTCGCTGCTAATTCCTATCAGTGATAGGAATTTTAAGATGTATTTTGTAGCAAAGTTTTTTATATCCTCAAGATATAAAGCGAACTCTTTAAAGGAGATATATCGTTTATGTATGAGTGAGCGACAGCCAATACTTAATGTTATTGTTAAATGTTATTTATTCGAGTTTATTTTCGTTTACTAACATTTCTGTAAAGTGTGTGTGTGCATTTGTAATCTTATCAAAGAGTCAGTGATTTTTCCAGTAAATTTATCTGATATTATTACCAAAACAAATATTATAGTGTCATTTTATTGATAAACAATATTACATCATGTAACATTTTCAGTAATGTCGTCATCAAAACAGTATCATTATATTGCCTGATATAATAAAATGCAATGCAACTGCATATAATAAAATTGTAATAATCCAATATTGAACTGTTATATTTTCTTTCTTTCTTTCTTTCAAATACTTCTTCTAATATTAGGCAAATATACACTTTGAGATGCTTATTACCTAAACAGTACAAGTAGAAATTCCTTTCATGGTATAAATCCACCATTACCATAATTATTTAACTCAATGATAGTTTCTGCAGCAATTCTGAGAAAATCTGAGGCACCACTTCTCAAAACCTATGTGTAAAATTAGTATTTCAACTTGATATCACAGCAAAATCTTTATTATAATTTTAATTTGTTATAAGCCATAAAACAGTTATTTCACCAAATTATAAAATTAAAATATTAGGTTAAGACACGGGTCGGCAACCTGCGGCTCTTTGGACGTGATGGTGTAGCTCTTTAGTTCCATACACAAATATTATTTATTTTATAAAAAAATAAAAATCTTTCTGAATGGATGAACGAGGATTTGGCACCAAACTTTATTTATGCAAATTGCTATTTGTTGGCAAAAAAATTTGTGGGTCTTTAACAACTAAAATTTTGTAAATTGTATATATTGACTTTTTCAACTCAAAAGGTTGCTGACCCCTAGGTTAAGAGATATATTTAACGAAATTGTGCCTTAGAATGGAAATGGAACTCTTAAAATATCAATTTAAGAAAACTATAAAAAAAAAATATATAAATTTAAATGACAACTTCCAGAGCTTGATATTTTCGCTCTCACACATACTTAATAGGTTTAAAAAAGTACTAAGTGTTTTGAATAACCGCATATAATTATATAATAAAAGTAACATAAGAGAGTAACATAGCTGTAGTTATCTATGCATAACAGTGTTGATTTTACATTAATTAAGATATGTCTATACACTTCTGTATGATCAATGAATAATTGTAAGATTGTTTGTTGTCCCAAATACAATAAATAAATAAGTATAAAGGAATTTTGTGTTATCCAGTAGCCAACACTGACAATAATCAATTTAATTATTAATAATATTGCAAATATATTAATATTAAATGTATTAGTATTTTCCTTCAGACTGTAATTATGTGAGGACATATGATTTATTACCAAGCAAGTTATCCTTATTTAACCTTTAACTAATAAAATGAGCCTGTTTAAATGTTTCTATAATATCATGGTTAAAGTTTGTTTTTTCAGGTATACAAAGTCATGGGTTTATAATTAAAAAATGTGCATAGTTTTAGTCATTCACACAAGGGCTTTTAGATGACCATGTCATTTTAGACACAGTATATTTAAATAAATACACATAATGCTTTAACATTATAAATTTATTGCAACTGCAACTCAGAACACCTGTTAAATTTCTTGATGGTTCTTATCAGTAGATGATAGCATTCTTTGAACCCAGCAGTAGAATTTACTGCTGGGTTTGGAAAATTATAAAAGATGACAATTTACAAGAACTTAGAAACAAATCTATTACAATGAATATGAATTTGATGAAAAATCTACTGGACTTACAGCTTAATAATAAGGACCTTTTAAGTGTAACTGATTTAGTAGTTTTGGTTGGAATTTATGAGCTTTTAACAGAGGAAATTAAACTTTTTTTAATAGCCTGAGTATTTTTATTAAGCAAGCAAGAGTAAACATATCTGCCTGATAATTTTTTGCAGAAACAGATATATTAAACTTTAATAATCTATTATACATCTGCTTTTTTATTCTTTATAAAATTATAACTATAATAGCTACTACCTAACCTATTACCAACTACCAGTACTATATTTTCTTATCAGAATTCAAATTATCCTATCTCTCAAATGGAAGCAAATAATATTCATTTATAATAATAATAATTTTTATTTTTATTAATTATATCTTGAGTAGTTTCAGAAATTAGATTGAATGAACAATGTAATATATTTATATATTAAGTATGTAGTACTAGAAAATATGTACATAGTTAAAGTACATAAAAAATATGAAGCCAATTTTATTTCATTTTTAATCTGTACACAATGTTTGAATTTCTAGGTCAATGTAACCTCGATACACTAGCTCATTTTTTTCATAACAGTGCATAAATTTCATCTGAAATAAGTGAAATATGCTTTGGAAAGGCACACATCCAATGCTCCATTGACCAACTAGGTTACACTCAAGACAAATTTGCTATCTGAAAAAATTATACAGAAACTCACCAATGAATCCTGGGACCCTGTAAGTAGTAAACCATCATGGAACGGTGAGAATTCCATATCCGTTATGGTATCTGAATGAGCATGGAGCAATGGCATTGTTTTACTCTTTCTTCCACAGTCATCGAGTGGCAGCACAGCAAGACTGGACCCCACATGCTCCCAATTGAAGGCCATAAATGCTGCAGAAGCACAAATGTTGTTCCCATATGTTTGGTATGACCCGACACATATATCTCGAATACATGCTTCAGGCTTGGGCACAATTGGTGCCGCATTTTTGTATTTTGAAGCTTTAAACCTCCAAGCCATCTTTTTCCACTTTTATACAATGTTAATCAGTCTTTTATCGGAATGTACGAATAGGAAATATTATCTGAAAACAATATATCATATTAGAATTAGCAATATAATATTAGAATTTAGCAAGAAAATATTTTGTTAAAAATTGACAAATATTACTAAGTTTATATGAGTATAAAAACACAGTCTTTGCTAAATTCATAGTAGCAATACCTTTTATTCATTACGCTGTGTTTTATAATTGAATAATTTTATAAAGAATTAATATTTAAACTGCAATTCTTGACAATGGATTAAAACTCCACTATTCAATAAATGGGAAAGGAATATCGAGTAATTATTTTTTAAACCTAAAACGGCAAGAATAAACAATATTTTCATGGAATGAAACAGTCCACTTTCATACAAAATTAAACAAGGATGTAGTAAAATGGAATTTACAGTAAAAACACCTTTGTTTTGAATAACTTGACCGGCTGTCCACCGGAAATGGCCTAAATTTGTATTTGCACTCAAAGAAATTATATTTGAAGATAGTATGTAAAATATAACTACCATTACGATTATATTTTTGAAAATCCACTGACCTTATTGCGTATAAAATATCCTGTAATACAAATTTTTGCGAGACACTCCCCCTAAACGTCCGCCATTTCAAAGCGACATTTAATAGTGGTGGATCGATAATTTTTAGAAATGTCAAGGTTTCGTCTTGTTTATTTATAAAAAGTATTTGTTTAATTCATTTTATTAGAAAATGTTTATATTGATCAAATTGTAAATATAAAAAAATCCAGCATAATAATTAAATAGTCCCTAGTTACAATAAACCGATTATGATCACGGTTTATCCAAATTTTTTGTTAATTTCTTTTTACTACATAATATCAATATTTTGTTCAAATACATTAGGAGACTTAACAAAAATATTATTCTTCATTATTTATCATCACCATCATCATACATCACAACGTCATACATCACATCACTACAGATAGGTACGTTCCGTTTCACACACTTAGTAAATAATGTCATTACATTTTTTAAATCTTATACTATTAATTTGAGAATCAAAATAGTTAATTTGAGCCACGAATAATTCATGAAATTCAGTTTTATTGTATTTGATCACAGCATTAATAATAACATCATCATTATCATCATGTTCATTAATCAACTATAAATGAACCGCATTAAAGCGTTGCACTTCACAGGGGAGGACTTAATAACCAAAAACTAATAAAATGGGAAAAGACAGCAATATTCAACACTTGTCTAGGAGGAAGACTAACATATCCCCCTCCCCCCAGCCCCAATAAATTGACCTTATAAACTAAAATAAAACGTGTATTTTAAAAATATGCATTTAAAATATTAAAATTTGACAAGAGGAAAAATAAGAAAAAAAAAAACATTTGTATCGAAAGTGATCATTTATTTATGCGAGTATTACAATAATTCCGTTTCTTTGGTGAGAATTAATTCATTATCAGAAAACATTAAGTAGGAATGTATTTTCAGATCCAATGCAATGATGCCGTGAGGCACGTAATGTCCAAATATAAACAAGATTAATTCTTATTCCGTTAACAATACGGTCTAGATTGGTTTAACATAACAGACATGGCTATCACTCATTACCTTCAAATCATGACAACAAAATTACATTCTGAGCACATTGGTATGGTACTGGTGCAAGATGCATAAACTAGATTTGCGTTCGATAGACACTTAAGTACGTTATCAATATTTTCTAAAAAGAGAAAGAAAACATTAAAAGCGTAACACTAAATCATAGATACATAATGATGTAACAATTATAATTATCCATGGATAAAGTACCTAGTACCAAGTCTAGAAATATGGAATTGACATAAGCTAGAAAGGCTGATTAAAATTACTTTATTCATCTAATACGGATATGGTGGGGGTAATAGCACCATTGAAGGGGGGAAAGGAATTGTTAGTAATGGAGACTGAGAATCCCATTGCTAGCAATATACCCAATCAGGTCGACCTCCTCGCGATTCCCTCTGAAAACTATCATGGTTAATTCCTGATGAATTCATCATGATGGGCTAACTAGCCTATTTTCATTCTCATTTATCACCCTTCACTGGTGCTTCGCCAGCGTATCCCGTTAGCGCAGGCGGGACTACCGTACTATTTACACCCATAAAAAAATATACGGATATGATAGGCATATTTAAAGAGAGAGGGTAAGGTGAACGAGAGCCACTTACTTTTTACCTCCAAAAAAATTAAAAAACTTCCATTTTTGAAGATAAGTGCTAGCATCTCGCCTCATGTCAATTCCATATCTATACATAACTAATATCGCAGATAGAAATATCTTGCTGTCGTCTTGCATTACCCTGCTGTGTAAAACGGTGGGTCCATTACAAATCCACTGTATTATAAATTTAATGATATAACAAAATATACATTGTCAATCTTATTACAACGATATACAGCTTTTTTTAGCCTTCAAACCTTTAGTATCATACTGGCGGTCCATGTTTTTTCACGGAGGTGCCGATAGGAACTTCAACAGGACACTCAGTATGATCACTATCGTAAACAGATAAATTGCTATAGATGTAGTAAAGAAACTAGATATACAATCGATAACATTTGAAAAAGAAACAAAATAAGAAAAAAAATAAACAGTCGAGCTATCTATTACCACTTGCAGGGCAAAGACAAAGTTGTTCCAACTTTTATTCTCACAAGTAAAAATAGTATGCTTGTTTCAAGTCGTTTAATCATTTAAAAAGTCCATTACAGTTTTTATAGTTTTCTTAACAGATTTTTATTGCAAAAAAAGTTAAAAATACAAAAAATATTTTTAACTGTTTATTTTCAATAAAAACCAGTTTTTACCGATTCATAATTTTTACTGTAAAATGTACATTATGTTATACAGATTTAAAATTCGAAATTAGTAATAGATAAACTCTACCTTAACCATAGAGCAGTTTTGTATCGGACACTTACACATGATTATTTATCTAGTTCCTTATCATACATCAATGTGTAATAATTTCACATAATTTCAACATCCATTATTTTAACTTTTAAAAAAAGAATACAAAAAACAATCTCACAACAAAGTGCTATTAATAATAGTTAAAGTGATGTTAAGTAAAAAAAAAACAAATATTAATTCCCAAAAATAGACACCTAAAAACGACAATAAATACAAAGTTAACACTAACTTAAATTTAACAATTTGCTGAAATACTATAATGCAGTAGAACATGCCTATTTTTAACCCTTAACTCATAAAAATTCAAAGGATTTGTTTGCGTAATTGTAGCTCATAAATTGACTATTTAATAAAGGTTTTTCTTTTTTTATTTGAACACTGGTTTAATCAAGATTATTTATATCTAATAAAAATATCTTGAATTGTTCTTTGTGTCACAGGTTTATAAACTTTTCAATTAAATACTTATGAAATAATACTTGTAGTAAATCCAACTACCTATATCACCTGCGTATGTTATAATCATACATTCACACATACAAACCGGAAACACCTCTTCCTATTTATATGTGTAAATATATGATTTGTTTAGAAGCAACAAGTTATAATAAAAAAAGCAATACTGTACAATTAAAAAAAATAATATTTACCATAATAATACAAAAAAATTCCATAGACAATCTTACAACTCGTCAACTTGGGTAGAGAAATAAATAATTATAAAGATAATATACTGTCATTATTTATAACAAAAATTATTTATTTTTCCACATAAACAGATGAAATTGCCCAGTTTTCGACCTAGGCAACCATGTAATATTAAAAAATAACCGAGCCAATTAAAAAGAAATCCAAAATTGGCGCGATCGAAAATCATAACATCTTCACAATCAGGACCTCATTTACACACAGCAACTTGGTCAACACAGCACCAGAGAAATGGATCAATAAATTTCTATTTTTACTATTTTTTTTTCTTTTTTATACAACAAGCTGAGACGGGCCACCTGATGGAAAGTGGTAACCGTCGCCTATAGACATTAGCAGTACCATGGACATAACAGAGTATACTGTTTCGCCCATGATACCCCCCATGTGTTGCCATTCCTGAGGACTCAGGTGTTATTCGTCAGATATTATTTAATAATATAATTAATAATTAACCTGTATATTATACATAACTACAAAATAGTATTTCAGCAATATTACATTCTATACACATTGTCTAGTTAACCATTCCACGAGGCGTCTAATGTACGCTAAAGAATTAGTACCTAATAACAAAACACTAATATTGGGGTCAATTCGGAAGTACCAAAGCTATCCCTAAAATAAAAAAAAATGTTTCCAAAACTATTACAATATGGAGCATCAAAAACTTAATTTTAAGTAGTTTTATTATAAATTAAATTCATATTGATCCCTAACAATCATAATTAATTATTTAATCAGGCCTTGTCTTGACTCGCCAGTTGGTAAGGCGGGTGAGGTAGGGGCCTCGGGGCATACCCCATCGCCCCAGCTTCAAATCCAACATAATCATTATGTATTCTATAATATAGTTTTAAAGGTAGATGGCGTTTGTATCGCTATAATTTTAGTTTTAGAGATAGATGGCGCTTTAAAATCGACCCCGTTTAAAACAACATTGTTGTTACAGTGTCAAAAATGAATATTCACAAGTCCAAAGGAAATAGGGAAAGGAGCTCTGAGTTTTAAATATAGATTGAATAGCCACAGTGTAAAGAATAAGAACAACCAGTGGTCCAACATCTTTGGCATGCCCCAAACAATTACATAACAATGTGGAACGTATTGATCTAAATAGATATATCCGTTGAATGATGTAATTGAGGGTTCTAGTACAGCAATTATAACATTGAATAGCTGAACTTTTAACCTGTATTCTGCAGCCATACATTGCAAATGTTTCATTAATAAATTAAAAAAATAAGATAAATATTAATTTTAAACAACTTATTTACACTGATTCATTTTCAGGTATATCATAAATATAACTACATCATGATTGGTGATTGATCGATTGATGATTGTGATTGAATAATTTCAAAGTAATTTACCTGCAAATCGAACCCAGAATCTCATACTCAATTTGTTTACTTTTATTTCTACAATCTACATATTGAAATATTGTAAATATATACACAACATTTGATATTCTGCATAGGTTGCATATTAGCATGCAGAGCTCAAAGGACCTTCCCCTAATATTCTTTTATCCTACTGGGAATGACAAACACACTGCACACCTGATAAGCAATAATACACATCACCTATACCCATAACAATACCATGAACAACACAATATTCTAATTAAATTAACTTTTTTAGAAGCATTTTGATATTACAACTAAATTGATGTACTATTTTATGTACATTATATATTTTTCTAAACAGAAATTTGTGTGTTCAAATTTAAAAAAAAAAAAATTATTGATATCTAGGATCATGATGCAATGTCCATGGTGCCCCTCACACTTCGCCCATATCCCAGTATAAGTGTTACGATAGATCTGCATTATTATACTTACATATTTAAGCAAGTAAATCTATATTGGTCTCAATAACACTGTACAATTGGTATTGATATGCAAAAATATGATTCCAAACACTATCACTACTCTAAAGCGAATTGACTCTAAATGTAACTATATATATGATTTTTATAATCACAATAAATGGTCGTCACACACAGCACAAATACTATCTGTATCTGAGCAATTAAACATTATTGTATCTGCAGTTCCCACACACGAGATACATATAAACTTAATATCAGATACAGGCAAGTTAACAGTTTTCTTTGGACTGCACCTAAAATCTTGTATAAATACAATATTTTCGCATTATGTATCTAAATTCTAAGTCATATCATCAGATACTCATGTACCTGAGTCACGTTAACAGTTTTTCTATGGGCTGCATTTAAAATATTGCATAAATACAATATTTTCACATTATGTACCTGAATTCTAAGTCATGTTATCAGATACTCGTATATCTGGGTATCTGATGAGATACATGTATCTGGCATTATCTGAGCTGTGTGCGACTATATTAATACATTCGTGACACTGTTACAACACTAAGCATTTAAAGCGAGTGGAATGACCTCGAGACTACGAAATACAATTCTAGTAAATCGTGTTTCTGTAAGGATGTCATTGTCGTTCAACATGGCAACCCAGGAGACAACCCTTTTAAATGAAATCAATCACAGATAAAATCTCAATAGACAACCGAGAGCATTTACGACGAGAGATAAATATTATTTTTTCGAAAAATTCATAGTGCTTATTGGTGCTTTAGAGGTATTAATTAGTACAACTAAGTACATTATATATACACAGAGATGAAATACTATGTGGCTATATAACAAAACCACATTGGATAGATAACTTACACTCCTTAATATTAGATGTGATGAGATCAAACCCATGTTGAAATAAAAAAAAACCAAAAGCCATAGAACCCTTTGTTTTATAATGCAATTTTTTTTAATGGACTTGTAATTGATTTACTTTGGCGCGATACCAGTGAGGGACAATAGGTGAGGATGGATTCGTATGAATTGGCGCATAGTGATGAATTCCTCAAGAATTAGCCATCGTCATCACCAGTAATGATGAACATTAAACAACTATCACTAGTCCCAATTAATAAATCGCCTTTCACACAATTTTATCCCTCTATACCTTGACGTGGAATAAGAGATTGTACCACACATAGTTCAGTTTTTCTTACATTATTATTAAATTCAAATATATTGATATAATTGAATATAATAATAATTTAGAGAAATATATACTTATTCTCGTTATAAATGCTCTTATATTGGCAACAATTTAAACATTATATTCCAGAACAAATACGTCACTATTGTAATATAATTATAAGTAACAATTAAAAAATATAAAAAAATATTTACACTGCAAAAAAAAAAATACAAAAATTGTAAATAGTAAAAAAGCGCTTACAGCTAAAATCAACAAGTACACTGTTTTATATTCACAGCGGTTGAGTAGTCAACGAACTGAGTTCGTTGTCTAAGCATTTCCTTACATGTCTATCACATCTTTTGCCCATAATTATAAATACATTAGCAGCGAATTAATATGCCAATGGCGGTACTGCTATACAAGTCGAAAAACTAGGCTTGCCTCATTAAAATAATATAATAAATACATATATGTAGGGAATGAAAATTTCTAAATAAGTAAGAGAATGAGGTTAAGTATGATAAGTGAAAGAGAGGCCTATAATGAGTGTGAAGGGGTCGACAAATGAAAGGATGAAGAGGCATTCAACATTATCATCAAAAAATCAGCTTTTAACTGTTCAATGCTGAACATAAGCTACCCCCTTGGGGGGTTTTGACAGTAATTGCCACGCTCAACCGCAGTTAGGCTTTAGAGATGTTTAAAGAGGGACGCTGCTGCCCATCCCTCGCCCTTCCTTAAACGTCTCTTACGATACCCAGGAAAAAGGAAGGGGTGGCCTACTCTATGCCGGGACCATAAGGCCAACGAAGAGGCATTGCGACTTAAAAATATATAAAATATTTCCGAGTAAATAAATAATAAAAAATTAATATCTTTCTAATTTCTATCTGAACTCCCCAATTTGTAGTTATTTAATTTACTAATTATTTGTGTCAATGTAATATATACAAGCCTAGCTTTTCGTTTTGTATGACAGCACATAACATTGTAGACAGAACCATGGACTTACAATTTGTCCAAGTCAATAATTTAACTAACATCCAAGTATTTACAGATAGGCAAGTCTGGCCCGATTTATCATATACGATTCAAGCTGACCAGGTAAAAGTTATTTTGATCTCTACTGTCACATACCAGGTCCCCTTCTCTCACTGGAATGAATACTATCATACTCTCAAGTTGGAGTAAACAATACATATTTAAAAAAAAATTAAAAACAGTTGAACGATCCCAGAAATTAGCATGAATGAACATCATTCCACAAGATGTTTATATATTAAAGTTAAAACATAATATGTCATCTTTTTCGTGTATTGAACATTCCTATTAATTTTAATGTATAATATACCCTCATAGAGTATTAAAGTGTCAAATATATAAGATATAGAATCGTGTGCTGTACGCAAAGCGTCACACGTTCCCTGAAGACTTCCATATGAAATTAAAACAAACTATATGTGAAATATATCATGATAATGACCGCTAATGCACGGCCTACCAAGACTAGTTCATCATCAAGAGCTTTCATAATCTTAGCTTTATTTCTGATTATTTAAAAAGTTCTCAGCTAGCGAACTAAAACGTTACTCATAGAATAAGTTCTTTTATTCTTTGTCTGTGGCAATACCATTTCTGTTTATATCACAAAAGCATATTGCATCAATACGCCCTACATTTGATGACAAAGTTACAGAAACACACGTTAACTCCCTCAGTCATAAAAAGTCAAATATTTAATAAACATATTTTAATTATAGTTAGGTATAGTATAGGCTCCACTGACAAGAGTGCAGCTTTTAAATAGAATAGATAGATACATAGATTATAGTTATCTCTTTCTGTCGAAGTAAATATTCATTGGCGGATTTTAGTGCTTTTTTTTTGTGTTTACAATACGTGATATACATACATAAAAAAATACAACCAAAATGAGAAAATTTCTTTTTGATATTAAAAAAAAATGCTAATAATGATTTTAATCTCGTTATTAATAAACACTCGATCATCTTTTTCTTTGGAGCTAAATTCCTAATTTAAAAAAAATTACACAACAATAATTAAAAAAGATTATTTGTTTGCATTTTTATGATTAAGGGCGTAAACGTTATAAATAGCAATGAGATAAATTCGTTTGGTTTACGAGCGGAGACAACAGGAGGTGTCGCCCACTGACGTGGTCTTCCCATTGATCGGTCCTAAACTGCCGTCGTACTTCGGTAACTCCTTGCATTTCGCTTGCTGAAACAATTTTTTTTTTTATGTTAAATGTTGCCATCGTAAACTAATAAATAATCGAATGACACTTTTAAATAACAACATCATTTGTACAATGCAGATGAAAAAGGATTTTAAGAAATTAATTATATGGGTTGAAACTAGTGAAATTACGAGATATCACTGGCATAATATAAATAACCAATTACAGTCACATTACGTTCGCATAAATTCAAATTCAAAAACATCTTTATTAAAAATAGACTTGATTACAAGCACTTTTAAATCGTCATCTTAATATATATGTTTTTTTAATTAGTGAAAATTGATTGGTAACCCAGTCTACGCTATCAGTATACACTAATTGGGCACCAAAAACCAACCAAGAAACATAGGTGAGGATGGAAGCAGGTCAGTTGGCCCATCGTGACAAATTTAATAATTAACTCCGATGGTTTCCAGGGGAAACCATGTGGAGGTCGACTTGATACATTGCTAGCAATGGAGCTTTTAGACATACATTATTCATCCCTTTACTCCTAGTATGTATTATTAAGCTCCTTCTCCTATGGAAAAAGACCCATACTCAGCAGTAGGATGTAAATGAATAGACGGTACAAGACCCACCTCCATCAGTTCCACAGCTATCTCCATGAATAGCCGCTCCACATTCTCGGCCTCTTTCGCCGACGTTTCCAGGAAGTACATGCCGTGCCGCTGGGCGAAATCCTCGCCGATGTGCCTCGGTATCTCCCTGTCCTCTCTGTCTGTTTTGTTACCTGTTAAACACATTAATTTCGGAACTATTGGTACTGCATTCCTGTCATCTTTTATGGATATCTTTTACTAGTTACATCCCGGGGCATTGCTCGCACGAATTGGAATAAAGTATCCTATATGTTAATTGAGAAGATTGTCCATCTATATACCAAATATCTTTTAAATCCATTCAATGATTTGAGTATTATTAGGTTATAAACATTTTTATAAATGCATATTAAGTTTATAAATTAATCTTTGACAAGGTTCAAAATTGGTTTGGTCATTTGGAGAGAATGGATGAAAGAAGAATTCCGAAAGAGATTTATGGAGCAAGAATGAATGGAGATGTCGGTAGGGGCCGCCCTAGACGGACGTATGTTGACCAAATAGACGACGTGCTGAAGAAGGGCCAAATTAAAAGTACCCGTAACCGGCGAGCGTGTATGAAAAGATTGATGAATGTGGAAGAAGCGAAAGAGGTTTGTTTGAATCGTAGCATTTGGTGTTCCATTGTTTCTGCTTACTCTAATGGGAGACAGGCGTGACAGATATGTATGTATGTAAGGTTTAAAATTTAACTTTCTATAAACTCACACCAACATTATTCAAATTCAAATCTATCAGCTACCAGATGACATAGCAATAATGTTTTAAGATTACCCAAACACACCCTGCATTCTCTGCCTACCCAGTCAGAAATCTGCTATGAAGATAAATCTCTAAAAGTGAAAAAAGAATCATACACAGTACTCACCAACTAATATCCTAAGAACCTTATTATTAGCATACTCTTCTATCTCTCGCAGCCAGTCTGGCAGACAATCGAAGGTGGGCTGGCAAGATATGTCATAGACCAAAATAAGTGCATGCGCCGATCTGTAATAACTCTGTGTTATTGATCTGAACCGTTCCTGGCCAGCAGTGTCCCATATTTGCAACTGAAAAAAAAATTAAAAAAATAAAAACTTATTCATACTATTGAACACTTTTTGTCATTGATTCAAATTCAACTGTATAGAATTGACAAACTAAATCATTGTAGACATTTTTGTTTTTTATGTAGGTAATTTTTTTAACCCTGGATGGTAGGATGTAACAAGTAGATATATTTAAGAAACGCTTATAGGAAACTAGATTATTATTTTTTTGTTATTTTATTTAGAGCAGAGACATACATAGTTCATATCTGGCTTTCCATTTAGATGGAGTAAATATATTGAATATTAATATTAGTATTAGTAATATTCTATATATATTATAATGCAAACCAGTGATTTTCAAACTCTTTCATGACACAATTCCACAGCTAACTGAACCTGTATGTATTGGGGGGAAAGGCTTGTTAGTAATGGGAAAGTTAGTCCCCATTGCTATCAATATATCTTATCAGGTCGACCTCCATGCGATTCCTCCTGGAAACCATCATGATTAATTTATCATTGAATTCATCAAGATGGGTAACTGACCTGCCTTTTCATCCTCACCAATCATCCCTCACTGGTGCTCCATCAGTGTATACCGATAGCGCAGGTGGGAATACCATTCCAATATTCATTCATTAAAAAAAACCTATATGTATTTTATTATTTTACTAATAACAAATCTATACATTTGTTGTGTTCTTGAAGATCTTAATTAAGATCTGGTTTTGTTTTATCTCAATACATTATTAAAATTTAATAAAATACCACTTCTACATGATGTATGAAACAGCAGGCAAAAAGCTAGTTACATATAAAATACTAGCAATCCAGCTCAGCTTTGCACAGGTAAATAGAATTTTCCAAAATAATATATATATATATATATATATATAAAAATATATACATATATATATATATATATATATATATATATATAACAATATATAGATAACAACACTCATTGATAATGTAGCTTCCTATAGGTGAAAGAATTTTTAAAATTTATTAAGTAGGCAGTTCTTGAATGTATTCATTACATACAATCAAATCTTTCAACTTTATATATTAGTAAATATTAGTATAGATAGTACATATACTTAATTATTAATTATTGAAACTCATCCAATGGAACAAATAATATGTACTCCTTTTTTTTAAATAATTTAAATAACTAAATTTTTTTAGTTACTTATTGATATCTTTATATAGATTCATAAATAATTCAGACAGTGTAAGTAGTATATTTAATAAAACATTATTGACCCACTAACCTACAAAATATAAGGAAAAAAGTTTATCAAAACTTAGGATATCTTTTTACACTTTAAAAATGTGTTTCATGTGTATGATGTGATCTTACATGATTCTAAACAGGCTCTGATTGTACCTCTTTTTGATAAAATGAATTTAGTTCAAAAATCACATATAAGTTAAACTAATATTGAACTATATTTCTTGGGAAGAAATATTAAACAGCTGATGGCCTTACTCAATTTAGACCTACTCAGTTACACTACAAATCAAGAAATCTGTGATCAAATATAAGATGTTTTAGGTTTAATATTTTTGAACCAAAAATGAAAGTCATCAGATATTTATTATTCAACTATTTATTTAAATAATACAATAACTTTTATTTATGTAAATATTAACATTAACATAATACAGTGAGTGCCGTAATGTTTCATTTATAAACAAAACATATGGTGCACATAACAACAGATGATCGACGAAATACATAATACAATAGGAAGACCAAATATAGAAACGAGTTCCCTTACCTTCACTTTCTCGCCGTCTACTTCGACGGTCTTTATCATGAAGTCGACGCCTATTGTGGCGCCCTGCCCCGGTGGGAATAGACCTTGGGTAAACCGTCGTACAAGACATGTCTTGCCCACCCCCGCATTACCTACCAACACCACTTTGAAGAGAAACTTATAATCCTCCATAGCGAGCACCGTATCACATTCGGAAGTGTACAAATACCAAAGTAATTAGATGAAATAAATAACAATAAATTATCTTCGCCGTTCACTGTTACGCTTTGTTGAATCGACAGCTCGTTACATTACGGCAATGTTCGTAAATTCCATTGGCGTGATATTATTGCAATCAAATGTATATTAGAGATTAGATAAACATAAAAATTCAACTAGGTATCAAAATCACATTCCAAAACAATAGAAAAGATTTCATTTCAAATTAGATTTGATTGAACAGATCGAAGACAACAATGAATGAATAATTCTCACGATGACGGCGAGAATACGAAAATAGAAATAGTCAGGTAACACATATATATTACAATTTCGATATCGACAACTTGCTTGAAATTTTGTTCAAAGTTGCCAGTAGTAACTCGACCAATAATTCGCATACGTATTCTTCAGTACATGTCTGTGAACGAAAACTTTCAAATAATTTATATCATTATTTCAGCCATTATTCGTTCACTGCTGGACATAAGCCTCCCCCATAAACTGCCATAAAGAACGATCCTGAGCCACCTGCATCCACTGACTACCTACAATGGATTTCAGGTCGTCACTCCATCTAGTGGGGGGTCGTCCTACACTGTGTTTGCGTGTATGGTGTTACCACTCAAAAAGTAATTTATATACTCTTTGGTAATTAGTATTAAAAGTGATTGATAGGTTTCCTATCTGCTTGCTTTAGTCACTAGAAATCAGTTTTGTGTAACTTCTATACTAGCTTTTAATATATTGATTTGGTCAAGAAATATAATACCAACGTTTAGTTAAATGATGAAATCCAAATAGTACCAACTTAACTAATAATGTCAAATACTATTAAATGTGATGCAAATGGTTGCTTGCCATCTAAACTATTTGTTGAACAGTTTTAGCCTTATATTTAATATTATTTCATATTCATTCATATGCTGTCACTTATGGGCCGGAGCACTTAAATACCAGCTTGAATCCTTCGACTCGTTGCAACAACGAGCTATGAGAATTGTCAATGATCCCAGGCTCACAAGCGCTATCAAACTTTTAAGTCTTAGGAGAGATTTTGCCTCACATTGCGTGTTCTACCCCTTGTATAAAGGATTGTGCTCAGAGGAATTGTTCAATATGATGCCCACAGCCACTTTCTACCATCGTACAGCTCACCATCGGCAGGGAGTGCATCCTCATGTCCTATAGCCTCAATGATCACGTACTGCGCGGTTTCAGAGATGTTTCCTCCCACGAACACTCAGGTTGTGGAATGAGCTCCCTGCCGAGGTTTTCCCATGAGCCTACAGCATGGGGTTCTTCAAAAGGGGGGTAAAGAGGTTTTTGCAGGGACCGCAACGAACGCGTAATACCTCTGGTATTGCAGGTGTTCATAGGCTACGGTAACCACTTACCATCAGGTGGGCCGTATGCTTGTTTGCTACCTCAGTGGTATAAAAAAGATTTTTTTTTCATTTTGACGTGCGAATTATGACTATATATAATTAATTTTGACTGTTACAAGGTCTACTCTAAAAATTTACAATTTATTACGGGAAGTGTTGAAAACTTGTGTTTATTACAAATGATATTACTAAATTGAAGTTTCAAGGTGATACTGTATGCAATAATAAATATATTTAAGAATGTTATCATTTATTTTTACTAAAAAAATTAATGTGCGGAACATGCAAGACAGAAAACACATAAAATTTTCTTATTTTTTTTATCACATGATGCGAGTTTCTACTATAAAACTATAGTATAATTAATTATGACCTTAATCGGCTCAATTTTTAATATTAATATAACGAAAAAAGGATTTTTATGCATATTGGTGAGATATCCTGCCCGAGTCGATTTAGGTGGTATGAAGTGGATTCTCTTATCTCTCTTATGTATTACACATACTCTTTGATAGAAATCAACGTCAGCTGTCATTGCATGCTATCAAGTGGAGAATTGTTTGTTGTCATTGATTTTTGCGACTTTGTTGAATTTTATTATTATTCTATATTAATTAACAACTTACAATAAACTTAAGAAGCAAGATTTGGTATAATTATAAAAATGTCTAGCATAAACTATACAACGCGTACTGAAGGGCAAACCAAAATAAATACAATAATATGGACGGTTCCAAATTTCACTAATCTTCTGGAAAATAAATCGACTAGAGAGTTTCGTACTGAAAAATCAAAAGACGCCAACATAGACCTAACTGATTCTCGGTTCCAATTGAAAATGCAGTTTTTAGGGCGAGATAACGATATAATAGAAATATATTACTTATCACCGATGCCTGTTTTCCTGAAATCTATACTGACAATATGTTTGAAGCGTTTCGAAGAACGTTCAATCGTTATAAAAGAATACCATACAGTGCAAGCGAACAAATGGCAGTATTTGGCCACTTTGTTCAAGCGGGACATAGCTAGCTACGACGGGCGCGACATATTTCTACTTAGCGATGGTAGCTTGCGCCTAAAGTTCCAGTTTATGGTCACGAACGATATTAAAGTCGACAGAACTAATGTACCAGAAGCGCAATTGAGTAATGACTTTGAGAACCTCTTGAATAATGGTCTGTTTTCAGATGTCACAATGAAATGTGCAGAGGGTGTGGAGTATAAGGTCCACAAGGCAGTACTAGCAAGCAGAAGTGCCGTGTTGAAGGCACACTTTGAGCACAACACTACAGAATGTATAACAAATGTGGTGGAGTCCCCCCTCGAGTCTGATGTGCTGAGGGAAGTTTTGATGTTTATATATAGTGACAAAGCCCCAAGGGTAGATGAAATACCTGAGAAGCTTCTGGCAGCCGCAGATTACTATCAACTGAGCCGACTGAAGAGCCTGTGTGAGGAAGCTTTACATAAGAAATTGACAGTGGACAATGCCATAGAGACACTTCAACTGGCTGACTTGCACTCTGCTAAAGCTCTCAAACAGTCAACATTGGAATTTATAAAGGATGGTCAAGCAAAACTTATAACAAAGACTGAAGGCTGGGCAAAGGTACAATCTGTGGAATTGATCAAGAGAATTTATGAATACATAATGGCAGATGAAATAGATGCCGATTTAAAATAGGTGGCTCTTAGTTGTAGATCTATTGCAAAATACTATCAATAGTGGTACTATTTTGGTGCTACTTTACAATAACTTTCAACCAAATCTAGTCTAAACAGGTTACTGATATGTCTATTCTTATATTATTTTAAAGAGTAGTTAGTTTTTATTTTATTTTATTACTTTTTGACTATAAATGTACTTAGTAATGTAATATTTTAATTAAAAGTGGACTGACCTCATAACAGGGGCTTCTTAAAATCTAAAATCTGTTATTAGATGAAGTTATAAATTAATGTAAAAAATATTATAAGGTGTATGATGTAACATATATCTTTGCCCTTATGAATCAGGATAACAATAAAGAAAAAGAAGCTATTTAAATATGAATGAGTTCAATTTTTATGTTTTATTCTATGTATATAAAAGTTATTAATTGTTTAAATTTATTTATAATCAATGTGTTACAAATGAATGCACAGTTATCAATAGAGCTGTGGGAATTGTGAAGCCTAGGAAATAGAATTAATATAATTAATAAAAAGTCTAGGAATAGAAAAATAGGGATCTGTAAACAGAAATAATAAAAGGTTGATATTGAATAACAATCTTATTTATTACTTCTACCACTTTGACTATCACTAGAGTCACATTCTTCACTAGAGTCACTATGATCACTAGAGTCACTATCCTCACTAGAGTCACTGTCACTCTCATATACATGTACTTTTTTCCAATTAGTATTTACAAATATTTCATCATCATCTGTATTGTTCTCAACTTTCTTGGGCTCATCAAATTCCTTTGGCCACACATTGCTTTCTTTATAAAATTTAATTGATTTCTTATTCATTATTTTCACTATTTCTCCTTTCACTTTATTCCCTTCCAATATTGGTTCTACAAGGATGTAATTTCCTCTCTTCACCCATATGTTTTTGCGAAATTTATTAGGCATAGATACTAAAAATTCTTCGCCATTTGGTGTAATAACCTAGAAAAAGTATAATTATTTTTATATAATTCTCATTTGATATATAAAACACATAGCAGAGAAAACCTTAGCCTAAAAATAAAACTACACCTACATTGGGCTTGAAAAGGCTTATGATAGAGTGGACAGAAATAAACTGTGGTCATATGAAAAGTGGCAACCGTGGCCTATAGACATAAACAGTACCATGGACATAACAGACTATACTACTTCTCCCATGATACCTCACCATGTATTGCCATTCCTGAGGACTGTAAGTAGAGTTGTAGGTAGGGGGCCCCCTAGATGGATGTATGTTGACCAAATGAGCAACATGCTGAAGAAGGGCCAAATTAAATGTAGCTGTAACGGACAAGCATTTATGAATAGATTGACGAGTGTAGAAGAAGAGGTTGATGAATGAGCAAAAGAGGTTTGCTTGAATCCAAGCATTTGGTGTACCATTGTTTCTGCTTACCCTAATGGGAGACAAGCATGACAGATATGTCTGTATGTAATTCTCATTTATTTAATATTTTATTGCACCAATTTTAAACAATTGATGGATATGCAATGAAAAATTTATTGACAGACTTATTGCACACTTATTACACAATCGGGACAATCTGAGTAGAAATTACAGATGGGAAATATTATTGATTGAATGACAATAAAAACAATTATTGAATTAATATTTATTACAGCTATATTAATAATTAAATAATGCTGTATTGTGAAATGCTCATTTGATTAATGTGTGTTTTAAGGTTAATTGTGAACTTTTTGTGTTTAAAATGTGATACTTGGTAGAAGAGAAAATGAAACTCAAGATTTAGAATGGAACATTTAAGCATGAGGAGCAATATACAAACATACATATCTGTCATGCCTGTCTCCTATTAGGATAGATAGAAACAATGGAACGCCAAATGCTTTGATTCAAACAAACCTCTTTTGCTTCTTCCACATTCATCAATCTTTTCATACACGCTACCGGTTATGGGTACTTTTAATTTGGCTCCTCTTCAGCACATAGTCTATTTGGTGGACATGTGTTCATCTAGGGCGGCCCCTATCGGCATATCCATTCATTCTTACTCAATAAATATACATGACGCATTATATTTTGTATAGGTGATGGTATGCTGTCAATTTGTTTTGCCATCCTCTGTATTCTATAAGTAAAATAGTACTTATATGTTTAAATTTATAAGTATATTTTAAATTTGATTAAGTATTTTTTTTATGCAACTCAGAATGGCATATAAGCTGACAGCCCACCTGATGGAAAATGGTAACCGTATAGGTGATAGATATGAGCAGTACCATGGACATAATAGAATATTCTGTTTCTCCAAGATAACCCCTCAATTGCGTTGTCATTTCTGAGAACTAAGGTGTTATTCCTGTGTACCCTGTGAATTCACTGCCATATCCCACACTAAACCGAAACACAGCCATGCAAACAAAACTGTTTTACGGTTGAAACGCAAATAGAATAAAGTGGAATACTGCATCCCTCTGGTAAACTATATGCTATGTACTTACTAAAAACAAGATATAGTATAAATAAATGACATGAATATAACAAGAATAATACCTTACCTGGTGTAAATTGTTTCCTTTGCTTTTTAATACTTTGACTATGCTCTGATTTTCATTAGGAAGTATGTAGTCATCCCAAATAGCTTCGTTTATTACATGCTTTCGTTTATTTACTCTAGACATGTTTATTTCTTTATTATAGTCACTATGAAATCTTCAAAACGTTTAAAATAGGAAATAAATTATTATAATCAGCTTGTGGATGGATAAATTAAATACAATTTTCTATTATTCAAGTCTCCTTTAAATCACACGTGCAATCAAAGCAACAAAACCGACGGACGACAAATAGACACTTTGACGAACACCGATAAACTAATGAAAGTAGCGGATACAAAATAGGAGTGTTCAATATATAGCGATATGAAAAAATATCGATATTAACTTTCGATATATCGATCGATTCGATATTATCAAATAACTAATTATCGATATGAAAAATCGATTTATTCTATTCGATACAAAAAAATTGTTTCGAATAGTTGATCTGATTTGTATTCTCTCTCTACTCTATGGTAGGCTTACATTATGATGTAACATTATGATTTGGAGTGGCCTTTGTGGCAATCACACAAATAGGGCCGTTCGACCGGCGAAGTGCCACCCTCTTACAGAATATCGTCGTGAAATAGCAGTACAAATACTGCCGTGGTAGGCTTACGTTATGATGTAACATTATGATTTAGAATGGTAGTTGCCTTTGTGGCAGCTGCACAAATAGAGCTACTCCATAACTGGAGCCCTTAAATAAAGCGTTATCTCATCTGAAAGGCTTTCATCAATTTTATTGGTTTTCCATTTCCACTGAACTAATTTATGATGATCACTCCAGAGACTAAACTCTGTCTAAGAAAGTTTGTCTGATAAACTATCAGAATCTGATCCCGCAGCAACACATTAATCCTCTTGTCGATTTGATCTGACCATCTCTTTAATTTTACTTACGGCATTTGAACAAGCCAGGGGATCAGGGATTTGGGATTCTGGAACTCTCACTTACCGAACGAAACACGGCAGTACTTGTACTGCTATTTCACGACGATATTCTGTAAGAGGGTGGCACTTCGCCGGTCGAACGGCCCTATTTGTGTGATTGCCACAAAGGCCACTCCAAATCATAATGTTACATCATAATGTAAGCCTACCATAGAGTAGAGAGAGAATACAAATCAGATCAACTATTCGAAACAATTTTTTTGTATCGAATAGAATAAATCGATTTTTCATATCGATAATTAGTTATTTGATAATATCGAATCGATCGATATATCGAAAGTTAATATCGATATTTTTTCATATCGCTATATATTGAACACTCCTATTTTGTATCCGCTACTTTCATTAGTTTATCGGTGTTCGTCAAAGTGTCTATTTGTCGTCCGTCGGTTTTGTTGCTTTGATTGCACGTGTGATTTAAAGGAGACTTGAATAATAGAAAATTGTATTTAATTTATCCATCCACAAGCTGATTATAATAATTTATTTCCTATTTTAAACGTTTTGAAGATTTCATAGTGACTATAATAAAGAAATAAACATGTCTAGAGTAAATAAACGAAAGCATGTAATAAACGAAGCTATTTGGGATGACTACATACTTCCTAATGAAAATCAGAGCATAGTCAAAGTATTAAAAAGCAAAGGAAACAATTTACACCAGGTAAGGTATTATTCTTGTTATATTCATGTCATTTATTTATACTATATCTTGTTTTTAGTAAGTACATAGCATATAGTTTACCAGAGGGATGCAGTATTCCACTTTATTCTATTTGCGTTTCAACCGTAAAACAGTTTTGTTTGCATGGCTGTGTTTCGGTTTAGTGTGGGATATGGCAGTGAATTCACAGGGTACACAGGAATAACACCTTAGTTCTCAGAAATGACAACGCAATTGAGGGGTTATCTTGGAGAAACAGAATATTCTATTATGTCCATGGTACTGCTCATATCTATCACCTATACGGTTACCATTTTCCATCAGGTGGGCTGTCAGCTTATATGCCATTCTGAGTTGCATAAAAAAAATACTTAATCAAATTTAAAATATACTTATAAATTTAAACATATAAGTACTATTTTACTTATAGAATACAGAGGATGGCAAAACAAATTGACAGCATACCATCACCTATACAAAATATAATGCGTCATGTATATTTATTGAGTAAGAATGAATGGATATGCCGATAGGGGCCGCCCTAGATGAACACATGTCCACCAAATAGACTATGTGCTGAAGAGGAGCCAAATTAAAAGTACCCATAACCGGTAGCGTGTATGAAAAGATTGATGAATGTGGAAGAAGCAAAAGAGGTTTGTTTGAATCAAAGCATTTGGCGTTCCATTGTTTCTATCTATCCTAATAGGAGACAGGCATGACAGATATGTATGTTTGTATATTGCTCCTCATGCTTAAATGTTCCATTCTAAATCTTGAGTTTCATTTTCTCTTCTACCAAGTATCACATTTTAAACACAAAAAGTTCACAATTAACCTTAAAACACACATTAATCAAATGAGCATTTCACAATACAGCATTATTTAATTATTAATATAGCTGTAATAAATATTAATTCAATAATTGTTTTTATTGTCATTCAATCAATAATATTTCCCATCTGTAATTTCTACTCAGATTGTCCCGATTGTGTAATAAGTGTGCAATAAGTCTGTCAATAAATTTTTCATTGCATATCCATCAATTGTTTAAAATTGGTGCAATAAAATATTAAATAAATGAGAATTACATACAGACATATCTGTCATGCTTGTCTCCCATTAGGGTAAGCAGAAACAATGGTACACCAAATGCTTGGATTCAAGCAAACCTCTTTTGCTCATTCATCAACCTCTTCTTCTACACTCGTCAATCTATTCATAAATGCTTGTCCGTTACAGCTACATTTAATTTGGCCCTTCTTCAGCATGTTGCTCATTTGGTCAACATACATCCATCTAGGGGGCCCCCTACCTACAACTCTACTTACAGTCCTCAGGAATGGCAATACATGGTGAGGTATCATGGGAGAAGTAGTATAGTCTGTTATGTCCATGGTACTGTTTATGTCTATAGGCCACGGTTGCCACTTTTCATATGACCACAGTTTATTTCTGTCCACTCTATCATAAGCCTTTTCAAGCCCAATGTAGGTGTAGTTTTATTTTTAGGCTAAGGTTTTCTCTGCTATGTGTTTTATATATCAAATGAGAATTATATAAAAATAATTATACTTTTTCTAGGTTATTACACCAAATGGCGAAGAATTTTTAGTATCTATGCCTAATAAATTTCGCAAAAACATATGGGTGAAGAGAGGAAATTACATCCTTGTAGAACCAATATTGGAAGGGAATAAAGTGAAAGGAGAAATAGTGAAAATAATGAATAAGAAATCAATTAAATTTTATAAAGAAAGCAATGTGTGGCCAAAGGAATTTGATGAGCCCAAGAAAGTTGAGAACAATACAGATGATGATGAAATATTTGTAAATACTAATTGGAAAAAAGTACATGTATATGAGAGTGACAGTGACTCTAGTGAGGATAGTGACTCTAGTGATCATAGTGACTCTAGTGAAGAATGTGACTCTAGTGATAGTCAAAGTGGTAGAAGTAATAAATAAGATTGTTATTCAATATCAACCTTTTATTATTTCTGTTTACAGATCCCTATTTTTCTATTCCTAGACTTTTTATTAATTATATTAATTCTATTTCCTAGGCTTCACAATTCCCACAGCTCTATTGATAACTGTGCATTCATTTGTAACACATTGATTATAAATAAATTTAAACAATTAATAACTTTTATATACATAGAATAAAACATAAAAATTGAACTCATTCATATTTAAATAGCTTCTTTTTCTTTATTGTTATCCTGATTCATAAGGGCAAAGATATATGTTACATCATACACCTTATAATATTTTTTACATTAATTTATAACTTCATCTAATAACAGATTTTAGATTTTAAGAAGCCCCTGTTATGAGGTCAGTCCACTTTTAATTAAAATATTACATTACTAAGTACATTTATAGTCAAAAAGTAATAAAATAAAATAAAAACTAACTACTCTTTAAAATAATATAAGAATAGACATATCAGTAACCTGTTTAGACTAGATTTGGTTGAAAGTTATTGTAAAGTAGCACCAAAATAGTACCACTATTGATAGTATTTTGCAATAGATCTACAACTAAGAGCCACCTATTTTAAATCGGCATCTATTTCATCTGCCATTATGTATTCATAAATTCTCTTGATCAATTCCACAGATTGTACCTTTGCCCAGCCTTCAGTCTTTGTTATAAGTTTTGCTTGACCATCCTTTATAAATTCCAATGTTGACTGTTTGAGAGCTTTAGCAGAGTGCAAGTCAGCCAGTTGAAGTGTCTCTATGGCATTGTCCACTGTCAATTTCTTATGTAAAGCTTCCTCACACAGGCTCTTCAGTCGGCTCAGTTGATAGTAATCTGCGGCTGCCAGAAGCTTCTCAGAGTTTAGTCTCTGGAGTGATCATTATAAATTAGTTCAGTGGAAATATGGAAAACCAATAAAATTGACGAAAGCCTTTCAGATGAGATAACGCTTTATTTAAGGGCTCCATAACTGGAGCCCTTAAATAAAGCGTTATTTCATCTACTCTACTGACGTAGATTTAATGAAAATCTTTTGGAAGTATAGATGAATTACAAGGTACAGCTCTGTTAGTCATTAGTCATTTATTTAAATAACAATGTACATTGTGTCTGAAATAAGGGATAAACATACAAAAATCATTACATTAACTTGTTCCATCTGAAGGGCTTTTTTCAAAGGCCGCGCAGGTCTTAACATAAAAGAGAAATCGACTGCAAGCTAAACGAGTCAAAAAAATTTTATTTATGCATGGGTTAAATAAGAAATATTGGAATCTTTAAATATTTTTTTTTTAAAGTTGATTGAAATATTTACATGGCCATGGTTTAATTCTCTACTCTGATTTAACTTTTATCTTTCCTTTTTTAATTAGTAATTGAATATTATATACGATATATCGAAAATATGGATATTTTGAAACGATATATCGCATAATATCGATACAACAATTCGATATATCATATCGAAACAAATATCGATATATTTTTCAGATGACATCCCTTACATAAAACCAAATAGCTTTTTTTTTAATTGTATGCCTCCATCGGGGCTCCGATGATTTTGCCAACGTCAAAGTTGGAAGAAACACTACAATTGTATGTGTTGCGATTAGATTTCTTTGTAGGTGCTCGTTGAGTGTCTATGCCAGGGATTTTTCAGGAAGAATGGTGATGGTTATATAATATGATAGTTAAATGTTAAAGGAACATATTATAGTTTTATATTATTTGACCAAATAGCTTATATTCTTGACGGATATCAGAAAATGACAGATGATAAACAGTTGATTAAAAATTCATCTAAAATAGGACAGGCAAAGAACATGGCCTATACAGCCCCGTCATAAGTTATAATCGGTTCTTCGTAAAGTGAGGCAAAAATTATTTCTATGAGCCTGGATAAAAGTTTTTTTGTCCAATAAAGTTGACATGTAACGTGCCACCAACCATTTCTGTGCTTATTTTAATGCAATTATACAATTACAATGCTGCTGTATATTTATTTAGCTTTACTTAATATGTAAGTTAATAGAAACGAATTAATTATTTCAAATTATGTATTTCACACTTTTGAAGTACATCGAATATATTAAGCGACTCGCCATCTGGTATGTTGTAGCCTTTCTGTAAACCATGCGGGTTGGATGGCGTGGTGCAGCTGAGGTTGGACTCCTTTCTCAGTACTTGGTCTACCTCAACTGACGTAAAGAATGCCACCGATAGAGGAAGATCGTTTATACCCACTCTGAAAAGTCGCATACAATGAAAGAATAGAAATAATCAACACTTAATTTTAATCACATTTGAATAGACAAAAATCATTTTAAGCATTTTTTACCGTCCAATTAGTGATGTAATTTGGTGTTGATGATTCGAAACTTGGTGTTGCTGTTTCAAAAGTTGAATTTCAAAAATTGATACATTATACAAACAATTAGATTCTTAAACAATTACGGTTTAACAGTGCTTGTAAATAAGTCTACTTGAAAAAAATGATTTGAATTTAACTTTTTTCCGTGCTTAAACTTTAATTTCATAATCGAGAGGTTATCTCCAATATTACTTTCACATTATGTGATTATTGTTATCATTTTTTTAACAAAGTCTAATTACCGTTGTGAACAGAAGGCTCTAGTGAGTAGGTTTGTTATTTGTAGAGCCAATGCAGTCTCATATTTTAGGTCTTCGGGCACCAGGTATCTTACTTCATCATGGAAGCTCAGACAAAACCTAAAAAAGTAATTAACATTTAGCACCTTAATAATAGGTTTAATATATTTTTATTGGTGGGCGGGATAGTTAGTAACGGGATCTAACAGTTTTATTAATAATAATATACCCTATCAGGTCGACCTCGACGCGGTTCCCCTTGGAAAGTATCGTGATTAATTCTTGTTGAATTCATCACGGTGGGCCACCTGACGTATAGTTTTTATCCTCACCTGTAATCTCTCACCCGCCAGCGTACAGCAATAGCGCAAGTGGGGTTACTGTTCCGTTTGTATTTAAAAAAAAAATAGAAAAACATTTTTATGTATGGAATTGGATACACATCTGATAAAGAGAGAAGATAGAGAGAGAATCCATGAGGTATATGATTATGAGGCTTGCTGCCCAATTTAGACGCCAGTCTCCCACAACTGTGTATAGTTTTATATTTTTGTTGCCAATTAATGTATAATGTGGTTGTAGTGGAAAATATAGTCTTAAATTAAATTAAATGAGGATTACATACGGTGGATTTCGGGTATAACGACGATGAAGGGATCACTCTATTTTCGTCGTTATATCCGGAGGTCGTTATAGGCAAAGGTACACATGTATAGTTTTTTCTTCGCACAAATCAGCATTGTTTTCACCGTTTTCAATTTAGAAATGATTTCCGCCCTTTCTTTAACAGTGAATGTGCGTCGAGGCAGTCATGCTTATCCAAAAGTTTACTAAACTCAGTTGCTATTCAGTATATTACTTTGTAACTGAACCATAAACGTACACGCTTACCTACCTACGTAGCTGATATCTATAAACAATAGGTAAAGGTCTCCGCACTTGCTGACCATTTGTGTGGATGTAAAGAAAAGGTTAGAAATGTTTGTGAAAGAAAGAAATCTTGGTGTCTCTTTAGCGGCCAACTTTGGTCGCAATATCTGCATGGGATTTCTAGGAATTTAATACAAATTATTCATTAAAAACAGTCACAACACCCGAACTCGGCGTTACATCCAAAGTCGCTACAGCCACATGAATTTCGTACTCAAGTATGCTTTAAATTCAAGGGACTTAGATTTAAAGTCGCTATAGGCAAATGGTCGTTACAACCAAGGTCTTGAAAACGGAATCCACTGTAGATGAAAACATGATGTATGGATTGAGTGTCGGCTGGCGCACCTGGCCCGCGGCGCGAGGTGCGCGAGGCTGGCCAGCATGAGGTGCAGGAAGTCGGCGGCGGCGCTCTGCACGGCCCAGTTGAGGCGCGTGCCGGCCCAGCGCCCGCGGGCCTGCTCCAGCGCCCGCGACAGCCGCCCCCGCAGGAACGCCGTCGACGCCCACTCCGACTCTTCAACAGTCGACCATCATTTATTTATTTATTCTTTACTGCACACTTTATTTCTTTATTAAGGCCGGCAGCACGCCTGCAATGCCGTTAGTGTTGTGGGTGATCATGGGCGGCGGTAGTCACTTACCACCAGGTGAGTAAAGCAGTAAAAATTGAAAAAAAAAGCAGCGAGCTTAATGCAGTATAGAATTCTCTATCAGTTAACCGTTAGGTAAAAATAGAAAGCGTTTAAGGGCAACGGTAGCGAACACACATTACACAAAAAGATAAATTTACCTACTGATATAAATTGCCATAATAATATAATATCCTACAGAATAATATTATATAACAAACTGTACTGGAATCAATATCAATAGGAGCGCCCAGTAACTACGTGCGAACACGTAGACGACACTTATGTACATTAGTAGACGACATTCAAATGGCTGGGATGAAACTTTAATTTGTGGCGGGTTATGCGGTGGTGAAAATCAGCAGCAGGTATCAATCCGAACGATTCCTCAGAACACTCCACATGATAATTTCGATAGAAGATGATTTTCATAGTAGGAATAAGTTTTCTTACTCTGGCGAAAATGTAGCCAATGTATTGTTTGAAAGCAAGTTTTTCATCCAATACTATCCCTAGATACTTTACAGTTGGAGTGTTCTTAATAGTGTCATAGGAGCACGTGTTAGCATGGTATACCGGATTTTTACTAGGATTAAGAGCCATACACTTGTGTATCCTGGTGATCTATCATGAAATGAAATTCCGAAATTTCGGGCTCAATTTCGTGTTTTTGTTCGTATCAAAATCGACCCAGTAAATGGAGCTTAACATTTCGTTCATCATAAACCCTATTCTAATAGTCCAAAGGAACGATATTTTAACATTTTTAATAATTTTAAACAGCTTGTATTATGTAATTTTAACATCAAATTTCTATTTCGTTCGTCCCCGAAATTTCGGAAAATACTTCATGGTAGGCCCTCTGATGTCTAGATAGGAGAGCGGACTAGATGCTTTAGTTATGTAAAACATACACATGTCGTTAAATATATTAAAACAATGTACCTATTTATCTAAATTAAAATTATTTTATTCCATTGATCTTCCTGTAGTCTTTCTACTCAGTAATTCCAGTTCCTTATTCTATTACCTGCCAAATCTTATTTCATAGCATAACCGCTTAGCGGCAGAAATGCGAGACAGAAATACCCATACAAACATTTTGTACAGTCTTCCAGGTAACAATTGAATAGTACGCACCGGCTATTTCCTCCAGTTTGTTAAACATATCCGACTCGGTGCCGCCGACCCATCGCGGCCTCTCAAACATTTCCTCCACCTTCTTGCCGCTCAATTTCGCCAGCCTCATAGCTTGGTAACCAGTCATCTCTACTGTCTACAAAGTGAACGGAAATTTTATGTTTGGTTTATAAGTCACCTGTTACACTGATTATGTATTTATTCACCTGGTCCTCGAGCCAGGATCGAACCATCATTGATACATTGATTGATCGAGATTGGTAATATGGGGTTATATGGATTATATATCCAGAACACTGTGACAAACATTTAGACGAGTTTGTTTCTGAAATTTGATTAATCGAAAATTAAATCAAGAACCTCATTTACCCAAAGCACCTTACCACTACCGTGTACTCGCCGTGTGGTCCCGGCATAGAAAACGCCATCGTTTCCTTTCTCGCAGGTGTCGTAAGACGCGACTACGTGTATACCGAATCACTACATAGTATAAAGTCGCTGTCGCTGTCTGTCCGTCCCTATTTATGCTTAAATCTTTAAAACTGCACAACGGATTTTAAAGCGTTTTTTTTTCAAATAGATAGAGTGATTCAAGAGGAAGGTTTATATGTATAATACATGCATAATATTGTAGAGAAACACTGATAAAATCAGAGGTTTCTAATGTGATGTCGTAAATTAACACATTTTTTTGCGCTTACATTGCAAACGCTGGCTGAACCCCACGAGATAAATCAATATAATGTACTACATTATTTTACACCTTAAAATGATCAACAAAAAAGTCCGCAATGTTATATGTCTATCTCTTAAGGATAACCCACTATAACCATTTTTTAGCCTTTACATTTTACGGGAAAAAATGGCTTATTTACGAAGTGATTTTAAGTAATACAGCATTAATTTTTATTCAATTAAGTACCTTAAATAGATTGTCTATATAATATAGATCAATATGGCCCTTTACAGCATGTAATTTAAATGAATATTTCCAAAGATATTACAGATTTTAAATACAGGGGCGAAGTCGGGACGGGTCGCTAGTTTCATAATAATTGGTTAAACCTTTAAGGTGCTTACAGATAACAAACAAAATAACAAACTTACTTTTACAATTATAATATTAGAAAGGATTTTTTATACTAACTTTTTTTTAACTTAGCACATTAAGTGAAACCCACAGAAAGGAAGGGCTGACCGATTCTATGCCGTTTATTGTTATATTATTGTCATTGTACCGACATAGAAAAGGCCACCTCTACCTTTCCCACAGGTATTGTAAGAGGTGACTAAGGAAACATAAAATTCGAGGGATGGGGCAACAGCGTCTCTCTTAAAACATCTCAAAACTTACTGCAGTTACCAATCCGCCTGCAAAGCATGGCAACTATTGGTAAAACCCATCAAGGGGGAAGCTTATGTTCTACCATCATATAAGCGTTTAACTTTCCAATATTAAGTGAATAAAAGTCTTGGCAAATCTATTTAATGGATTTTCAGAAAACTCCAAACTGCCATGGGCGTAACAGTATACTCTGTCATGTACATGGTACTGCTCATGTCTATAGGTGACGATTACCACTTTCCATCAGGTGAGCCTTCGGCTTGTTTGGCATTCTAAGTTGCTAAAAAAAATATCGTAACTACATTTCTCAATTGTCCAACTAACCTCGTTTCCTACATCTTCGTCCATGAAGCCTTCCATATACTTCTTCTTTAGCGTGTAAACCCTGCGTCCCTTGGTCGTTGTGAACATCTTAGCCGCCTTACTCTTAGCTTCAGATATCGTCATAGTTGGGTTGAACTGCTTCAATAGTCGTTCGGCAAAGTTCTGGCCAGCACCTTTTTTTTATATTATGAATGAATGAAAACTCTTTATTGTCCATTAAAAAGCAACGTGGACAAAATAAAAATCAGTATAATGGTAATAAAAAAATAAAAAAAATTAATACACCTGATTTTTTTTTATGCAACTTAGAATGGCAAACAAGCTGACGGCCCACCTGATGGAAAGTGGTAACCCTCACCTATAGACATGAGCAGTACCATGGACACAAGAGAGTATACTGTTTTGTCCATGATACCCCCATGCGTTGCCATTCCTGAGGACTCAGGTGTTATTCCTCTGTACCCAGTAAATTCACGCCATATCCCACCCTTCAAACCGAAACACAGCCATGCAAACACAGCTGCTTCACGGTTGAAACACGAATGGGACAGAGGTACTCAAGCAATCGACTTATGTACGAAGTCTCCCTCTGGTATTCAGCAAGACGGTTTCCAGGGGGGACCACATGGAGGATCTGACTGGGTATCTCAGCCTATGAGTAGTGAAGGAAGGCCGCTGGCACTGACCGTATATGCGGGCGTAGTTGATGACCTTGGCGTGGTCGCGCGACACGGCGGCGGCGGCGGCGGTGAGCGAGTGCAGGTCGGTGCGGCGCTGCTTGTCGCCCGCCAGCACGGCCCACGAGAACGCGCTGCCGCCCGCCAGCCGCAGCCGGCTGTCGCCCAGCAGCGCCGCGATCCACAGCTCCTGTCGGCTCACACACAACCACATCTCTCATCTCCTGTCACTCTCAATCGCCATTTTTTCATAATCATCATCGCATAATACATTATATGTCCACTGGTGAACATTCCCCCCCCCCCCTTCTTCAACCATAGACTGCCATAAGGAACGGTCCTGCCACCTGCATTCAAAGATTTCCTGCAATGCATTTGAGGTTATCATCTTATCAAGTGGGGGGAGAGGGGGGGTTGTCCTATACTACGTTTGTGGGTCGCCACTCAAGAACCTTTTTTCCCCATCGATTGTCGATTCTTTGAGCTATATAACCAGCCTATTACCACTTTAGAATGCTTATCCTTCTATATTGGGACCCTTTTTTATTGGGATGAAAATGGCAACCCCGCCTTCGCTATCGGTATACACTAACAGTGCATTAGTAAGTGATAATAGGTAAAAACTGCATAGGATTTAAACAAGGTTTTCCAGTCGTCTGAATTTTGCAATCAATAGAATTCACTTCCATGTTAGTCCCATATTAATTTAGCGAGGATAGAAACTGTCATATTTTTGACCGAGCAAAAAACTGTTTGCTGCGAAACAAAATCTTTTTTATGACACTTAGAAGGAAAACAAGATGACGACCCATCTGACGAAAAATGCTGAAGCGCAATCGAAACTGCTTGTTGCGATTGCAAAACAAAATCCACATGTACATTATTTAGAATTCTAAATTCAAATATTTATTACATACTAGCTGACCCGGCGAACTTCGTACCGCCTAACAGTCGATTCTTTAATTTTTTAGTTTTTTTAATACTTATTCCGCTATTTGGGACACTGGGTCAGCTAGTAAGATAAAAGAAGAAAAAAGAAAGTTAACCCTTCATGCATGATTTTTTTTATTGGTGAAATAAATCAAGGTGATATAATTCATGTTTAAAATTAAAGGAAAAATAAAAAAATAAATTTAACAGCTTTGATTTTTTTTCTGCAATGGACATTAAAAAGGTGTCCAGACACGAGCAACTTAAAGTGAAATTGTTCTTTTATATAATTTTTGGGCATTCAATGTTACGATGGAAATTTCCACCAGTATACAAAGAGTTAATAAGTCAACAATTACAATATGTCAAAAAATAAAAATTATAAAACACCTAAAATTCTTTTAATAGTCAATAAAAAATTACAATGAAAATTACAATTTCACATTTTTTATTATGACACCTACTTATTATATTTCATATTATTTTTACTTATTCTAAATTAAGTTTTATTTTTATTGTAGTACTTTATGATACACGATATTTTTTGTTTGACTACCTGGCGCGTAAACAAACAGAGCAGATGGTTTTCCAACAATACTAACGTCACTCAATTGTTTTGCCTTCCCGGAACCTATCCACCAACACTTGAACTCTATGATATGGTATTAAAATTCAAATTGACTTAACATTACGAATCGTTTGTATGGGAGTATACTCGTAGAAAAGTGCTGTTTTTAAACTTTTTCAGACAAATTTTTAATTTTTCTTTCCGTAAGAACCATCCTTCAAGGAATACTTTAAAAAAAGGGGAGAGGGAGGGAGACTACAAAAATCGATTGCTTGGGTACCTCTGTTCCATTCGTATTTCTACCGTGAAGCAGTTGTGTTTGCATGGCTGTGTTTCGGTTTGAAGGGTGGGATATGGGGAATTTACAGGGTACAGAGGAATAACACCTGTCCTCAGGAAAGGCAACGCATGGGGGGTATCATGGGCGTAACAGTATAATCTGTTATGTCCATGGTACTACTCATGTCTATAGGCGACGGTTACCACTTTCCATCAGGTGGACCGTCAGCTTTGCCATTCTAAGTAGTATAAAAAAAAAGAATTAACGAAATCGGTTCGGCTATTCTCGAGATTTACGCTTAAGAACACATTCAGCGATTCATTTTTATATATTATGATTATTCATGCCCGCTAAGCGTGGCAACTACTGGCGTAATCTGTCAAGATAGAGGCCTATGTTCAGCAGTGAACAGTTAACGGCAGATATGATGATGATGATGATGATGATAATGATTCACGATTGAAGTCGCTTTTTTACACAACAAAATGCAATTGTATACTATATAGTGACATTACCTGTGAATCGACGTCAGCCCCAACGAACTTATATCCGGGCGGCGCTTGCACCATAGCACGTAATTCTGAGCCAATTCGTTCGCTCTGAGCATTGCTCGCAGTCATCCATGTGGGCTCACTCGCGCTACAAACAAAACTTACAATCTAAATTCATGCCAGATTATGAGCGGAATAGATGGACAAAATTATGTTAATCAAACCTGGCCATGTGGTCTCCCTCCTTTTACCGTAGGTATCGTATGAGGCAACTAAGAGAACCTAATATTCGATGGGCAGCAGCGTATTTCTTAAAACGTCACTAAGCCTAATTGCAGTTGCCAACCCGCCTGCTAAGCGTAGCAACCAATGGTAAAACTCCCCAAGGGGGAGGCTTATGTTCAGCAATAGATAGTTAAAGATTAATATAAAATATGAATCAAATGTCTTTACAAAAAATGTTCAAATACGGCTAACAAACGCCTTGTTAGCCGTATTTGAACACAGTACAAGCTTTATTCGGTTATGGGCCCAGAAAGCTAGGTTTTTATACTACTATGCTGACAAACAAGCATAACATCTGTCTGATGATAAATGGGGTTAACGTAGCCTATGAACACCAGTAACACCAGGGACGTAACGAGCGCGTTGCCGACCCTTAAGAAATCTTAATATGCCCTTTTCGAAAAACCCTTTGCTAGTCTCTAAGAAAAGTTTCGGCAGGAAAATCATTTCATAACCTGAAAAATCAATTCGCGGGAGGAACCATTCTAGTTCTAAGGTGTGAGGATGGATTCCCTGCCGATGGCGCAGGGTGCGATGATGAAAGCTGGAGATATATATATATATATATATATATATATATATATATATATATATATATAAATATAAATATAAAAAACATACTTCAAATCTTTTGAATTTCTATAGAAAAATAAAATTGAATATTGTCATTCTTTTCTATATACAATATATATATTTAACAATTTAGTTGAATATTTTAATTACTCATTTCCCATAACTGGTGACCCCGCAAAAACGCATACTACAATGGCATCGTCTGACAACAACGACGAAGTATTTAGAGTGGGAATACGAGTTCTGCCATTTTGGCAAGAGGAACCTGAAATATGGTTTGCTCAGGTTGAAGGTCAATTCGCCGTCTTAAATATAACAGCAGATGCAACGAAGTTTAACTACGTTATTGGACAACTTGACCACCAATGTTCAAAAGAAGTAAAGGACATTATAATTTCACCACTGCCGACGGAAAAGTATGAAAAATTGAAAACCGAACTCATCAAACGTCTAAGTACCTCACGCGAGAAGCAGGCAAAACAACTAGCATATTTTTTGTTTATAACACATGGGTTAAACGAGCATTCGGCTCACCAGATGGTAAAAGACTACCACCACCCATGATCACCCGCAACGCCAGAGGTATTGCAGGTGTGCTGCTGATTCCTAAAAAGAAATATGATCTTTTTTTTAAGACTATGATGTCGTATGAATTCAGATATACTGCTGCTGGAAGTTGATTCCAAAGAGGGATTGTACATAGAAGAATGTGCCTTGAAAAACGTATGATGGAGGCCCGTCACTCATCCAGATGGTTGGGATGGAACTTTAGTTATATCAAAAAGTTCTTCAGAATAAAATATAAGTGGTAGAAGATGCAAAGCGAAGCAAAGGCTTGCTTTAAAGTAATAAGCTCGATACTGCCTCTTAACCTGGGATCGTCAACAATTCTTACATCACATCTCTGGACCACATTAAGAGAACTAAGCTGGTATCCAGGAGCTCTAGCCCACAAGTAAAAACAGTACTCCATATGAGGTCGGACTTGTAACTTATCTAATAGTAATCTGTGTCCGGGTGTATATGTATATAATGTTTAGTGAGATTAATTAAATTAGTCACCGTCTGGTAAGCGTGCCGGCGACGACCACCTGCGGCAAGATGGCGCCGTAGCGATAGTCGGCAGCCGACTGCGGTCGTAGTTCGCGCGGCAACCACACTACCTGCTGGCCCATGATGCGCTCGCGGTTGTTGCGCCAGTACGACATCATGCGTCCGAAGGTCAACACCTGCGGAGAGGATTAATAATAACAGTCTAAAACTCTGATATAATGGCGTTTGACATTGCCAGCTACAAATTATAGAAAAAAAAAAACACAGAGCAAATGAAGATCTGCGGACGAATATTTATTTATTTCAATATTATATCTGGAATCAAGAGCTTATATCTAGAATAATAAAAAATATTATTTTTACACCATACATTAGCCAATTACAGATTCCCAATTTGTATACCAAACAATATTATGCTTATTTTTGGAGGATATAGCAATAATTTTCTACGTATCACATCGTTTCGGTCGTATATATATTTATGCGAGCAGTCAACGCGGATTGTTCGACGAGTGTGGCAGATTATATAAAAACTAAACAATGCAGCGTTACCGATCTTCCGCCGACCAAAGTACGACGCACGGAGGATCGAACAAACGTAAAACAAAAAAGTGCTAAATGACTTCATCCTCATCATTTTATCATTCATTGATACTTCACCATAATACATCATTAGTATTAGCGGTCACTGATTTAGTCAAAAATGCCCATGGTATTCCTCCACAATAAATAGACAAAAATTACAAGAAATAGAATTGCTTCCATTTTCTGTAAATCCACTTTCCATTCGCCAGACCTAAGACTTATTTGAAATGACATTCGAACTCCACCATTAATTAAATTTAAGTTATAAAACAATGATATGTGTTAAATCATTATTTTACCTTTTCAGCTTCATTCCCCTGTGCAGTGAGTACATTCTGACTGAACATTTCTAGGAAGTCCCTCGCTAATGGGTTGCCAACTTTGTATTTGGGCCCATCTTTGTGTGGCAACCTCAGAAAGTGGCAACACCCTTGCAACTGTATCCCACACCATAGTCCTAGCCCGTGGTATTGGTTAGCGGCTGCTTGCTCGTCCGCTTTCTTTCTAGCATAGTAAGCACGCCTGCCTAAGTCTTCCTGAAATAGTAATTACTGTTATGTTCTAGTCTTTTTTTATGCAATTTGGCAGACAATCCAGCAGCCCACCTGATGAAAAATATTGCCTAGATATGAACATTCAAGTTTGCATTAAAATGTATGCGTGATATAGTCATTACTATATAGATAACAAAGTATTTTTTTACTGTTTCAGCCATTAACTGTCCTCTGCTGAACAAAGCCTTCACCCTAAGGGGAGTTTTGCCAGTAGTTGCCACGCTTGGCAGGTAATTTGGCAACCGCAGTTAAACTTTTAGAGATGTTTTAAGAATGACGCTGCTGCCCATCCCTATGCCATAAGCTCCTTTAGTCGTCTCTTACGACACCCACGGGAAAAGAAGGGGTGGTCCATTCTATGACGGGACCTACACGGCTTATAACAATGTATATGGAGGGAAAATGATTGTTAGTAATGTGGACTACCAGTCTCAATGCCAGCAATATAGGTCAGGTCGACTTTTACATGGTTCCCCTTGGAAATCATCGTGCTAAATCCTTGGTGTATTCATCACGAAGGGCTAACTGACCTGCCTTTGCATCTTCACCTATCACCCCTCATTAGTGCCCCATCAATGTACACCGTTAGCGGAGGCGGGGTAACCATTCCATTTCTATCTATTAAAAAAATATTATGCACAGGCACCAGTGTCCTAACACAAGGTACGGTACACTGTATTGTGATGGTGATATTATGGTGAAATACGTACTTCAACAGTTTTTGGTAGCAAATATACATCGGTTCCAACGTCGCTCTCCTTACAGAACACCATAGGACATGCGGCTAATAACTCCTCAAGAGGTAATGGTGTTTCTTCATCCTCAATCTCGCCATGTGTTCTACTGAATGGTACTAAGAAACCCCACCCTTCCGACTTGATATAGTGGAGGGGATAGCCTTCCCAGGACAGTCGTAGGAGTTTGGGAGTAATCTGTAAAATAATGTAAATTTCATTTGTAACAGTTTCTTAAGCACATTTTATATTTTAATATAATAACTACCGGTTTAACTAACTTGTAATATGGTCGAGAAAACGCTACTAGTTTTTGAAGTAAACGCTTACAGTTCGCGCTTAGCTTAGTTTAGGTGCGCAATCTAGCTCACATTTTTATCACAGTCGCTCAAGATTAAGGATCCCAAGTGGTCTCGAAACTAGTCGAGCATTTTTGAACAAATTACACGTAAGTTTAACCGGTGTTTATTACATTAAAATGCATTTTTTTTTAAGCTTTGATTTCGTAACTTCATGCCTCTTGTCGCTTCAGTAGGGCGATAGATGCATGAGAGGACAATATGTATTCATGCGCAGTTTAATCTAGTTTATGAGTTTACCTATAGATTAATATTTATTTAGGCAAAATTTGTAAAAAGTAGAGATTGTGAGTGTTTCGTAGATATTTGCAGATATGTTTAAACATAAACAATTGCAAATACATTTTTCTGTCTCCAGTAAGTTTAGGCATTAATCAATTAGCAAAACTTCTAAATGGAGTGATAACTTAAAATATAGAAACACCAATAGTGCTGTTAAAGTCTACATATGACGGTAACCATATTCTATTAGGTAGACCGTCAGGTTGATCGCTATTCTAAGTATCTTTAAAAAAAAAAAAAACAATGGAAATTCGGAAGGTCTTTATTCAGCAAATTGGCTGAAATAATAATGGCGGGACAAAGACACGGAATTCTCATTTTTGCATTTCTTTACCATAGGCGTATTATTAAAGATTGAGTGGGCTGGGGAGAGGTGTGTTTATTCCAAAATCAAGGACGCACTATTATTGGCAAAAACATGTCTAAAAATATAAAAATATTCAGAAGTAGGCCAATGTACTTTACTTTTACAATAATATTACCTGCATACTAGTGGTAATATTGTGAGCGCCGGGCGACCACCCCGGGCTACCCGGTTTACTGCATAACTTTCTGTACCATGCGGGATACCCCGCCAGGTACGGCCTCTTCACTGGCAATAATGACTCCAATTCATACAAGTATTCAAACTTTTTACTTAAATTCACCAAATCTTTTGTCTCTGGTTCGGCAATTTCGTCAACAGAATCTATATATTCGTCGTTTAACATTTCAAATTCCTTATTTTTTAATTTTTCCGTTTTACTGGCCAGTTCTATTTCGGAACTATTAGTTGTTATATTTGTTTTCTTTGTCGTTGATTTCTTCAATTTCAAAGTTTGGGTTGACCAATCCTGGTCCCACATCCAGATATCTTTTTTGTAGGCCTCATTTTTCATTAGTTGACAAGCCTCGTCTGCTTTGCGGGACAGTAATTGTCGAGATTCTAATTTCAAATCTTCAAATACAGTTTCCGCCGAATCTATGTATTGTAGCCAGTTCGAATTCACTGGTAAATATGCGGAGCCTGTAATCATACGCATTTTTTATTGGTTTGTATAGTTATTTATTACTATGTATGTACAACAAGTGGTATATAATTTAATGAGGGTATGTATGATTAATATACTATTAGTAAATATTTTTTAAATGATCATCAAATCTCAAGCAAAATCAATTGAAAATTTTGATCTCCTAACTTTGGTATAATCATCATCATCATCATATCAGCCGGTAGTTGAAGATATAACTCCCTCTATGGGCGGACTTTGTCAGCAGTTGTTGCATTTGGCAGACCATATAATACTTGTATTGATTTTAAACTTTTGCGTTGTTTACACATATTTTAAATTCACAATCTAAACTTAATGCGATGCTAAGTCGAAACAAAACAAACGTCGAAATATCGACAATAAAATTCAGTAGATACTATTTACCTATAATAATCCGGCTCGGAGGATCACAAACCTAAATCGACTTACCTAGCTCTAACATGCCAGCTAGTGTTACAGGGTGTGGAAAGCGTTCAAGGAACAGGGGCAACAGTTCCCTCAGTACGTCGTGAGTGGCTATCACGTCACGCGCGCAGTACAACATCAGCTCTTGGAAATTATCGTGTACATCTTGCATATTACCTTCCGTGAACACGTCACGGCTCTGTTTATCTACGAGAGTGCCACAGTACAACTGATGGACCTGTAGAAAATAATAGAAATAATTATGTGGTCTTATATAAAATATATGACTAGATTGTAAGTTTGTTTATTTGTTCGTTAAACCAATCGTCATGAAATTAATCAAAGATTTTTTTTTATCAATACCGCTCAGACAAATGCAGTAATGGGTAAATCTAGTTATTTATATATAGAAGACAGTTGTGATATGTATGTAACACCTCCTGTTTTGTAAAAATCAATGCCTTTCTACCTATTAATTGATAGATAGAACTATCTTTAAGTTAAATCTATTGCAAAGTAGGCGGAGAGAACAAAATGCTAAAGATCAATTTGATAGTTCTATAGATACTTAACCCTCCTTTCCTGTATACCTGATCATCACAGGTTTTGAATCAAATTTTGAAAAAAATTCAAAAAAATTGAATATTACCTCACTAAGATTATTCAAGGAACTAATCTCCTTCCAGTCATCATCACTGGGGTGAGGTTCTTTGTTCTTAGCCTTTAAAACAGTCCGTTGGTAGCTGGTGACACCGCTAACACATGTATGCATGGACATTGTATCCATAAACCGTAGACCTGCATCAAGTTTATTATGATTAGAAATGAGGATTCACAAGTCTATTGTAAGCAATATATATACTCTTATCTGGTTGTATTCCACATGGTTTTCATAGAAACCAAATATAGTTCTTGGTAAATTAATCATGTTAAATTTAATAGGACTTAATCAATGAGCCAAATGAAGTAAACAACCAGATAGATTTATTAAGGCTTTTCCTTTTTTTTATACCACAAAGGTGACAAACAAGCATACAGCCCTTCTGATGATAAATTATCATTATTTATATATTTATTATTATTATTATGGACAAGTGCCCCATCAGATATGCCATGAATTAAGGCTGTATTATTTTCCTGATAGCCTCGCATAAAAATGTAACTATATGTTGTCTGTAAGAAATTGCCCTGGCGATAAGACCACCTTTTGTACCTTTATGTATATATTTTAATCTGTAATTTATGCTACTTTATTTCACTTGATTTGTTTATATGTCATTATATATTTTTATGTTTCTGGTGCAATAAAGAGTTAAATAACTCAGGCAACAATCACGGCCCGACTTTATCCTCATCTATCATCCTTCATTAGTACCCGGTCAGCGTAAACCAATAGCACAAGTGGAGTTACTATTCCATTTTCATGCATTAAAAATAAACCCAGTGGATACCTGTTTTATTCAACCAATACTGTTCCTTAATTTTCGCTCTGTCAAATGATACATTATGCCCAACAATTATTCTGGGCCTGTTTAGGTCGCCACATGGTTGCATTCCATCTGTTTCTAGAGGTATCAGATCTTCATAATTGACATTTTCATACTGTTGATGTGGCTCTCCATTAGCTACAGGTTCACTGACCCAACTATACCTATAATTTTACAATTGTTATAATTACAGTTTCATAAATTGATCCAACTATTGATCCTGTATATTAGATAATATAATATTACATTCATCAAACATATAAAATATGTCAAAACAGTGAATGTTTAAAATCCGACAATACAAATCTAGGCTCAGATTTGCGTTACAGCCGCTTAAGACTAAGGGTTCAAAATGGTCTCAAAACTAGTTGAACTTTCTCAACCATTACACATAAATTAAACTGATAGTAATTATATTAAAATACAAATAATTATTGTCATACATATGAAAGTGGATGAAGCAAAACATGTAGACTTTTGCACTTGGTTCATGTTGGATCACCCTATAATATGTGGATCTGGGATATATGTAGACAGAATGGTCGGCAACGTGCGCGTAATACCTCTGGTATTGCAGGCGTTTATAGGCTACGGTAACCGCTTACCATCAGGTTGGCCGTATGCTTGTTTGCCACCTCAGTGGTATAAAAAAAAAGAATAATTTTATACTTCATGTTTTTTAAATGGATGAAGATGAAATGATGCACTCACCTATTCTAATGATGTACAATGACAAGACACTAATAGAGGATGAAATGATGAGAATGAAGGATAGTCAGTAGTAGCAAATTTACTACTGCAGTTTTCAGGCAGATCATGCGAAGGTCACTTTGACAAGGTATATTGCTGGCAATGAGGAGTAATATAGTCATTACTGTCTACATTACTGGCCGTGTGGTTCTGGCATAGAATAGGTTATTTTATCCTTTCCTGTGGATGTTGTAAAAGTACGACTAAGGGAGGATGAGAAACAGGGAGCAGTGTTCCTCTTAAAACACCATTAAAACTTAAGTGTGGTTGCCAATCCACCTGCCAAGTATGGCAACTACTGGCAAACCCACCCAATAGGGAGGCTTCTGTTTAGCAGTGGACAGTTAAAGTCTGATATGATGATGATGATGATACCCATTACTATAATTCCTTCCCCACATAGATAGATAGATAGATAGATCGTTTATTTGTTTGTTACTAATCACACACAACATGTACATAAGAATAGATAATACATAAAACAACATAAGATTTATAATTGTGTTATTATGTGTTATCTGCAGCAATACAAAAAGGTCGAAGCTCAGCGTGTAACATTGTTCAAGGAACAAAACACTGATTTTCAGCTTTAACCCAATTGAGGGTACGTGAAAATAATAAATAAAATAAATATAAAATAAAAAGAGTAATATTTTTGGTGATTGTCTGTGCAGTGTGTGTATAATAAAAATAATGTAAATAGTTCAGAGTATAATTTGATATAATTTTAACTGAGTGGTAAGGATAAAGCGAAAAAAAAAGATTAAAAAATATTAAAAATCATTACATGAGTTTGCAACCGCTAGCCAAGAAATTTCTGTGGAATGCCTAAAATTTGTTTTTTTAATAAGTATTCTTTATGATGTTTTTTAAAACTTTGTACGGTAGTCAGATGCCTAAATGGTGGCGGGATGTTGTTCCAACATTTTGTTGCTTGGTAGCAGAAGCTGCCAGTAAATGCCACAGTTCTGTGTGCTTGAAATGATAATTTCGAACAAATGAATCTGTATCCATACATACGTGAAGAGAAATTTAGTTTTTTAAAGAGATAAACTGGCTGTTCACTTTTTATTACATCAAACAATAGACTAGCCAGATGTAACTGTCTTCGCGATTCCATATTCAAAATTGAAGCATTGTTTAAATAGGGACTAATCATACACATACTTTCATGTTGACAACCTTAGTTAGGTAATAATTTAAAGTACTGACTTTTGTGCCAATGATAACTTACCATGAGTCACATGATACTGCACAGGCTAGGGTGGGTCTATTTCCTGATGACATAAGTACCTCAACATCAAATACCATGGCATCATCAAGTGGACAGGGTACAGGTACTGCTGTGTTGCCATTATATTTGCACCACCCTGATCTCTTAGACCATATCTATGACAAATACCATAGTAATTTGTTTGAAGTCTGTATATTTTGATAATTAAGTAAATACTAATAATAACTAGTGATCCACTCTAGGTCTAAATGGGCAGGCAAAATATAAAAATAAATTTGTATTTTATATTAGCTTTAATAGGCACATTTTTATTACTTTGGATATTACATTACATTATTATGATTTATGTAGAAATCTTAATTTTTTTTAATTAATATATAACCTATATTGTGAGTGGTTTTTGAGTCGATCCATTAAAAATAAAGAAAAAAAAAATCTCTTCTTTACAATATTAGTGTAGATAAAGTTGTAATTGTTGAAACTGAATGTTGAAAAAAAAAGAATGCTTAATTTTTTTTTCATACAAATTTTAATTTTGTTCTTTACTTTTAACTTGTCAATTAATCTATACCATTTGTACCTCACTTTTTCTGCTATGCTTTTTTATTGCCTTCTCTCTACCATAAATTTTTAAGATTTTAATCTAATGGTATTAAAAATGGTAAAAAACCCTTTTCAGTGGCTTAGCAGACAATTCACAGACGCAGTGGCATTTTTGCAGGGGAGCCTCCCAGTTCATCTGTTACTCTCCTTTTACCATTTTAGTGTAAAAGGAAAAATGTGTGATATACACAACAGATTTCCATATCAGTCTGTATTTCATAATTATATTTCTTTTCAAGTTGCATATAAAGTTATTACCTTTGGCAATGGTGGCAATGTACTGGTTGCCAGATTCTTCAGCAAACTCCTGTATGGTGAGCTTTGCTTTTCACCTATATTATAAAAATGCTCCACAACATCTTTTCCTTCTAGTTTTGGCAATTTTAATTTTACATCCGGTAAATAGTCTTGTTCTTTATAATTAATTCCATGTTTCAGAAGATTTTCTTGGCAACTGTAATATTTCATTAAATATTTCAAACCCAGGAGAAAAACTAACTTTAGTTATGAAAATTAAAAATAAACAGACAAGAACAGGAGGGAGGCAATTGAAATGAATCAACAAAATCAGTTATTAAAAATTTCTCAATCTATTATAAAAAAAATCCTAATCCTAAATTAGAAGAAGAAACATAATATCCTGCAATTTCCTAATTTTAGATATGATTCCTGTGTGTATCACAGGTGCGCTTAATTAAAAAACATCTATCCAATCTATAACATTTTATGATATTAAGTAAAAAGATTTTATTTTATAAATAATATTTCATAGTAGTAATATACTTAATAAACTTATGAGTTTATTAAGAGTCATCTACTGTTTTCTGTTTTACTTAATATATTTTTAATATATTTTTTGTATGGAAATATTTTGACCCAAATTTTCCATTTTTCCATGTGATTTTTTAAATATTTTCTTTCATACAAACCTTATACTGACAAACACGACAAAAAGAAATTAGCTACATATGAGTAATCATTTTAAAGTGATGGGAAATTATATATTTTCGGTAAAAGATTTTTATTTATATAGATTATCTCTTAGGACCAACGTGACTACGATAAAAAATAGTCTATGAATATAAGGAAGCAAAGAACATTAAGTACCTTTTTATTATCTTTGGATCTATAACGGGACTACAATTTTTAAATAACTGTTCGTAGATATTTCTAGAAATCATCTGAATATTTACTTCATTAACTCTAAATTCTGTTGATGTTGTTTCACTCTTGGATTCATAAACTTCCTCATTTTTGAGGTTATCTACAATATCAGCTTTCTTTTTTCTTATGATCTTTACTTCACTAGTAGGAAATGTATAACAATAACATCTACGACATTCAGATAAATTCCCTATTAAAGGTTTTCTGAAGTTCTTTTCAAGAAAACAAAATTTCGCGCTATTCATAACTGGAGGAATTGACAGTTATATTTATATTAACGTTCAGAAATTTCAGTTTTCATTGAACATCTGAAACTATTGTTCAGAACCCATATGTAGATTACGCATTTATATTTTTTTTTGTCCATAACATTAAATTCTAAAATAAACCTACTTAGAAACCATACAAAAACCATATCATTTATTTTTAACACTCTGTTCAAAAATAAAATAATAAATTACACACACACATTGTATACTCGGGAATGAGGTTTTTTTTCTGAGACGTTACCTCTATCTTTTAAATTAAAATTTAATTTGGATCCACAGCGTATTTTTTATTCAAATTGGTCCTTGCCAATATGAATTAATTTTCTAATAAATTTAAGTCAAAAATATTATAATTCTAGTTTGTAATATTCCATAAAATAATAATTTCCCAAGATTATCAAATTGAAATATTGACAATTTTTTGGTATTGGTTCTTAATAAAATAACGTTATACTTACAGCGTGTATTACAAAAATATTTCGTATGGAAATGAACTCGGCTCAACAACCTTAAATAGCTCTTCAGAATCGGCATCAATGTCGTATGTCGTCCATAAGAGATCTTTACAGCAGAATTTTTGTTTTTGAACGATATTTTTTTTTTTTTATAATCACTAAGTTTTTATTATGTATTTTATTAGACAGTCACACAAAATCAGATTCAGTTGTTTTGAATTAATATTTGTCGTTTACATAGAAATAGTACATTACCTATTTGATTTACAATACTATATCTATTATACTTACTTCACTTTTTAATACATAGGTTCTTCTTATTTTTTCTTTATGGACGTAATTTTTTTAATAACTAACGATATATAGAGGTGAAATGGAATATGATAAAAGTTTCTAGTTTTATCTACTTGCCTGTCATACATATCAAACAATTTTTATGTCATCAGATAATGCCGCTTCATGAAAAGAATTCAATGAACATGGTCTACATTGTTACTTTAGACATTGTATTAAATTAAATACATTTTGTGTATATTAATTTATTAATGTGTCAAATATCCATAATAATTATAATACTTTACCAATAAATTGATTACTTACTACAACAGACTTAACAGTTTTGCAAACAATAATCATAATAACATAGTGCATTCATTTGTAAGTAAAAAGGAATGTAGTTAAAACTGTATAATAATTATTTATTTAATTAGTTCTTAGCTGATAGTCTCCATTTTGTGTAATATATCGTACCCATGGCAAAGCCTGGTACCCACTCTTTTCTATAATCTTGAGATATCTAACTTGAATGCCAGATGTAGTGAAGTATGGGATCTCAAACTTCACTTGAATTGGTGGTTTGCCATCTACCTCCTCACATTCAACAGAGGGCAGCCCAAAATGTGCTCTCATTAAATATTCCTTGCCTCCTGGGAATGACTTGATAGACCATGTTATTGCATTCTGTTCTGGAGTATACTTGACACTGCCAATAGTTGTTTTAAATTTTGGTGAGTCGGCATCAGCTGGCACAGGAATAATTATTTCAACATTGTTGGCTGTAGAACGTCTCTTAAACTGGGACTTTGCCTTGATCATATACTCAACTCGTGAATGTGCATGCCGCTCAATAACAGACTCAATCCAAATCAGAGGTTTCACATGCGTGTTCAACCTGTAGGACATCAACTCAAACTCTCCATCAGGAGGAATAAATGATATAGTTCTATCATTTTCAAAACGAGACAGTCTAACACACTGGTGGAACTTTACATCCTCAAGTTCCACTGATTTAGATTTACCTCTACCTGTGCTTTCAAAAAGAACTTTGTCATTCAAACCTAGACGTAATTCTGGCATACCAGATAGGTAGACCCTCATTTTGATTGCACCAACAATCTCACTCCTAAGTACATTGCCATTAGAATTAGCTAATAAATTGACAGACTCGATAACATCTAAAAATACTTCGTTTTTCCTATATTTAATGCCTTCAGACCTCCAAGAGACGGCATTAGTAACGGCCATAGGTATGCGGGGTTGCATTTCTAATTTGTGTCCCTCTTGTGTAATATATTCCTGTAGGATCTTGCTATCAGTAGTTTGCGGATATCCAAAGTCTATCAGTTCATCAAGCAATTCATATATAACCACGAAGTTGTCGCGAATACTTTCCTCTTCTAGTTCTTTGAAATACTCTGTCATAACTTCAACAATTTTATACAAAAACACAAATACTAATGCAATATTAGCATTTTTCTTAGTAGTTGAAACAATATATAAGTTGTTAGTTTTGATATAGGCGAATGTGCACTCGCTAGTCTGCAAGAGTGGTGTTAGCATACCTTCTTCTTCTTTTTCCATGAGAAATGGCATGAATTTATCAATCACCCCCATGTCAACATCGCCACGGTAATTTCTGGATATAAGGACTTTGCCCTTCACGTCCAGTATGTATAACGCAGAACAGGACATTTTTAATCTAAAAAAATATGTAACAAGATTAATTCATTACCTACGAGATATATCCACATAAAAACCAGTTCTGTTAGAGAAAGCATATTAGCAGGATTTTGAATCCTAACCACTGGAATACGGGTATTAGAACGTTACAAAGCTATTAATATATAGACAATACTTACATTGATATTTTAACGTAATAATAAAGAAAAATAATCTACATTATACCAAATAATCTGATACTAAATTATTTGCGATGACGGCGGTGCTCGTTTAGTGACGCAATAAGGTCAGCATTGTCCAACAAAAGTCACTGTCACATGTGTCAAATTGTCAACAATATTCTGACAACTAGATACCGACTGCATTTGTGCTTAGACAGTCTAAGAATCTAATTTGTGATTGATGATTCTAATTTGTGAACGAAAACTCTAATGAGATGTACACAGCGACTTGTGAGAAAACCCAAGAACTCAATTCCAAATATTCAATATATCAAATCTATGAAGACAGAAAAAAACAGTAGTTTTATCTCTGAAATGAATACATATTAAGAGAACATACATATATATATCTGTCACGCCTGTCTCCCATTAGGGTAGGCAGAAACAATGGAACACCAAATGCTACGATTCAAACAAACCTCATATTAAGAGAAACGGGTTGATAAATAAAATGCTTAATATTGTTGTTCTCTTTTATCACGTCTTAGTTAGTCTTAGGTAGTTCAGTTATTACTGGCCATCATAATATGTCTTTATAATGGCCAGTAATAACTTTGATGTATTACACCACACATATTAATGTATGGTACAATTAAGTAATTGTAGGCTTTAGTCTGATTCTTGTGCATCGAATTCATTTGCAACAACTAATAATCTATTGAAACACAGATGTATTATAGAGAATAACGTAACTTGTTTATTGCCTGTAAAATGTTGAAATGCCAAATTTATTAATGAATTCACGATTTATTTTATTGGATAATAATTGATTTATTGAGTGTGATTGCTTATGCCCACCAATACTAAAGAGTATAGTCAGAAGTCATTCATCTTGTCAGTCATAGATTAAGGATAACTTGCGGTCATCAGTCATCAGTAGAGGTGACATGACGTGAATGTTGGTTGTTTATTAGTTGTTCTAAACCACAGTTTTTAACCTAGATCGTTTGTTGTCTAATTGGTTCTTGTAATCAATTAATATGTAATAATGATTGATAAGCTACGATGCCGGTTATTGTTTTTTTATATTACCTGTTAGCGTAAGCAACTTATTTTGAGTCACTACAGTAAATTTTCATTTTTCGAACATGATACCAGCATCGGAAGGGCAACAAAGGAATCCTCTTGTTTTCTTGGAAATAGCAATCGATGGAGAAAAAGGTAATAAGCATAAAAATCAAATTGAAACTAAAAAATGTTAAACAATTATCAATACTTTATTTTATTGTACATCAAACTTATTTTTTGCTGGAATAACGTAACTATTTGGTAGCCGTATCCGTATTAAAATACATTTATTTTGTATTATATCGATAATAGAGTTTTGTATGAGTTGAGTATACACCAGTAAGATGCTGTGACACATGAGGCGTAACACCTATGTTTTTGAGTATGGTAGCCTATGAGAAGTCCTATGGGTAACTTTGACATCCTATATTTGTTTTCATCAGATGCACAATCACTTTTTTGTCATTACTTGTGGCCAGATATGTGTGTATACTTAACATTGGTAGGCAACACACATTCTCAATAATTTAAGATTTTGCTTCTCAAATTATTGATTAATCATAGCAAAATTAATAAAGGAATAATTAATTTATTGATCTACTGTAATTGTTAATAACCTGGCATAATGTTAAATATAAACAAAGATAGCTGTTCAAAAAAATAAAATAAAAGGAATTGCTCCTTTTATATTACAAGGAGAATTGTCAAATCATTCAAAATTAGTGAAAATATTACAAAAATATAATAAAATAAATTGCTTAAAAAACAGAAATTGTCTAAAATAATTAGTATACTGTGGTATAATGTACCTGAATTAAATAGATTAATAATTATGCATTTTTTATATTATAGCTGGCCGCATAACTATAGAGTTGAGAAGTGATGTTGTACCAAATACAGCTGAGAACTTTCGTGCCCTTTGCACTGGAGAGAAGGGTATTGGTGTTTATAAGAGGCCTCTACATTTCAAAGGAGTTAGATTCCATAAAGGTATATGCAGTATCCTCTATATTGAGTTAGGATGTAATCTACCCATGTACAAAATTTCATTTGAGTAACAAATATCTAAACATACAAACATCTTTAGAAACATACTCATTTATAATATTATTAGTAAGATGAATTTATGTGGATTCAAATTATCAAACAGTTGGTACCAGATCATAAAAAATCAATACATATAATGATTAATAACAATTATTATTATTATTATTGTTTGCAGTCATGTCCCAGTTTATGGTACAAGGCGGAGACATAGTGAATGGAGATGGCACGAGCGGGGAAAGTATCTATGGACCAATATTCAAAGATGAAAATTTCATGTTAAAGGTTAGCTAGCTGGTTTCAACATTAATCACTAATAACTTTGGGTGAAGGTGTCCCTAAGATATGTATTTTTTTCTTTTTCTTTAATAGCATTCACCCTGTTATTAAGGTATTTCACCAAAAACAAAATGTGAAAGAGTAATAATAAAAATACCTAAGCAAATTTAGAAAGGATAAGGATTCAGTCTAGAATATGAAGGGTATATATACATGTACATATAAAAATATACTTATAGAAATTTAGGAAAAGCAATTGATGCAACTATAATTAATGAAATTTTAATATTGTTTTAATATATTTATTTGTAGGTATCTCTTATGTGGCTGGCAGTTACTGAAGCTAACAAAAATGTAGATAATATATATTTTTAAATTATTTAATTATAAAACCACTAAAAGAGTAACACAGGTTTGAAAGTAAACATTTATGTATTTCATGCTCTGTTAAGTTAAAAAAAATAGCATTCTTTGCAAGTTTTTGTGTTAATAGTTCTTAATTGAATTTATACATTTGTAATTCTGTCATGCTTATTTTTATATTTAACACACCATCTAGTGTTATAGTTTTATAATGATAGTGTTTTTTTTTATACAACTTAGAATGGCAAACAAGCTGACGGCCCACCTGATGGAAAGTGGTAACCGTCGCCTATAGACGTGAGCAGTACCATGGACATAACAGAGTATACTGTTTCGCCCATGATACTCCCCATGCGTTGCCATTCCTGAGGACTCAGGTGTTATTCCTCTGTACCTAGTAAATTCAAGCCATATCCCACCCTTCAAACCGAAACACAGCCATGCAAACACAACTACTTCACGCTAGAAACACGAATGGGACAGTAGTACCCAAGCAATCGACTTTTGTACAGTCTCCTTCTGGTGATTTCATTAGCAACGTAACTAAAAATTCTATGCAGATTTATAAATTACTAGCAGCCCAGTATGTGCTTCGCTACATATAAAGTGAAATGATAAAAAAAAATTAACATCAATATTGCTGACAATTTGCTTTAATCGAAGCACATCCAAAATGAAATGACCGCAAGAATGACATAACAACATGCTTGTACTGTCAACACTGAAAAAAGTTTCAATTTGACAGCACAATCTCCATATTAAAAAAAGTTTCAATTTGACACAAAAATTACCATTAACAAAATGATCCGCCATTTATTGAATTCATTTGTTACAAAAAATGTGATAAATGAAGAACCGCTCGACCGATTTTATGCAAACTTCACATAAACCATCTACTAAATTGTCCCAACAAAGCGTAAACATTTGGTTTGGATAGGTAAGCCCCTTCTTGAGTTATAAAATTACAACGAAAAGTGGCATTATCTTTTATATATATAGATAACGTAAATATTTAAGACATTATATTTACAAAAAAAGGGTCACTTTAAAAGTACAAACAAGATAAACAAAAATTAAAAAGCGTACATAAGACTAAGGAAACTATAATTTTAATATTGTGCCCCTTCTATCTATTCTATTTAAGAGCTGCGCTCTTGTCGGTGGAGCTTTTGCCACTCACTACGATTTTCAGCTAGTCTCTTCACCTCTTGATACGACACGATGTAACTATATCTCGGTCTCCCTCTTCTCTTCCTTCCTTCTATTATAATGTTCATAAGTTCGTCGTGTCGTATCAAGTGTCCCAACATTTTTCTCCTTCTATCCTCAATAGTTCTAATAATTTGTCTCTTTTCCTTAACCCTAAACAGGACCTCCTCATTGCTAATTTGATCTCTCCAGCTAATTTTCTCCATAGCTATGTAATTTACAAGTATAATAAAGAATATACAGGGTGTAAGGACATTATTTCAATTCAGACCATTATTCTGGACTGAAAACAAGTGGATTTCTTTTTGGAAAATATCAATTTTTTCTTTTTTTATATTAAAAATCATCTAATTTATGATATTATATATTATGTAACCTATATATTACTATATTATAAAGGAATAATAATATTTTGTAGTGAAACACTATGAAATACCAAAAAATCGCACGGAATCAGCTGTGTAAGGTCAACGTCTCAAGCGTACGAAAACTACCTACGAAGAAGCACCATTGACCTGTAGTATTGTACGCGTTGCAGGTATCTCATTGTGTGGATCGTATACGTAATACATTGCGCGGCATCAAAACTAGGAATCGTTAATAATATAACTGTAGTGCATTTCCGATGGGGTATTAATCTGACATCTGATTTAAACCATCCACCTTTTTTTTTTTTCGTGTAGAAATGCCTCATGCAGACCCATATGCCCCGGGGGAGGCGTATGGGTACTGCCGGACTCCTACCGGCTAAAACCACCACGGCTTCCCTCGCCGCGTCAAAGTGTGGGTTCCCTTTCGAAATCCACCGAGCCCCAACGGCGTTGGCCCGCACCGGCTTGCGGGCCCCGACTCAAATAAGAAGCAGGCACCTGATGTTAAGCGCCCGCCTACTCTTCAATGGGAAGCACGCGGGGATACGCGCGCGACTTCCCAGGGCCATGTTAATTAGGGTGGGACCGCCCCCGCGGTCGTTACCCCAGCCCTTTGGCGAACGGTGGCTAGCCGCCCTGATCGCCACGCTAAGTAGGACGTTGGACCTTGGTCCGTGTCCATCTCCTCTCTCCCGCGGCCTGTTAAACCATCCACCTAAATCAGCTGTTTTCGTTATGACCAACCTGTCAATGCCATCCTGTATATATTATTTTGTTTTTCAGCACGATGCAGGCGTACTCAGTATGGCGAACAAAGGGCGCGCTCACACAAACGGCTCGCAGTTCTGCATAACGACGGTCCCGTGCCCGCAACTGGACGGGACTAACGTTGTGTTTGGGCGGGTGCTGACCGGTCTCGGCCTTGTCCTCGAGATGCAGCAGTATGGGGACGAAAATGGCAGACCACGGCTGGTATGTATTTGTTTAAAGCCCATTACAAAGGAACAAAAAACTTTTGGTTTTGTATAAAAGGTACATAGATTCTGAAGTTAATCTAATAAGTTATCTTCAAAATCGGCTCAACACCATATCAGTTAACTGTCCACTGCTAAACATAGGGTTCCACCATAAGGGCGGTTTTGCCAGTAGTTGCCATACTTGGCAAGCGGATTAGCAATCGCAGTTAGGCTTTGGATTTACTTTAAGATGGATGCTGCTGTTCATCGCTCAGCCATTAAGTTGCTTTAGTCAAATATAATAATAGATAAAGTAGTGACTATGAAGTCTCATTAAAAAAAAAATTGATTAGGCAAAGGCCCTTGTTTTAAAAATGCCATATGTCACTCAACACATTATATTAATTGGAAAAAAAAAAAATTCTGTACATAAGAGACGTTTAAAAAAAAATTAATGTGAGGGGGTCTTAATAAGATCAAAAAATGCTAAAACATTATTAATTTAAAAAATATCTTACTGAACTAGACATTATTTTACGGAATTCCATGTCACAGGTTATTCGATTATTATTGAAAATAATTTTATTCAAATAATCAGTAATAACTGGAAATTATGTGTCTGTCTGTCTGTCTGTGAACATACAAATTAGCGGGCAAGAATAAAGTTCTTTTTGTGAAATAAACTACTGAATAATTTGCCGATCGGGTGATTACAGGAGTGCGTGGTGATAGACTGTGGCGAATTGGACCCAGGAGACCCTGGCGGGGGTGAACTAGGCCCCGGCCGCCTACCTGACTACCCAGAGGACTATCCGCAAATGGAACTGCTCACTGTATGCTAATTAAATAATATTGAACACAATCTTTACATTCTATTTATTCTTGTGAAAAAAAAAGAAAAAGAAAATAAAAATGGAATGGTAACCCCCCACTTGCTCTCTTGGTATACGGTGGTACCTTTTTTTTTTAATGGATGATAATGGTAACTCCGCCTGCGCTAACGGTATGTGCTGGCTGAGCACCAGTGAGGGATAATAGGTGAGAATGATAAGACAGAGGTCAGTCAGCCCATCATGATGAACACACCTGGAATTCAGCATGATGGTTTCCAAGGGGCCCTGTGGAGGTCGATTTGACGGTATATTACTAGGATTGATAGTCATTATAAATTTTGTCAGCTAATTGTCAAATTAGCTGAAAGTTGACCCGTTTTTGAGACTCGATACTCTATCTATATAATCTAAAGATTAGTAAAGATAATCCCTAATGGAATATTTATAGGTATTTTTTAACTTATTATGATGAATGTAACATTAGACATGTCCACATATCGCCGTCGTTTGTTGTTATTGTTTTTCCTGACTGTAAAAGATTCTAAAATTTTAATTTATACATATTGAAACCTGGCGTCATCTTCCTACCTTTATCCCGATTATTTATTTGTTGTCGTCGTAATAGGTTTTTCTATATCTATATACATATTTAATAGGGAATTAATGAACTCACTGTGTTTTTGTTGTTTCCGCCAATTATTTGAACTCCGTACAGAAGTATTCTTCAGGGGCACTTGGCGCTTTGCGTCACAGCGTCTCGCCTCGCATTTTTTCTCTTCCATTTTTTTTTTCATTTTATCATTATATTCATATTTTTTTATACAACTTAGAATGTCAAGCTGACCGTCCATCTGATGGAAAGTGGTGACCGTCGCCTATATACATGAGCAGTACCATGGACATAACAGAGTATACTGTTTCGCCCATGATACCTCCCATGCGTTGTCATTCCTGAGGACTCGAAGTGTTATTCCTCTGTACCTAGTAAATTTACTGCCATATCTCATCGTTCAAACCGAAACAGCCATGCAAACACAACTGCTTTACGGTAGAAACACGAATGGGACAGAGATGCCCAAGTAAGCGACTTTTGTACAAAGTCTCCCTCTGGTAATATCGCCATTCACACAGTTCAGCCACGTCTATTTAGGTCTTCCTTTACCTTTCTACCTTTATAAAGATCCACATTCAGTTAGAATATAAAGTAAAACTATTTAATATGGTTTAATCGTTGTATCAACAGTTAACTACTCACTGCTGAACATACTTCACCATAAGGGGGTTTTGCCAGTAGTTGCCACGCTTGGCAGTAGCTTGTGTTGCTAACCGCAGTTAGGCTTTTAGAGATGTTTTAAGAGAGACACTCTAACCTATTCAATGTTAGCAGCACACGAGAATATGGTTTAATATTAGAGATATTTTATTTTTTACAATAACATTTAAGTCGATTGCTTCAATTTATCTCATTTTGTGTTTGCTGGAAAAAAATGTCTTTTATAGATATATTCACCCTTGTATTATGTTTAATAATCATTCTAATACAATGGCTTTTATATACAATAAAGAATAAAAAATATTTCTCTGAAATTGGATGAAAACGATAAATAGCTATTGTTTGTTTCAGTTAGAACAATTTATTAACAGTATTACGGAAGTGAAAAGCAGTGGCAATGCGCTATTTAGAGAGGAACGGTACAAGGCGGCCGCGAGGAGGTATCACAAGTGTTTGCGGTACCTGCAGGTCATCAACAAACGCGCAGAGAAGCTTCAAGACATAACCCAGCAATACAGTTGTTAGTATAATATTTTTTATTTATTTATTTCAATGAATCAGTCAATCATTTATTTGTAAAAACATTACATTTTGTATAAAACAAGTGGTAGGTCTCTGCAACTAGAATGTCGTTGGACTTGGCATAGAATAGGCCGGCCACACCTACCTTTCCCGTGGGCGTTGTAAGAGCCGCCTAAGGGACTTAATAGTCTAGAGACAGTTAAAGGCTGACATGATGATGACGATGAAACATATATACATTAAGGGAAAAAATTAAGGGATCAAAAAAAAACTTCAAATTTTTAGATGATTTACAACAGGCTAAGTTACAGCCTGTATCCAGGATTTAAAAAAAGAAATTTGAAGCTAAATAAACAAGTTATCTGGTCCATATGATGATAATGTCAAAAAAAAAAAATTAAAGACCGTAGATGTAAAAATAAAACTAAAAAACATTTTTATACTTTTTTTGTCAGTGGTTTTTTTCATAATTACCTAAAAAACTAGACACTTAGAGCTACAATTTGCTTTTTTAAAATGTCTCTACAATGATTTTTCACTAAGTTACAGCCTTTGAAAGTCACCTAAAAATTTAAATTTTTTTTGATCCCTTAATTTTTTCTATTAGTGTGTATCGGAAACGATAAACATACTATACTTTATACAACTTAGAATGGCAAACAAGCTGACGGCCCACCTGATAGAAAGTGGTAACCGTTGCCTATAAACATGAGCAGTACCATGGACATAACAGAGTATACTGTTTCGCCCATGATACCCCCCATGCGTTGCCATTCCTGAGGACTCAGGTGTTATTCCTCTGTACCCAGTAATTTCACGCCATATCCCACCCTTCATATAAGTATAATGTATAATAATGTATAAGTATAAATATATTTAATGTATTTATTAATTACCAGTTTCCGAGATCGTAGCGACGTACACGCAACAGTGCCATCTGAACCTGGCCGCGTGTTATATCAAGCTGGAAGATCATAGAATGTGCATTAAAAGCTGCAATGAGGTATGTAGCTATCAGCCTTAACACACGCTGTTAAACCCCATGGTACCAACATTTCAGACCAATAAGTTTATAATACGTACATCTGAATATAAAAAATATATGTTTGCGATCGTTCTCAAATCAATATTCTTATAAAAACTAAAAAAAGAAATTTAACACACGCCATTCTGTTGTTACGATTGCTAAGATATAATAAACGCCGTCCTTTTACCATCTCCTGTGTGTCTTTTATTCCAAAATTCCTCCATCACACAATACATTAATAATTATTTTTACTTTTCATGAACTTTTTTACCATTCTAAGCTTTGTTTTTTAACCAACATGGAATCGCAAACAAGCTCACGGCCTACTTGATGACCATCTATTGACCTTTCTAGCCGAGAGTGATCATTTATGTGGTAACCCTCGACTAGATAATTGAGATTGTGTTCCACAGAAGGACTTATTGTGTTATGGCAAAATCTGTTGGCAAATGGCAAAATTCGATCGCTTGGGTACCTCTGTTCCATTCGTGTTTCAACCGTGAAGCAGTTGTGTTTGCATAGCTGTGTTTCAGTTTGAAGGGCGGGATATGGCGTGAATTTATTGGGTACAGAGGAATAACACCTGAGTCCTCAGGAATGACAACGCATGGGGGTATCATGGGCGAAACAGTATACTCCTTTATGTCCATAGTACTGCTCATGTCTATAGGCGACTGTTACCACTTTCCATCAGGTGGGCCGTCAGCTTGTTTGCCATTCTAAGTTGTATAAAAAAAAATCTGTTATTGTGATTTAAAAATTAAGCTATTGACCTGTTTTTGACAAAATTTCTATGGGACCAATCTGTAAGTATATATTTTCAGATAAAAAATGAATTTTCCAAATCGGTTTACAACTGCCACAGTTATGAGGTAACAAAATTAAAGAAAAAAAAAATTACAATCGAATAGAGTTCGTTCTTTTTGAAGTCAATTGAAAATAGTCGCAAGATGCGTAAAAAATTTCAGGTGCTCGAATTTGAACCACGTAACGAGAAGGCTTTATACAGGCGCGCGCAAGCGAACTACGCGCTGAAAAACTACGACAGCGCTCTGTCGGACTTGAAAATCGCCGAGAGAGTATCGCCCAACAACAAGGCGGTGCAGAAGCTGCTCGACGAAGTGCGCATCACCAACAAGAGCTACAACGACGTACAAAAACAGAGGCTGTCAAAATTTTTTCGTGACCAAAAAGAGAAAGACGTCGGAATCGGAAATAACTGAACTAAGGTTGAGAGTAGTGATATATAATCTAAGTTAAGGTAAACGAATTTAGTGAATGCCTTCTTATTTTTTTTTAACTGCTGATGTCGATGGGTTGCGTAACGTGCGATTTATTTTGACGTTCTACAGCAAAAACTGTCCTTTAGTGCATTCCGGTACATGTTACTGGCATGTTCGTAAAAAGATACTTTTTATAAAAAAAAAAAACTACGAATTTATTCTTATTTTAAAATTATAAAAAAAGTTGGAGGAACCGTAGATGGAATCATATTTTTTATACACTTTGTATAATTGACAGTTTTTGACAAGAAACGTCACTGACTGGTCAAAATAAGCGCTTCGTGTTGATTTAGTGCGCTTATTTTTCAATGTATTAAACATCTGGTTGTAATTTTTATATATCGATGCTGATTGCCATAAAAAAAAAAGAGAATTCGAAAACCATAATGTACAAATAAATAAGGGGACTGTATTAATTTATAATTCTAGTTTATTTGTTAGGCAAATGAACTTGTGCCTGACGTTGAATTATTTTGGGATACTTATTGTAATAAAATTTAATAGTTGGACCAAAACTAAAACTCAGTAGAGTACCAGTGAGGTATGATAGGTAAATGTAGGCAGTCAGGCTAGTTGAAAGAATCACGATGGTTTCCAGGAGAGACCGTGTGGGAGTCGACTTGATAGGGTATATCTTTGTTAAAAGGTGAAAATAGAATGGTAACCTCACCTGTGCTATCAGCATATTCTGGCAGGACGCTAGAGAATATAGGTGAGGATGCAAGCAGGTCATTCGGTTTACTGTGATGAATTTAACAGGAACGAACCACGATGGTTTCCAGGGGGAACTACGTGAAGGTCTACGTGATAGGTAGCTAGCAATGGGTCATCGGGGAGAAAAGGGATTGTTAGTTATGAGGTCTAATAGCCCCATTGCTAGCAATATACCTTATCAGGTCGACCTCCATGCGGTTTCTTCTGGAAACAATCGTGGTTAATTCTTGAAGAAATCTTCATGATGGGCCGACTGATCTGCCTTCATCTTCACCTATCAACTATCACTGGTACCCCACCAGTGTATGCCGATAGCGCAAGCTGGGTTACAATTCCATTTTTACACATGAAAAAATAAATGGGTTTACTAGACTCCGCTATTAACAACCGGCATTTCCAAATTTTATAAACGTGTAAGACTTAAGAATCCTGAATGAAAGATTTCAGCGATTATAAACTATAGTTTCTACCTACCCTTACTACTTTCTGTAGTCCCCTGGCTTTGGATAAGTTCCAACGGCCCACCTGATAAAAAGTGGTAACTGTCGCCTATAGACATGAGCAGCATGATGTACCGAAGTTTTATCTCCATGGTCTCAGCATCTATAAGCTAAGTCCGTGATATATTTTTTTTAATTATTTCGTGCAAGTCAATGCTTTCGAATAAGTTTTATTTGGGACCTTATTAATTAAGGATTAGGGTCTTATGTTAAAAGTATAAGTATTCCAAAATATACACTGCCATTCGATTTATTTATATTTTAAGCTTTAGCTAAAAATTGTGTGTCACATAAAAATGTTTCATTGTGAAAGTTGGATGTAATATATATATATATATATATATATATATATATATATATATATATATATATATATATATATATATATATATATATATATATATATATATATATATATATATATATATATATATATATATATATATATATTTAAATGAATGAACCTGATTATCGGTTTGTATGAAATTTACACTCCCATGTAACTGCAAAATATACTTAAGTTTTAATATTAATATATATAGAAAATAAATCCTGTTAAAATAACAAACAAAACTAGATTATGTAATATAATTGTATAAGTAACGAACCAGTTCGCTACAATATACCTTAATTACCATATAATTAAGAACAAAATTAATTGAAAAGACACGTGAAATACACAAATGGGCGTGAGGAATGAAAATCCCTCCATAATTTTAGGATGTATGTTGAATATTGTTGTAGGTTGGTGTCATCAGATATTAGATGCCCTAAAATCTCTTTTAATAATTTGTCTATCTTCGATATTGTCTAACTAGTTTCGAACTCAATGGGAACCCTTAATCGTGAGCATGCCTCACGTCGTGTTGTGAATAGAACTTTCTACTTCAAGTCTGAAATTAATTTGGCAACAACGAAGATAAAAACGTGAGTAAAGCCTATATGGAATAATTATGACCCAATATGACTGATAATTGGTAATTCCCTCCGATTTGCTCCATGTTGCAATAAATTGTAAAGAAAAAATTATAAGAGGCATAAATATATAAATGAAGGTCGTTACACACGACCTATAAAATATCTGTATCTCAACTGATACTTCGCTAATATATTTCATTAATGTTAGTAATACAAATCATTATAAAAACGTACCCATAGATTACAAGAATAAAAAAAAAAACGACTAAAAGATGAGTTCTCAAATTGATTCTATTTTTTTTTATGTAAATTATAAAATTTTTGTTTTCTAACCGTGAAGAAGAGGATTCTGTAATTGTGAATTGGATAATTATTTTGAAATCGCAAGGAGGTAATTCCCACATTGGTCAAATATAAATATAGTATTTTATAAACTATTTTCGTCACTATCAAAGTCCATTTTTAGTGGATAAAAATCATTAATTTGTGATGTTTATTTTTGTAATCGGAAGAGCTTATTTTCGTAGTGATCTCTAATTATGTCCAAATTTTTTTTTCCGTTCTCATAAAAGACCACAGATAAAAGTACCACAAAATCGTCACTGCATTTATAGTGGTGATCATACCTTACAGGGAAAGACAAATTGATGAAAAAAAATAAGGATTTTCTAATTATTTTTTTTTTTAGATATCATAGACTTTTTTTGTAATACCAGCAGATAGTAGAACGTTCTATATCAGAAATACTGTCAGATACCAGTAGTATCTGCGCCGTTTGTGACGGCCTTAACACCGTTTATGATATTATTCCTTTTGGCCATTATCATTAGTGGAATAAAAAAATATACATATAGTATATTTGTAGGTACTAGGCATATTTAACACTAAACCTACCGACATTTCATATATACCTAATCCTACCATGAGCTCATGTGGGGGGGGGAAGGGATTGTTAGTAATGGGGTCAAATAACCCCATTACTGGGTCTAATGAACCCATTGCTAGCAATATACTATCAGGTCGACCTCCACGTGGTTCCCCTTGGAAAGCATTGTGAACAATTCTTGTTGAATTCGTCACAATGAGCTAACTGACCTGCTTCATCCTCACCTATCATCCTTCACTGGTGCCCCGCCGGTGTATACCGATAGCGCGGGCGGGGTTGCCATTCCATTATCACCCATTAAAAAAAATAGCCCCATTACTAGCAATATACCTTGTCAAGTCGACCTCCACGTGATTCCCCCTGGAAACCATCGTGGCTTATTCTAGTTGAATTTGTCAGGATGGACTAACTGACCTGTTTCATCTTCATCTATTATCCTTCACTGGTGCCCTGCTGGTGTATACCGATAGCGCGGGTGGGGTTACTATTCCATTATCACCCATAAAAAAATCCTACCATGAGCGGTCAATGACCGCTTTAAAATAAAGTATGTATCTTAATACAGAAAGAGATTTTAGCCAATTGGATAGTGAACAAGTAAATAATATTAAGTTGTAAATATTGAAAAATGAGTTGTATGTATGTATATTATAGGAAAAGTCAATAAGTTACATGGTGTTACAGTAACGTTATACATGAAAATTTTTAAACTAAATTTCAATAACGGTCATTTAACTGCGCTTGGTAAGTTTAGTGTTAAATAAAGCGACATCTATTATATGCAATTAGTATACTGTTTAGTCACATTGTTTATACATATATACCAAGAGCGTTTATTACATTGTCATATTTATAGGATCATAACATCATATAATATTGCTCATGTATACACCAGAGGGAGACTTTGTACAAAAGTCGTTTGCTTGGGTACCTCTGTCCCATTCGTGTTTCTACTGTGAAGCAGTTGTGTTTGCATGGCTGTGTTTCGGTTTGAAGGGTGGGATACGGCGTGAATTTACTGGGTACGGAGGAATAACACCTGAGTTCTCAGGAATGCCAACGCATGGGGGGTATCATGAGTGAAACAGTATACTCTGTTATGTCCATGGTACTGCTCATGTCTATAGGCGACGGTTACCACTTTGCATCAGGTGGACCGTCAGCTTGTTTGCCATTCTAAGTTGTATAAAAAAAAATTTACATGTCTGTATCATGGTGGTGTAATTTTAACAGTGAATTTACAGAGTACATAGGAATAACATCCGAGTCTTCATTAATGACGACGCATGAGGGGTATCATGGGCGAAACAGTATACTCTGTTATGTCCATGGTACTGCTCATGTCTATAGGCGACGGCTACAATTTTCCATGAGGTTGGCCGTCAGCTTATTTGCCATTTCTAAGTTGCAATAAAAAACTTATGACTCATTGACACATGATTCATCATTGACTTTTTTAATGGGATAAGCGATATGATTCTATATACATATGATGGTGTAATTACGCCCTAATGTAATCCATGTTGTAAAGCTGCTGTTAGTAGGTAATTAATAGAACAATAACCATCCTATTTAGTTACTAGTTTTAGGTATGTACTACGTAAAGAAATTAGCTTAATTCTTATATTAAATTAATTGCGTTGGATACATTGTTGATCAGGAATTATACTAGTTAACGATATTAAGTTAATGTATCTTGTAATTCTAAAAGGGTTATACTACATTATAAAATATATAGGATTGTGTTTAAATTAATCAGTTTTTTTTATGTGCTTTTAGCAATATCTTATTATACTTTAAGAATAAATCAATGAGATAATTTATTGTCTCCAAAAATGATCCTACATATTGGATAGTGTAATATATCTCTAATATTATTAGGCGGTATCCCCATACTATGGTATACACTCCTAAAATAATGAAACTAATTTGGAGGATGGTTACACAGGATTAAGTATAATTTGTCAAGAGATAAATCAATCGTTATCAGCATTCATTGGGAACTAGATCGACTGCGCAGGTCATAAATTGTTCGTGAATATTAGTCTAAATTTTGGATATTTGATTTTTGTATATAATTTTGTAACTTAGCTTCTTTGATCTCTTCTCGATTGTTACTGTTATTTTTATAAAAAAAAAAAATATGAGCCAATCATTGTTTTTATTATTTGAAAAAAGTGTTTTTTATTTCACGGGCAATGTACTAGGTATTTTCAGATTCAATGGAATCTAGTAATAATTCCGGGCTTTATAGTCCGGGAATAAGTGTTCAAATGTATAATAAATAATTATTATTAATTAAATTATTAAGTGACGTCATTTATAATACCGAAACGATTTAATAATTCTAAATTAAAATATATGCCAAATCCGAAAATTTTACATTGTTCAATTACTTTTATCAATTGATTTTGTACGGAATGTAATGAAAATGTAGTTATCATTCGAAACTCATTAGCAGTATTCATGATTTAAAATCGAACTTTCCCCAAAGAATACAGTTTCACATATAAAAAAAATTTTTTGAAACACATGACTACGCGTTTTATAAAGCTCAAAATAAGGACACGTTTTTGAAAATAATAATTTGGTGTTCTTTAAGGGAAGTTCTTCAGTTTCATGAATATTATCACTGAATTTCGGCTTAATGTACCCATAACTTTATAAAATGTAACTGTAATGTAATAGTAGGTATCTGTATGTTTAAATAATAGCTTTAACGGGTTCAAAGATAGGAATTAATATGTAGTCATTGTTATATATGCATAAACGACCCAGGTAATAAATTTTGATATTAACGCACGGCGCCGCATTTGGGCTCTGTTGGCACCTAGGTTACATCTGTGGTGACCCCCATTTTACTTATCAAATAGATTATTTTTTTTATTACAAAATTTAAACTTAGAATTTTATTTTTTTTTTATTATTAAATTTTTAATCACATTACCAGGTACTTATCATCATCATCTTCCTACCCTTAACTTAGTTGTTATTTGAGGTTGGCGTAATATGGTAGGTACCAGGTACCCATACAGTATTTAAAATTCAATTGAATTGATGGAATGAAAATAGAATTTTTCATGTATTTAATATTGTCTTTTTTTCATTTTACAATAGAATGAACTGAAATCTGAATGATGAAATGAAGTGAAATCCATAGATATGGCAACAATGTTGCCAGTAATTAAATTTCAGCACACATTAGTAGAAAATTAAGGTTCCACTTTTCCAGTTACCTAATTTTCTAACCAATTCTGTTCATTTGTGGTGGGGTCTCTTAGGCTATAGCCTATGTTTATGATAACTGCATATACTATAAATATATTTTTTATAATCTTACCTTTAATTATAAACCATTATAAGAATATTTAGTAGCTAACAAGGGGAAATTAATTATAAGTATTTTTGAATAGTTATTTTTTATAATTCATACGCCCATTGGGAATGCAGTTTTGAGCTGAGAACAAGCAAGAAACTCTACTATTGCTTTTGAATATGTAAAACCTTTAATATGTACAGATTT